ACGCCTATTGTGTATTAAGTGTTGAATTTGGTAATTTAGAAGCATGATATATATATTTTATGAATCTTCTATAAGGCATGTATATTGTACATATTTGACTTGTAAGAAATAAAAATTTCTTTATTGGTACGTCATTGAAATGCATAAGACATATATGCATTCATTGGGATAGGATGGGAAAAATTGATTTGAAAGAAAGGAAATTGATTTTAGGAAAGAATTTTGAAAATTTTTGTGAAAAACCCGGCCGCCTAGGAGTAGCCTAGGGACCGCGGCGTTAGCGAGGCCTAGAGGGGACTAGGGAGATCGCCCTAGTGTGGTCGAGTTACCTGGGCCCCAAATGACGCCATGGAGTTGCCATGGGTCAGGGACAGTGGCCAATCCTCCTCTCGTGCCGTCATGGAGTTGCCATGGGATGGGTTCACTGATGGTTTGAAAATGATAATGGAAATGGTTTTGGGAAAATGGAGAGTGACATTGCATGGCACGACATTTCAGTGCATGGCATATTTATTTGTGGTGTTGGATTAATGATGTGGTATCGTAGTTATACTTTGACTCCCAGTATAGTATGATCCCCATTTCCTTATTCCCATTCATTGTGTAGATTCACGGGGTCTTAAGAGGTGCGTCTTAGGCACCACCTACTGAGCAATTTTGCTCACCCCTTTTATTTAACATTTTTTACAGGAAACAAGAAAGAAGTGGCGGGTGACGTTCTACCACAGACTTAGTATGGATTAGGAGCTTATTTTGTTGTTTTTGTACTTGGGTCTCACTATTTTTGTAAGACTTAGCATAATGTATTTTGTACGATGACTTATAGACTTTGAATATTATAATTATACTTATGGGCTTGTAAATCATAGCCATTTGATCTTCATCTTGTATTTTGGGACGATAATTATGATACTTTGATGATATAGTATGTGGTTGTACCACCACGGAGTGTATTAGATATTTATTATGTTGGGACATGTTAAAAATGCTTTTAAAGAGGTTGTTGTAGGACGATTTTTAATGGAGGTCATGCCGAATTTTTTTTTAAAAATTTTGGCATTAGTTGGGGTCGTTACAGTATCCCTCTGATCTATGCTCGAATTTGATCACCCGTAACTCTATAATCGAGGGATCTCACATAAGCTGACTAAAACCCGTAAAATATGCACATAGCATGTTGGATTTTCAAAGAAAATCCAGATTTACATCACTAAGAGTCATTTAAACCCACGCCCTTACAAAACAAAAAAAAATTAATGTTCACCTCGGGAAGTGTGTGGGAGGGGAGGGGGTTGAAATTTTTTTTTACCGATACTGTTCACAACAGTACCAGAAGCGGTATTATTCACCTCGGGAATTGGGCCAGATGGTAAAAAAAAAAAAAAAAAAGTGCCATATACTATTCACCTCGGGAACTATGCCTGGGAGTTAAAAAAAAGTTTTGACATTCCTAAAGCTAGACGAGTAAGCTTGGGAATGAGGGGCAACTGATAAGAAAAATTTAAATAAGCAGATAAGATAAAAATAAAATAGTTCGATCGGGTAAAGATAACCTTGGTACAAGTTTAAATTCAAAGAAGTAGATAATCTTCCCAACAAACCTCCTTTGATCATGCAACGAACTAAGAGAAAGCCGGCTATAAGAACAGGACCCTACCAGTCAGTCAGGTATGAGAAAAAATGATATATTAAATCCTGCCTTTCTTTTAGACCTCCAGTGATTGACTTGATCATCAGAGAGCTCTTGGCAGGCACAACACCGATACCGTTAATATTCATCGATCTTCTCCTCTCTTCTTTGCAGGAAAGCAGTGTAATCCTAGGTCGTGCTGATTTCTGTTTCAACACCCTTCATTTCATCTCATTGAAATGCTTACCAAATTTTAGTAAAGAGAGTTGTTAGATTCTATTTGGGATTAATATTAAAATACTTAAAAAGTGTTTTAAAACTGAGTTGGTACCGGAGGTGTTGATGTTGGAAAAGATATTGTGGCCATTCGATCGTAGGGCTGTGATCGTGTTCTCGAGTTCTTCTTATATTATTCCTCTGTTGACGTCATATCTGATAGTTGCGGTGGCCAAATGTGCCATAGATTGCTCCATCGGTGAACAATCAAAGCCAAAGAGAGGGAGAAATCAGTTAAAATTAGCTATCTTTTCAACTCAAAGAGCAAGAAAGGAACGAAGTTGCAAATTGGGTGAGAAACGGTGTTGGGTGTGGTGGAAGTGGTGGCGTGTGGTGGTGGGACTGCCAATTATTTAATGACAAAATATTGAAGGGTTTTGATAATATGTAATTTGCAATTTTAGGGTTTCGATCGCACGCTAAGGCGGTGGTTGTGGTGTGTATTGTGAGGTTTTGCAAGGAATTAATGGTGGGTGGTAATTGTGGGGTGGAGTTTATGATGGTAGGTGGAGAGAAAAAAAAATAAAGGGTGGACGGTGGTGGGTGTTAGCAATGGTGAATCCAGGAATTGTCAATGGGGGGCTAGTATTGAACATAAATTTAATTACACAATTTCATAAGCAATTTTTTTTTGAATGGGTTAAAAAGGGGGCTAATACTACTATTAAAAATTTTTTTTTAAGAAAAATTAGGCTGAAAATACAATACTAAAATTTTTTTTTTTTTTTGGGGGGGGGGGGGCCAGCCCCCCTCTGTGTCTGCCTGTGGGTGTTAGGGTTGAAGGGTTCAACTCGTGTAACCCATTTATGACCCGTTTAACTCGACATATTATAATCGTGAGTATGACATTTGTAATATGTTAAATGTTTAAACCTAATTATTATGAATAGTTAAATCATTTCAACATAAATCTTGTCTACGTCTTATAATTTTTTTTCTTATTTTGAATATTTGGGTTTATTGTGACAAAAAATTTCTATTATTTATTATTTGATTAAATATTAAATGTCTTATTGTGATAAACAGATCATCAAACGGGTTAACACGTTTACCTATTTAATAAATAGGTTGGGTTAGTGTTAAGGATTCTTGACACGATTATTAAATGAGTCAGGCTTGTGTTTACCTGTTTAGTATAATATTCTTACATCGACATGACACGACACGATTATGATCTAGAAATGCGAATTGCCACCCCTAGTGAGCGGTGGTGGGTGATAATGGCTATGGTGGGTGGTGCCGGTAGATAGAAGAAAGTTAAAAAAGACATATGTGTGTGTGCACGCGCGCATAGACCAAGGATCGTTTGGTTATTTTAGAAGTGGTGATATTTTAGATGAAAATGCAATATTTTATTGAGAAATATATTAGACATTTCATATAACTTAAGACTTTATTTGTCTCATTTATCAAAAAAGGTGTCATTAAAAAATGTCTAACTTGTAGCTAGTTGTAATAAGGGTAATTTACACAAACCTCCCTTATGATTTGTCATAATTACAGGCAGCACCCTTCCTGTTTCAGAAATTACACGGACCTCCCCTACTTTTGAAAATAGCCTACACAGACCTCCCTTCTGTTAGAGTCAATAGCAGTCAACGACGAAAATTGATGACGTCGGCACCTATTTTTACTAAAATCCCTAAAATACCCTTGGCTATATAATTTCATCTTATAAAAGATATATATATATATATTCCTAGCCATTGATCAATCATAATTTTGCATTTCTTCAATTACCCACATCGTAGTTTCTTCAATTTCTGAAATTTGGAAGTGTTTTGATTATGTCTTGTTAAGTAATTGTTTTGTTTGATGCCCAGATTGTAATTTTGCATTTCTTGAATTACCCAAGTTGTACTTTTTCAGTTTTTGTACTACAAAGTGTTATGATCTTAAATGGGCATGTCTTGGCAATGCTTTTTTGGATACCCAGATTGCAAGTTTTGATTTTTTTATTTTTTTTTTGGTTATTGATTGTGATTTTTTTTTGTCTAATTGAGATTGAATGAGGATTGAGAAGATAGATGTTGATGAAAAGCTTGAGTATTGAGAATTGAGAAGACAGTGAGTCCACTCGCAGTGAATTGAACAATGGAGCTCCCCGCATCCCTGGTGTCGCCGGCGCCGATGCAGTCGGTGTACTTGTCTCCGATTCCGGCATTTTGAACTTTTTTTTTGTTTTTGTTTTTTTGGGTGTTGAGATTGAGGTTCCTAAAGGAACCAGAGAGAAACAAACTTATGTGGTGGCCACGTTTTTATAAAGATATAATTAAGGAAGAGAAAAAATTGATTGATTAAGTTTCAATGCAAACACAAATTAATACAAGAGAGTGACTAATAGAGGCTTAATGAAAGATGGGGTTGACTTTCTTTCATATAAATGAGCAGAAAAATAAAAATCTAATTATTATTATTTTTTTTTTTTTGAAATTGCTTTCCAAAGGAACCAGATAGAAACACAATTACTTAGCTGTCGACCATGGTTTTTATAAAGATATGTTCAAGGAAGAGAGAAGAAGATTGATTGAGCTAGTTTCAACACACAAACCTTAATGAATTGAATTAACTGAGAGCTCAACTCTGTGCATGGGAGAGAGAAAATAAAAATAAAAAGGGATGAATGGAAGTGTGTGATATTCAACGCAGAGGAACAGGACACAGACATGGTGAAGTTGCAACTCTGCTTCTGCTGTTGTAGCTGTGGCTTCGGCTTCTTCGCCGGCATTTTCTCAGCATCGTCAACTCTGAGATCGTCTCTCTCTCTCTACTCTGAGATCGTCTCTCTCTCTCTCTATATGGTATTTTAGTCATTTATCATAAAAAAAAAAATTAAGAGTATTTCAGTAATTTTGATAGCTCTATTGGTGTATTTAACTTTTCGTCACACATGAGAGAGGCCCATGTAAAATATTTTTAAAAATAAAAAAAATTCACGTAACTTTGGAAATAAAATAAGTATTATTTGTAATTATAACAAATCATAAGAAAGCTCGGTGTAAATTACCCTTCTAATAAAACCAATCAGGGGTCTCACTTTAAATTACCCTTTTATTTTTTAATCGACTCTCGCATATGGTATTAACCGTATATGAAAGACATTGTTTACTTGTCGCGTAAAGTTCCCTCTATTGAAATTGAGTGACCTCGAGAAGAAACGAATCCTAAGTTCCAACCAGTCGCCAATTCGCCATGACTAATGCCTCCCTTTATGAAGAAGAATTGCAGAACCAAAACCCTAATTCGAATTTGACCCAAAATGACGAAAATCAACAAGAAGAAACATCTCAATCTCATTCCCAATCTCCTCAAATAAAAACCCTAGAAACCCTAGATCCCCAAAACCCAGAACAAACTGAGGTCGATCAACCGCAAGATCCCCAAAACCCAGAACAAACTGAGGTTCATCAACCTCAAGATCCCCAAAACCCAGAACAAACTGAGGTCGATCAGCCGCAAGATCCCCAAAACCCAGAACAAACTGAGGTCGATCAACCACAACAGCAGCAGCCAGAAGGCTCACAATTTCTTGCTCAAGAGGAAAATCAGGAACCAGACGACCACCCAGAACGTTCAGGTATGTCTCTCTCCCCTCATCCTCCTCCGATCACAGACACCACCATCTCCATATCCAATCCCGAACTCAATCCACCTCCTCTCAACTCATCCTGCAACCCACCTCGACGATCCAACAAGCGAAAGAAGGGTAGTGTGAAAAAACAACAAGCAATTGAAAAGAAACTCCTGACCCTAAGCGAAAACCTAAAACCCATTCCGTTTGTACCCTCCAAAACCCTAGATTTTTTTAAACACGAGAAAATTCTGAAGCGACTCGGTTTGTGGGACTTTGTCCACATCGAATTCGATCGGAACATTCGTGTTGACCTCGTTGTGCAATTGATTGCAAATTATGACCCAAAATTGCGGTGTAGTTATGTGAATGACTTTAGAATTGCAGTCAATAGGGCCGATATGGCCCGTGCCTTTAAATTGCCTGTGAAAAAGGAGAAGGGTACTGTTTTATCGTCAGAGGCAGTGGATTTGGATTCAGAAGAGTTGTCAGAGGAATCGATATCGTTCATTGAGGATTTTGTATCAAACTGGGTGCTTTTGCACGAGGATACGTGGATGATGCCAACCGATGTCTTGAGCTGGACACGGTCGATCAGAGACAGGCATCCTGAGAAGGTGGATTGGGCGAGTTTGATTTGGTGTATGGTGGAGAAGGAATTGATGCAGGGGCAACAATTGAAAGATTGTTACTACGCTTCACACTTGCAGTATTTGATAAAGTCGCAGCGCGAGGAGGCTTTTGGAGAAGAGCCTAAGGTGGAAGGGGAGGTGGAAGAGGACGGTAGTGATGTGAAGATGGTTACTTCTGATCATTATCAGGGACAAGAAGATGTCATATTGGAGGAACCCGATATTGAATTGACTTTGGGGCAAGATAATGTTGAAAAGGAAGAAGTTAAGGATGAGGACTTGATGGATGTTGAGGAATGCAAGGAGCAGGAACACGGGCATTGGCTTTTGGATGGAAAGAACAATGAAGGCGATCACTTTTTGCAGCACTGTAGTTTAGATGAAGGTAGGGGTTTGGATAGTCATTGGGAGGGGAAACTGGAAGAAGAAGAAGAAGAAGAAGAAGAAGCAGAAGAAGAAGAGGAGGAAGAAGAAGAAGAAGAGGAAGAAGAGGAAGAACATGGGGATGGATTTGATCTCTTGCCAAATGGTGATGCTCTAGATGGGGAGGGCTTGACTGGCAATCTACTCCAAGGGATGGAAACAAACCAAATTTCTTTTAGTTCACCGGGGCAAATTTGTAATCAATCTGCAGTAGAGCTTCTTGGGTCCAGGGCTGAAACACACATGATTTTAGGTGGTCCAAACATTTTTGGCAACGGTAGTAAGAGGGAGATTGAGCATGAACATGATATCTTACATCATTCTCTCAATGGTAGCAATAAGAGGCTGAGGACTGATGGCTCGTGGGATCAAAAGTCATCTGATTTTGGAATGTGCATGGAGCAAGTGCAGCAGTGGATGGGAAAAGCTAGGATGATGTATGAGGTGAAGGAACAGGCTTACGAGGAATCAAATATGAACCAGCAGTACTTACTTAATGAGCTGCAGCAGCGGGAGGGTGTGATTGAACACTTGCACAAGGTCAAGGTGGCAGAGATTGAGAAAAGAGACAGAGAGATATTACGGCTTGAACGTGATCTTTATTTAATGGGAAATCTCTTAGAGGGCTACAGGAAATCTTTAAAGGAAACCCACAAGTCATTCTCTGAGTATAGACAACGCTGTCAACTTCCTGAAGAACCACTTTATAAGGACGCTGGTCCTGGTGGTGTCATGTTGAGCACCATGGAACTGGAGAAACAACGTCAGAAACGAGAAGAAGAAGAGAGAATGATGATTGAAGGAAAGATAAGGGAATTTGAAGCGGAGTCTATTGATAAACTGAAAGCACATTTAGACATGGTCTGCTTGCTGGATGAGAGGTTGAGGAATTTTTCGTATGAAGTAAAACTACTTCAGGAACTGTCTGCAAAGAACAAAGTATCAGAAACATCAGGATTTGCTCCCGACGAATGAACTGCGCACTTTGCCTGCCTTTGAAATCTAGGTGAATTTCAATTTCTAATGCATAAGCTATAACTATGACATGTTGTCTATATGACGAGGTAGCTTTATGTACTTCCCTCTAATCTATGTTGATATGGTGGCAGCAACTTCATTCTCTTTGTAATATGCTGCCCCCCTTTATTTTGGTTTTTATGTGTCATTATGGTGCTATATGCTTATGCCCCAGATTGCTCTTTGCTTTTACTCCTGTTAAAATGTTGATGAATGAATGCCTGACTGATTGTATGATCTAATAACACAAAGGAATAGGGGAAAAATTAATTATCAAATGCTGCTCAATTTTTCTACTCTCAATTATTCCATGTCAAAGAATCTAAGTTGAGTGATTAAAAGATCTCCTAGTCCTCTTTTTAGTCATTTAAAAAATCTCCCTAAGTTTGTTGGTATTTGGTATTTTTGTGTTGGGGGGGGGGGGGGGGGGGGGGGGGGTGGTGTTGTGTGGAAATGAAAGAGTATCGGTATATATTGTCGTCTGTGTTTTCATTTTCCTTATTAAGACCCCAAGCAAGCTTCATATGGATTTTGTGTCTTACTTTATTGTGCAAGGTAAAGATATCTGAACATTTTTGGTCTGTGTGTGCTCCATTGTCAATATACTCGGAACATACTCAAGAATCTCAGGTTACCATCAAATAATAAAAGACTTGCATTTCTTTCTCATCTACGTAGATGTCCTTAGGGTGAGCTCTGAACCACTAAAAATGCAGAACTCTCTCTCTCTCTCTCTCTCTCTCACCCCCCGAGCATTAAACATCTAATCAAACCTTCAGGCAAGCAGATCCTCAACTGGGTCTCTCTGTCTTCCTCATCTCTAAAAGAAATAAAATATATATATATTGATAAAAAAAGAAGAAAGAAAGAAATAACTTATTTGTGATATTGTAAACCCAGACAAGAACTATCTTCATATGAGTTATTTTCCTGTGGATCATGTGTTGATCACAAACAATGAACACTGTTTTCAGGGCCCAGGTAGATCCACTGGAATTACGTCCTATATATTTAAGCTATCTGCTAGTTCTGCATCTAGAGTCGCATAAATTGCTGTATAGTTTTGTCTTTATGGTTAACCATTTAACTAGGATCTTTTAAAAATGTAACTTTTTCCCAGATAAAGATAATAATATAAACCAATTTTTCTGAACTAGCAAACCTAAATTTATTAGTGCAAAAACAATGTGCAAGTGTCAGAATGTTTTTATTAATTTGTTTGAACACATTTCACTTTCTTAATACTGCATGCAGAAACTATAAATTTTCCTATGTATACTACAATTAAGGCATTTGATCAGCTATGAATATCCTTTTTGAATGTTTGCCGAAACACGCTGAAATTGCACGCGCACTCATGCATATGCATATACACTTGTGTTTGATATCTGATGAGTGCTAATCTTGTATAGAATATAGTCCATGTTAATTTTAGCTAACAATGTTTTGGTTATTATTTATTTTTCGTTATGGTGGTCTAGTATATAGTTTTTTTCTCTGTGATTTACAGTAATATTAGCTTTGTCCGTCTTTAAGATATATATTGATCAAGCCATGCCTATGCCTATGCCTATGCCCAACAATTTATTCAATGTAGTCATGTTCAAATTGCGGATCTAAATGGCATTAAATCAACTGCTAGAGGATTGAATGCTAATTGACTGAATGATTGATTACTTTGCTTTTTCTCTAAAATGAGACTTAATTTTGTATAGGTACTAAAATGAGGAGCAAAAATAGTTGCTCAATCTCTCTCTGTTTCTTTCCATTCTTGTACGTGAAATAACTTTTCATTTGCTGATCTATATTATCATAATCTACTCTTTTGAAGTTACTTATATGAAGAAAAGGAAAAAAAGAAAGAAAAAAAAAAAAGAAGAAAAAAGAAAAGGGAGCTCCTCCTCATTATGAGTAGTTGATATTATTAAGTAATTTGATAAATTCAATTATCATTTTGGGGCTTCACTGAATGGTGCCATCCGATTCGCTTTCCATTTGGCTGCTTCGGCTTAAGCAGACAACACAAAAGATCATTTAACAAAACTCGTATCTCCCTAAAGCACTACAAATATCATCAACAGAATAGGACAAGTTATGCCAAAAAAACATGCTCTCGAATCTGCGTCTCTACAAACACACAGGTACACGATACAATTATCGTTTTTCATCGAAGTCCTTCAACACTTGAAGATTTTAAAGATGAAGAATAATAAGCACGTCGCACAAGTTTCGTTATTCATTGAAGCCTTTCAATACTTGAATATTTTGAAGATGAAAAACAACGAGCACGTCATACAAATATCGTTTTTCATCGAAATCCTTCAACACTCGAAGATTTTAAAGATGAAGAATAACAAGCACGTCACACAAGTGTCATTATTCATTGAAGCCTTTCAATACTTGAATATTCTGAAGATGAAAAACAACGAACACGCCACACTCGTTCTTTTTTGAAGACCTTCAATCCATCGTTTTAGTTTAAACTCCATCGATCCTCGTTCGAAAATCTAATAAAGTCTTTTTTCAATCTCAAAGATTTGAAGAAAAACTTAGCCATCGATTCAAGATCAAGTTCATGTACTTTTTCAAAAAGATTTAATCAAAGAAAGATTCTATATTATAAAATATGGTTCTTAGTTGCAGTATCGGTCATGGTATAACAGATTCGAACAAAGTCAATGTAAACTGACTGATACAAATTGCGTATCGAACTTGAAAAGAGTATTGGACTTAAAAGGGGGTCATGTATCGACCTATAAATTGCATATTGGACGATACGGCGAACCATTATAATATAATCGAACACTAAGAATTGTATTATTTTTCTGAAATTAATAAAATTTAGACTCCTCTTCGTTCCTAAATTTTAGGGTAAACACAGACAATAGACTGAGTGATGTACCTGAAACCGTGATGTTTTTTCCATACATTGCAAATTGGAATGGCTCCACCATTCAGATATTTGAAATCCTTATCATAAATTTATCAATCAAAAGGTTGAAACCATTGAAGAGTCAAGACTAGAGACCCCATTCTTACTAAATTTTAACTGAATTAAGCATTTAGCTTTCCTCTGTCCTTTCTTTTACTTTACTTGAAAGAACATACAACAAAAGGACAATATCAGTACTTGATAGAAACAAAAAACCACAGAAAAAGGTTCCACAAGTTGACATCAAACAACTTGCTGACAACCAATTTCTTTCATGCATCCCATTATCGTTACCCCTCCTTCCAACAATTATTTTTTAAAAAGAATTTAAAAGTCATTGATGAGTGAAAAACAATTAGTTCCCTCTAAAATATCCTTTTTCCTACCTCCCATCATGTGATCTTCAGTGGTCTCCACCAAGAGGAGGAACACATCATGTGAATGTGCAAGTTGGGAGCACAGAGCACCAAATATATATATATATATATATATATATATATGTACATGGCCTGTCTCTGGCTCTCCGTGGGCATCTTCATCCCCTCGGGTCAATTTCTCCCAATAAAGTGACTAAAGTTATTTCAGTGAATAAGCATAAGAATGAAACAAGAATTTGATAGGTTTTGTTTTATAAAAGTATTTTTGACTCAAATTGAATGAGATAATAATGGTTCAATTTGATTGCCTTTTTTTTTCCCCAATTAATTAAGAAATCTCTCCACAATCCCAAAATATTGGTACGTAATTCATCTGTCATGAATCAAAATTACATATTTCTTCATGTGATTCAATAGATAAAAGCACATCAAAGTCTTATATGTGTGTGTGTGTGTGTGTGTGTGTGTGTGTGTGTGTATATATATATATATATATATCTTGAGCATGCAGATGGGTTTTTCTTTACTTCTTTGGTAGAAAATGTAAGGTTCATCATCTATCATTTGGCCATAGTAGCTAGGTAGAGAGAGAATTAATGAGTAATTAAATAGATCGAGCCATACAATATAGCCTCTCTTTCTCTTTCAGTTGACGAGCTGCTCCTCTTTCATCGAAGCATTGGCATCAGAAGAAGAAGATGAAGATGGTGGCATCGTAATTTCCATCTTCTTAAGGTTTTGGTGGTAATACACTTGCCTTAGTCTCTCTATTTCCCTTTTCAGTGCTTCCTGATGAGCTGCATATATTATTATTTGTATACCACCAACAATTATTATGTTAATTAACCTCAAACCAACACACCACTTCTACATGTAAGCCAAGGCATAACTTTCACATGCATGGATTAGTTTCAATAATTGGGTTCAAATTAAGAACTTAATCTTCTTATAAATTGAAAATTAATATGGCGAAAGAAGCAGAACTCATTGACTCTTTAGCACTGGCTCATTGTTAGATATATCCATCTATGGTGATGCAAGTTTACCAACCATTCAAGAGGAGTTTGATTGTGAGGTGGGAATGAAATTATTGGATTTGGTATTATATATATATTTTTTATTTTAATTTGTGTGAAACATCGATCCGAAAACTCTTTTAATTGTTTCAGTTCTAAGCAAGGAGTAAGCTAGGCGATTAAATAATGACTTACCATCTTTAAACAACTTGTCTTGAGTGAGAGCTGCAATTCTTTCTTTAAGAGCATTGTTGTCCACGTTTAGAAGCAAGCGTTGGTGGTCCAAAAATGCTACCCTTGGCGACAACACCGACACTTCAGCCTTGCTCAATTCATAAAAATAACAACATTAATCAAAATTAGTCACTTTAAACCATGCAATATTGAAATGCTTCAAAAACTACTTCAAATATATAGTAGCATATACTGTATTTATTAATTTCATAGGCTAAAATGACATACTTGTAATGATGTAACGGTGCGTTCAAGCTCAGTTATGTATTGCAACTTCCTCACGCGTGATCTTTGTGCTGACTGCCTGTTGGCTAAGATTCTAATGCCAAAAGACACACAAAAAAAGTATTATTTACAATATTTCAACTCAAGTTAATATATATAGAAAACATACATATGTTTCTTGCATAATATAGTAGTGTTTGTGTGTGTCATCTTAATTAAGTTGTTTGTTTAAATTCATTAATACTTCATTACTATATTCTAGTAGTGTGTGTGTGTGTGTATATATATATATATATATATATATATCATGTTTAAATTACAAACCAAAAAGAAAATCAGACATTAATAACCATCCTACTATAAAATTTTCACGCACCATTCTAAAATAAACTTAGTTGCATGATGTAATTGTATGGATTACCTCTTGACCCTTTTTGGATCAATGATTTTGTCACTGGAATTATTTGGTGTTGCATGTTGTGTGTCCAATTCGCATGAGCTTTGCACCTCCTGCTGATCAGGTTGTGTTTGCTTATCATCATTGATGCTATTATGATCGGACGGCGTCGACGGGTTGGAGTAGGAAACGGTAGGGCCCACGTCCATGGTCACCATTTGGTCGGTGAACATGGACATGAGATGCTCATCGTCCAACCTATCGAACTCAGTGTCATTGCCGGAAGCTATTGGAGGGTCAAGGAAGGCAATGGAGTCGCTAACGGATCTCCGGTGGGATCCGTGTTTGGCCGATGAGAAGCTGAGGAAATCATCGACCCATGATGGATTTTGGGTGGTGGTGTTTGGTTCAAAATTGTCCAAGGAAGGCATTCTTTGGTGAGAAAATTCAGGCCAATTCGGTGAAATGTGTGGCACTTTTGGAGGCAATTGTGCCATCTTAACAACTCTTAAGCTATATACCTAACAAAATGCAGACGAAGGTAATAAACAACAATGCAAAACCAAACCTAACCAGAATACAGCCTATATAACGGAACTTCTGATATATGGTTAGAGATATATATATATATATATATACACACTGTATATCGTTAGAATGAAGGATAGCCCCACAAGAACAATATCATCACCATCACATTAAAAGTGTCTCTCTCTCTCTCATGCATAGTGGGGTCACATGGGAAGATTGGGACAGCTATCCACAGCTGTTTTGGGTGTCAATGGAAAGTAGCAGTAGTTCAATAACTAAGGTATCAGAGACCATGTGCTTCTTCCCACTGTCCCTTTAGCTGCAGCTTATAATACTCTCTTTTTTTACGAACATTGCGCTCTGGGACGGACCTACTGCAGTGTGCCCAGTGGGGGCGGACCACTGGTTGGTTTTTTTTTTTTTTTTCGTACTTATAATTTGGTTCAAATCTTTAAAAAATAATAATAATAGACCTAATCGGCTTTCTTTCCCTCAATTTCTTCCTTTCCGACTCTTTCTCAATTTCTTCGTCTGTGACCCTATCCAGCCTGTCTCTCAAATTTGTAAAGATTAAACCACTTCTATCAATTAAATCATCATTTTCGCTGTCTTTACCTTTCTTTCGTCTCTCAAATATTCTCTCTTTATATATGTACTTAAGATTTATTTGCTTATTGTACGTGGTTCAAAATTTTGCAAAAATGTCAGTGATTTGTGCTGCATCTTCTCTTGGCATGACCATGTGATGGGTCTAAGTTATCTCAAAGCTGCCCCAATGTGGGGGGAAATTAAAAACAATAAATCAAAGTCAGTACATGCTTTTTAGTACCAGTTTTATGCTTATTAAGGTGAAGACGTGCTTAACAAAGAAAATAATGAACATGCTTATAGAATCTGTGGGTTATTATTTGTATACACAATGATACACATACACATACATATAAATTATATGAGGATGCCAGTCTGTGTTAATGGAAAGATAAAGAGATAGATAGTGGGAGTTGTGGGATTTTGGGGATGAGCTGTGGAGGAAACTAAGGGGATTGTGAGATAGATGGTGATGATGATGTCATGCCATGTGAATTGTTTGCACGCCTCTACAATTTCTTTACGTTGTCCCCAAACAATACCCACATGTAGGGGCATCTGTCCCTTTAACTCACGAGCCTTCCACTCTTTCTTGGTACCTTCTATCAACCCTCAATTTCTAATTCACCATGCTTAACAAAGCATTTAATTGTGCGACTGTGTGTGGTAGGTAACTAAGCCCTCAATAAGTTTTACTATCTCTCAGCAGTTATTGAAATGTGATTTAGGTCAACATACTATCATTGAATTGAATTGTATTTATATGCTCTCTCTCTCTCTCTCTTCATTAAGTACTTAGAATTGCTGATGGTCATCATTTCTTGATGCACATTCTTCTAATTTGATATTGTTTCCAGTTTTATTTTGTGCAAATCATACATACATGCTAAGACGCAGCAAGTAACCAACCAAGTTATTTGCTTTGGATGGATGGCTCAAGCATTTATATCATGTGAGCTCACAAGAAGCATGCATTAAGATACCTGAAATTCCATTAGATATATGGATGAGGATATTTTCATTCAAATATTAAATCTTTACACATTAAAACACTCTTTGTGCTGGTGCTGAGAACATGGAAGAAAATAGTAAATCCTTAAAATTCTGCAACTAGTTAGGGGTCTTGCTCAATTCTGGTCGGGGCAACAGCACAAACTAGATGTTGCTGACTCAAATTTTAAACCAGCCTGGATTCCATAATCTGTACCGTTGAGTTTGCAGATTGTGGTAGCTCAATATATTGCCAGGCGTAATGCATGTGAGTCATATAAAGTACATAACCCAGTGTCTGTCTGTCCTACCTACACCAGGTGCTGGAAGGGAAGACGTGAGCCAAAACTGCATCACCATTTGATGATGACGATGAACAAAAAGATGTTGAGTCACTCTTGACCAAATCTGACATGATTATTTCTTAAAAATTTGACACAATTTACATACACATTTGGGGAACTTGTCAGCACTCCACAATGGATTTAGACAACCAACTCGCTCTTGGCTGGTGTATGAAGAAGAGATAGCTATCGACCAGTTGGCTGTAGAGCATTGACCCCAAATTCGTTGCAACTCCAAATAAAAACTAAAGAAGCTAAGATTTCAGTTCTGAAAATCTGTGTCTCAAAGCACAAGCTAGTTTCCACTCCCCAACACAAGCCAACTCCTCAAGCACCTTCTGCCTCACCTTAATATATGGTATAAAACCTTTCCCTGTCATCCCCATCACTACCTTTCCCGCCAAAACACACTCACCACACTCTAGGCACCCCTCAACAACCAATTCATAGCTTTTGAACCCCACATGGAAACCTTCCTTCTCCAAGAATTCAATCATCTCAACGGCTCTCCAAATCTCTTTCTTTGCACGCATTGCTGCAACTACCTTCACCACTATTTCCTGCCTTGGCGTCAGTCCAGCTTTCATCACCATTTCTTTCATCATCTCTGCTGCATCAGTAGTCTTTCTAATAGCACACATTGCACCAATTACAGCTCCATAACTTTCCAAGTCAGGAACACATCCAGCCCTACCCATGCCCTTCAACACTTTAACTGCCTCTGTTAACTGGTCAACAGCACATAGCGATGAAATAAGGTAATTGCAAGTGCCACAGTCGGGGTGATATCCAATTGATTGCATCTCCAACAGAATGGTCCTTACAGACTCAGATTGATGCCGGCGGTCTAGCCATGCAGTTGAAAGAAGAAGGTGAGTTTGGGGGACAGGGAGACAGCCAGAGCGAAGAGTGCGTTGGAGAATGGCGAGCGCAAGAGGAAGGGGATTAGGGCTTTGGAGGGTGTAGGAGATGAGGCAGGAATAGGCAACCTTGGGGCGAGAACGAGGTCTGAGAGACATGAAAGATTGTAAAATTTCATCAATGATTTGGATTCTAATGTTTTGGGAGAAGGTGGAGAGAAATGAGAATGGATTTGGATTTTGGAAAGATTCTTTTGAGGCACCGAGTAGATCAGGAATTTGTTGGTAGGTTTTAGCTTCAACAGCAGCTCTAATGGAATCTTCAAGTGTCTGAGATGGAGAGATCGAGTGAATGGAAAGAAATTGGGGAAACGAGTAATAGAAAGGACAAATAAATCCGATAAGCTTTTTAGATGCAATCAACATTTTCAATTTCACTGCACATTAATATTCAATGTAGCCAATGACTGGTCTGTGAAAGAATTATGAAACGAAAACGTTAGTATACATTCGGCGCGATCCAATATCAGAAGCTAAAAGAAGAAAAAACTAGAATAGAAAAATGTAATTTGTTAAGGATTGTCATTGGTCTGTGCAGAGAATACAGCAATTGTACTACAATGGACTAGCAGGGCTGAGGATGTATAAAAAAGTGAAAACAACAACCCAAACTGCTCATTCTGTGCATTTGCATAATTAAGAATAGACAGGGCAAAACAACCACTATAAGAGATGGATTGAATCAATTAGAGAGAAAGGCAGAACCAGAACGGGACATTCAAATAAGAGACCACCTTGAATGCTTTTTATACAAAAAGCTATTTACTGAACAAGAATGTGAAAGTTTTTCTGTTTTAGTGTTGTGTTATATGATTGTGATGTGCTTCAAGCAAAGGCAGTGGGCTACCATGATTATGGTGCATAGTACCAGAATTCATACACTAATAACTTAACAACGTGGCCAGCTTATGGTTATGGGTAGTTTTCGTAACATTCATGTAACAGCAAGCATCAAATCACAAGGTGAACTACATGTATAAAATCACACACACACACAAGCATGCGTGTGTACACACACAAGCAAATGAAAAGAAGAAAGATTTCGAAGGGGACTAATGTCAAGCAGGTAGTGTGCAATACAAAGTTAATACGTCTGTAAAATAAGCAATATTTGATAAGAAATAGCTTGTGAGAGAGAGAGCATACGCATCAAGTGATGAAACTGGGAGTTTGTGGATCATTGAGCAATCAACAATCTCTGATAATTCTCTACGATGGCGTCCACCCGCACGTTTAGTTGTTTACCGTGGAGAAACTCGGGGATTTGGTAGGTTAGGTATAAGATACGGGACTCCCGAATTTTTTTTCGGAAATGAAAGAGTCGACTTCTTCGAATTTGATTAATAAGGAAAGTATAAAAAATAAAATAAAATAAAAAATAAAAAATAAAAAATTAAGAAATAGGATATTCCTATCTTTTTAATCATATGGGGTCCTATAATTATTATTATTATTTTTTAACAATAACAAAGTCTTAAGTACTTTCAACCAAATTTTCAGTTTTGTTATTTTTTTTATTGGAATTATTGACATTTTATTATTAAAATACTTTTGAAAAAAATCATAATATTTTGATGAATATTTACATAAATTTATCTTTAATTCTTGAAATTATTTTTTAAAAAAATTAAATAGAAAACAATTATAACAATTTTAAATAATTCCTTAATTTTCAAGAATATATTGCATCAAAAATAGAAACCTTTAAACAGTTCTTTTTGCGTAGAGCGATTACGCATGATGTAACAAGTTTTATAATAAATAGTAAAATTTACATCGATGTGAATTCATAATAAATAGACATGCCATCTTTAATTACGAAATTCAATATGGTAGGGTATATAACCATTTACCAAATTCACACATTTATTATTCAATATGATAGGAGAATACATACATTTATTATTGTTGCACGTCAGTGGTCAGTATGATGTAGATCTCACCAATGAGAACCTTGTCGATCTCACAAATGAGAACTTAAGTATTGTTTGTTAAATAATTTGCTAACTACTAAAAAATATATATTTAAAAATAAAAAATAAAAATAAATAAATAAATAATAAAAAATAAAAAAACCTACAAAAATTCCACTAGATATAGCATGAGCATTCTCACTGCTGTGGTCATTCACAAGGTAAAATTTATCCAGAAATGCTAATTAACTAGAATCATAGAAGCTGTGGAGGATCTCATGCATTCCAGATAAATTATTAAGATACAGGTAAGATTGATGCTTTGACATTATGTTTTGAAATGAAGTGAGCCAATTTGAGTTCAACCATCATATTGGTTCAAACTTCAAAGCCATAAAGTAGCATGTTTTTTAACCCTGAACATATGGAATTGAACATAAAAGGATGGGCAGAAACTAAAACCAGTAAATATCTCCAAATCATTCGGAGGAAATGTCAAAAAGAAAAGCAATAGGAGAGAAGCAATCTGTGAAAATATCCCCATGATGAAGTGTCTTCTTAAGTGTAAGAACAACCTAACTAGTTTTTTCAATTCGAGACAACCACCACACTCAGAATAATAATAGCCTTGTAAGACTAGGGTACATAATTTTGGAGGTAAAAAAAAAAAAGCTTTCCTTATACATACATATATATTACACTATCAAATGGCTTTTTACACAATTATGTCATACATTGATGAAAGGAACAATTTCTAAAAAAATTCCAGGTTGGTCTTGTCACGCTAAGGGAACGTGTATGTAGGATTCCAGCTCTGATTCAAGTCAGTTGCACATATCTAAAGGAGTCTATCAACAAATCAGTAAATACAGTGCAAAAGGAACCTGAAAATTATAGAACAAAAACAGGGGTGGGGGGATCAATCTATTATGCAGAATTGAAATGCAGTAAAGGGAAACTATCTGAGAAATTTACCAAATTCACAATAGCCAGCTCAAGGTAGACTTATTGAACGAGAATGTCTTCTTCTCGATCTGGCGCACCGATGACACAGACGAAACGCCACCACAAAACTAATAACTACTGCCTGTAGGATTATCACTATCTTTATGCCTGAAATCACCCATCCCAACTTATTGTTAAAAGATGATATTCACTCACACTAAATTTGTCATAAAAAAAAAAAAAAAAAATTAATACCAGTAAGTTCCTGAGTTGATCCCTCCAAATGAACTCCATTTTTAGTTTCTTTTGCATCAATAGAACCCAGATCCCTGATTCTTGAGCCATAATTCATCGTCTTGTATGCAACATTTCCACCCATGACACATGTATTTGGACAAATGATGCTGCCATCATACTCATCACTCCCATCACAGCAATCTATAAAGATATCGAATTGGCATCTGAATCAAATAATGAAGGGGCAAGAACAAGAGCCACTTTTATTGAGTCCAGAGAACAGAGTAATGAACCCAAATTATAACCAAAATGAGACAGTATTAACATAGATAACTTGGTTTAACTGCGAATGGAAAATTCCAGAACATAGAAAATACAATAGTAGGTGTTTGTGTGTTGAGTTGGGTGAGTATGTTCTTACCAAAAATATTGCGTTAATTTTACTAGAATGAAACAGGGAGCCACATCATGTTGGCTAACATCCAAAATCAACTATGAAAGCAACAAGACCGTGCAATACATGAACATTTTCAATAGTGTAAAACACATTTAACAAGTGTCCAATCTAAGTTGGTCCATTTGAATGCAAATGATGGATTTGGTTCATGAAAATATGTCATGTTAGTAATTTCAGACTAGAATGGCAATCGGAGCACGTGCATCAAGGAATCCTTTAAGCCCTCAAAAAAGAAAATGATGCTAATATCAGTGTAATTTGGAACAAAAATCCCGCCCAAGAAACAGGCCACAGGTTGTCATGTTTAAAGGTAAGAAGAACAAAATATATTGCTGCATGCGCCAAATTTAAGTAAATGAACATATGTAAATAGTGAAAGAATCCCTGTCCAGATAATAACCTGATGAAAGAAAAGAGAGGACATTATTTTAGTTATGTTACTTACCGCAAATGTGATCATTGACCCCCGAAGAAAACAGAAAGCGAGGTGTACTTCCCACATTCTTGCAATAAAATTTGCCCTTTGGACAGGCTGAAGTTCCTAAGAATCCAGAAAAAAAAAAAAAAAAAAAAAAAAGAAGGCCTAGTAAAAACACTACGACATAATACAATTGAGATCACAACAAGCAAATAACTAGGTAACATGTTACCATTTGCATGTAAAATAATCAAAAAAATGCAGCCAACCGGATTTTCTTTCGATGTATTTATTAAAAGTAACGTCGGGACCCCAAGTGTTGATTTTCCATTTTTATAAATTAGTTGGGCCATGCATCCCACACTCACAAAATAAATTTTTCTTCTTTTTGATAAATAAAAAGAAAATTAAAAAAAGAAGCCAAAGCCCAGCACAGTGGTGAGTGAGTATACATTTTGTAATTGGCAAATTTCGGTGTCAAACCGATCGAGTTGGAATTGTAAGGTTACTTTTGAGTCACAATGTCGGAAGCGGAACTATATGTGCAAGCCTACTCTGGATCAATTAGAACATCACTTAGACCGGTAAGAGAGTAAGGATACACATTGCACATATATCTTTTATGATTGGATTGAGAGCTTTGAGTATTTACGGTTAAAACAGGTTATTTTTGCCCTCAGCTAAAGTTCAACCGGTTCTGTTTTAAGAACACAACCAGTTGCGGTTGCACTTTTCACAGGTTGAAAAGTAGCTCTTGGTCAAAGTACAACCCGGTTGCGTTTCCAAAAATGTTCTTTTTGGTCAGGTTTTCGAGAGAAACTTTTGCACAAGGTTGCTAAGTTTTCCCATGATTATTAGGCCTCTCTAAACACCTATATATATTCTTTTTGATCACTAAAATCATCACGGCTCTTGTGATCAAGTTTTCAAAACCCTAGAGAGCTATTGTAAGATTTTCCAGAGATTGTTTATTTTTCATATTGAGAACACACATACCATACATAGGACTGATTTAGAACATCTTTGTTCCATTGATCGGTATTCGTTCCAATCGTAGATCCATTGTTACCGGTCATCAAAGCAGAATTGTTCTTTCAACTTCAACAATTCAAGTTTAAAGAAAAGGAAGAATCGATCGCACTTTAAAGGGGTGTTCGTGATCTACCAACAATTCTTCTACAAGGGCAAACAGATTAAGCCTGGAGCATTTGGATGGGGAAATCGCAAAGTCGAAAACGTTCAACAACTGGTTCTTGGTAGAGTAGATGGGTGTGAGCCTAAGTCAAAATCGATTGCTTCAATAATAATGGATCAGTTCGCTCGAGACCGTGTGAAAAGTCTCCTAGGTTTTCCCTCAATTGGATGAACCCGCAAAAGTGTTTTTCAAACTATATTCCACATCCCGCATAGCACAACTCAGTGAGGTGCTGGCAACCAAACAAAAGCAGGATTAGATTTCGATTCTTATCTCTGTTGATCAAAAAACTTGATATGTTTGTTTTTTTAACTTTTTTTGGCCAGCATCACATAAAAAAATAATAATAATAAATAAATAAAATCATTCCATTTGAAAATATTATCCAAACCTTTCTGAGCATTTCAATAGGCTTGCATATGAAATTTCATACCAGTAAGGTTTACAGAAGTAACAATTCGCTTCAACTTTAAAACATATCTTAGTACCTTGCTAAAGTATCGAATATATACACATATAAATAGCATATACACAATTCGAATTTTATGTATGTTGGAATTAGGGTTTAAGCACTACCAGGCTCATCAGTGCCATCAGGGCAGTCGCAGAAATCGTCGTTGATACGGTCTCTGGTGAAGGATTTCGATCCGTCCTTGCATTTAATCACCCCAGAAGCAAAGTACTTCTCATCTGCAATCAGAATTTATATCTTAATTCAACGAATTCACACCAAAAAATTGCATATTGACCAATGAATTATATATATAAATTATATCAATATACATGAGATTATATATACTACATATCAAGGGGAGAGAAAAAATGACCTAGGGGATGGATTCCGATAGGAAGAATATAAGAGGAAGAATCAGTGAAAAAGAAGCAGGCAGAGAAGAAGATAGAAATGCAGTTGCGGAGCCTGAACAGACTAGTCTCCATTACAGTCTGTGGGGGTACTGTGCGTTTAGGGTCAGTTTTGATCATGGGTTGGTTTGACTTTGACTGAAACTAGTGGCAAGAACAGAGAAAATAGATGGCATTCAGGGAATGGAAAAAGTGGAAAGGAAAGGAAAGGAAAGGAAGTGGGAGAGGAAAAGGATATCAATTTTATTACTATAAAACTTTCATTAAACCAATTTTATCCTCTCATTTGTTTTCTGTTTTTTCTCATGTTGTCGCTTTTTTCTTTTTTCTTTTTTCTTTTTTCTTTTTTCTTTTTCTTTTTTTTTTTCCCTCTTCATACAATTCAAAATACAACTTATTGCCCAAATTTCCATAAATTTATACCCACTTTTTATTAACCCTCCCAAGTCCCAATATATATTTCGGACTTCTTTGTTTACTTTTTCATTTTTTTTATTTCGGAAAAAATGTTAGTACAATTTTCCCTCTTCTTTATTAAAATTGATGTGACATGATTGACATCCCGTATACTTTTTTAAGAACAAAACTTGAACTCTTCTCACAAACATTGTGTCACAAATTTAATATTTGACTCTCACATTCAAATAAATTTTATTACATTACTCTCGTAAGCTTTCATTGTCTTAAGACTAATTTAAGATTGAAAAAAATTTAGCATTCTAAAGTTCGCATTCATGGCACAAGCAAAACCTTACCTTTTACTCCGTAATTTATAGCTTGCTGGACTTCTTTGGAGGACTAGGCCAATTCGATAACTATCATGAATCAAGTTAACAATTCATCAAAAGTTCCAAGTTCGTATTCATTTGCCTACTACATGAACAGAAATCAATAAATTTTTTGGGTTAAATATACTAAGTTCTCCCGAGGTTTGGCCTAATTACACTCTGAAAGAAACTTTTTAAAAATCTTGCAACAAAAGCGTACACACTTGTTTCTAATACCACCTCCATCCAAAAATAAAAATAAAAAATACATGATCGGACTAAAACATCCTTTCTTCATCTAAAATGACTTTATTAACCTTTACAATAACATTTATTTACAAAAATACCTTATTTTTTAGGACAAAAATGCCCTTAAATGAAATGAAATAAACCAAATGCAAGCCAAATGAACATGAAATGTAGGAACTAGGAAGTGCCAGCCAAATGAACATGAAATCAACCAAATACATTACTAGGAAGGGCATTTTTTTCCTTAAAAAATAAGGTTAATTAAGTCATTTTAGATGAAGAAAGGACAATTTAGTCCAATCATGTATTTTTTTGGATGGAGGGGGTATTAGTAACAAGTGTGTAAACCTAAGAGGTGCACGGTATAAGATTTTTAAAAGGTTTCATCTGAGTGTAATTATGGCAAACCTCAAGAGAGATTAGTGTATTTAACCCAAAAATTTTAAAAAGTTTCATCTGAGTGTAATTATGGCAAACCTCTAGAGAGATCAGTGTATTTAACCCAAAAATATAAAATTAAAAAAAGCTTTATATACATCCATTCAATGTGTATTTAAAACAACGTATTGATGGACTAAAACTCTTGACCTTGTTGGCCTCCATAAAAATAAATAAATAAAACTTTTAATACAAGTTTAATGATTATTTTTATATTTTAAATGTAATTTAAAAATTGTGATCACTTTTAATAGACTTCTAATGGATTTTTTGATATTTAATTTTTTTGATAAATGTATATAAATAATAAAAATTGCTCACGTTTTCATAAGTACTATAGATATATATATATGTTGACTCTACGGATTTCTCTTAAGGGCAATTTGGTACTTTTGATGATAACAAACCATTAATGATGTTGATGCATAAATCCTCACGACTCGAAACGACGGCGTTTACCTGCAAAACAAAGGGACGTCACTTCGAATGGCAACGGTGGGGTGCCAGTCAAGGACCCTCCGACGATCAAGTTAGTACTTGTAATCGTATCACATAATAATTATGTATCTTTTGTTTAGGAGTTTTTTCTCATACCTTCTTTAACGGTTTGGTGCCCTATTTATGGCTGTCGATTGGAATCCAATTGGTTCCGCCGATGTCGATGGTTGATCTTATCTTTCGCTTGTGCGAGATCATAGGAGATTTGTTGCCAGATTTGTTGGGGATATGAATCATCCTTTTGACCTCCTCCAATTATGATAGGATTATTCTTACCCTGTTGAACCACAATAATGAAATATAATCAATCTTATCGAGGGTAGGGTATGTTTATATTTTTCCCTATCAAATGATGTTCAATGTACTAATATTTTCATTGAGTTTAATTCTAAATCGAAAGGAACATTGCGAGGAATACAACTGGCACAAGGAAGTCCATGCAACTTCAAAGAACAGCAAAGCTTACTAATATTTTCATTGAAATCACACTGGAATATATATCACCAAAGCAAAATACAACTGGCACAAGGAAGCCCATGCAACTTCAAAGAACAGCAAAGCTTACCAATGGGGTAGACAAGTTGATGAGTGACTAAAGAGCAAAATGTAAAGAGTCTGTGAGATCATTTGAAGCTCACTCTAAGGTCATACATTACTCACACACTTTAAACTATCATAATCATTCAAAATTAAGTTGCTAATCATTCACACTAAGCATCCATATACTGAGGCATCACTGAACAGCAAGAAAATGGTCCAAGGGTCAACTGAGCCGACTCGATTAACAATTCAGCCGACTCAATTAGGCTGAGGCTCATCAAGATCAAAAGACAACTCAGCCGGCTCAATTGATAATCCAGCCGACTCAGTTCACAACTGAGCCGACTCCCTTCTCAACCCAGCTGACTCAATCAGGCCGGGGGTGATTTTCTTCAGAACCTTGAAACTCCACAACTAAGCTGACTCAGTTATTAACAGAGTCGACCTGTTCTTGAACTGAGCCGACTCAGTTCTCAACTAAGTCGACTTCTTTTAGTGATTAAACTAATCTGCTGTAGAAATCCTCTATTTTCAACCCGTGCTTCACTTTATGCTTTACAAATCATTTTACATGTGTATACTGACATGTTGATTGTCCTCTAGCTAAGTTAATGTTCTTGTCTTAAGGTCAACAACTGTATTATCTATAAAAGAGCCATACACATGATTTCAAATCTGATACCTGCCCTATGCACTAAACACCTCTGTCAAACAAGGTATCTCTGTCATAAGAAACTTCTCTGCCAAATGTTGCCATGTCATGTCTTAATCAAGAGAAGGGTTTGCAACGGCTATTGGCTATGGAAGAGTTCTATATATGCTGTGATAAGTTAGCTGCAATGGGTGTGCTTGAGCGTCAATACAAAGAGATACATTATCATCTTCTCATACTAAAAAGCTCAGACACTCATCACTCTTATTTCCAAGCTACACCACAGATATTCATTTCTCTCACACTAACTTCATTTTAGAGAGTGAGCTTCATTTGTATCATTTGATTCTCTAAAGAGTGTGAACTGCAATTTCAAGTTGTGAGAGTGAGATCTTTGTAATACACTTCTATATTTCATTGTAAGACTAAGAGAAGGAATTCTCTTAGCCAAGTTATTGTAAGGGCTGGGTTGGCCCTAAGTAAAGACTAAGAGAGGTTGTCTTTTAGCTAGGAGAAGGAAGAAATTGGTTCTTTTCAAGGTTTGCTCTCCACCCGTAAGGAAGAGCCATATTGGATTGGGAAGTCTCAAGAGGGGTCTTGAGCTGAGGAGTAGGAGTTTCCGAACCTCACTAAAATCGTTGTATTTATGTTTGCAATTTCTCTATCCTCCTCTTTACATTTCAGTTTATATTTGTGTTTATCTACTGATTTGTTTAGCTTAATTCTGTCAACTCATCATTGCATATCAGTTCAAGTAGTTTGTTAAAATTACATTTCTATAAAACTTTGAATTTGTCATAATTGGACAAGGACTCTATTCACACCCCCCTCTAGAGTCCATTCTTGGGCAACAATATATATATTACCCACACATAAATAAATGCCAACATACAAAGAAAATGCCAACAGCCAAGTTTTATACAGCTATATACTCTTTTATTTATCCAACTTTTTCTTTTATTTGGACTAGCCATAAAAATTATTAACCTAAAATTCTCTTTTTAAGACAAAATCCAACTGTTATAATAGTATCTCCTTATCTTTCAAAGTTCTTTCAAAGTTGAGGGTTTAAGTCCAAACTCGTATCAGAGGCGGGTAGGTGTGTTTATTTGACTGGATTTAATAATAGAAAAAATAAACATAAAGAAAAAGGAAAATCCATCTAAACACGTCGTCCCTGCATTTGGTGTTGATAGTTATGGCAATGAACATAAAAGAAACTAGTACCTGATTCAATCAATCTCAAACTCCCCCACCACCTTTAGGCATGAAAATTCAAGGTACTCCACATTCAACGAATAGTTTTCTATTGGAAATAAGTTAGTAATTCTCCTCCCTATCACTGTGTTTGAAAAGACAAAAACAGAACAAAATGTAGTGCTGCCCTCATTCTATATCGTACAACCGTTGATCTTGAAGTAAAAGAATAATACCCTGGCATTTCTTTTCCAGAAATTCATTTTAGCTATGGAATTTGAGCAATTTCCAGTAAAATTTTGTGCAGTGATTGTGGCTTTGAGAAGAAAGGGCAATGATCGCTGCCTTTGATCTTGAACACTCCTTCAGGTGGGTTTTCCCTTACGAGCTTTTCTTGGACATCAGGGGAGAGGGCATGATCATCCAGTGTTTGAATGAAAAACCGCCGGCCAGTTCCGTAGTTTTCAGGTGTCAGTGACAGCTTCTCCATGATGGGACCAAGAGGGATGGATCTCATCGAAACCATTGCCAAAGCAACATCCTAAAAATGAATCACATTATTATGACGTTAGATGATAAATTTTGTTGGGAGCATTTGGTTTTGCACCCTGCAATAACTAATACTTTGGTGTAATAAATCAAATCCACTCAGAAGAACCAAGAATGGGTTTATTCCAACATAAGTTGAGTGCAAGTGCGTGTATGCACTCTTTCCTGTGTCATTTTCATTTTCTTTTAACTTTTTCTTTACACTAATTAAGATATGTTTCATGCACGTAATATGCTAGATTTGTCATATTTTATCCAATTAAACATAGATCGACATAAATATTGATAAGATGGATTATATTGCTTCTTAGTAAGGAATCAAGGACCCATGACACAGTTGATGATTACTCCCTCAATGCCAACAAAGACGGTAATCATCTGGTTCTTCTAATTAACTATGATTTTTTATTTCTCTTCCATTACCAAGAGTTAAATTACCGGTACTTAACATGAACTCTATTTATAAGCAAAAAATTCAACAGCAAAATGCAAGTTAGCATATCGGTTTTCTTGCTTGTTAGCGCCCTGCCCCGCCCCTATTATATTAGTTTAGTCATAAAAAAACTAAAAGAGAGCCTTTTAACAACCTTACTATTCAGAATGCGATCCCTTCGTTTGTTAATTTGCAGAAGCGAGGGATGGTGCTTCCTGCCGTGTGTCATTGGTGTTATGGTGGTTCGGATACTGTTGATCATGTTTTTATTTTCTGTCATGATGCTACAAGCATCTTGAACCCAGTTTTTGACCTCCTAAATTATTCATATCCACTTTTTCTATCTTTGACACATTTGGTGGATTGGTTTTGTCTCAAACTAAAGGAACAGCTATGAGAAGCAAGTTTCTGAGGTGTTTATTTCCCACGGTTCTTTGGTCTATTTGGGGTCAAAGGAATTCAGCTCTTCATCATGGTTATAAGAAGGCTCCTGTTGATGTGAATTAAGGAGTTATTCTAGAGTATATTTTTCTTATGGGAGTGCAGCTTCAGGATCTCTCCATTCTTTTCCCTCCTTTATGACGATGCTACAGTGTAGTCGTTGGTTTTAGCTTTGGCTTTTGTTTATTTTAGCTTTGCACTGGAAAAAGTCATTTTCTTTCCAAGTTGTTTCCTTTGTAAATGGGTGTATGCCCTCATCTTTTCTTGTACTCTTGAGTTTTCTTTTTATAAAACATCATTCAGGAAAAAAAGAAAAGAAGTGTCACAGAAATTAACGGACTTGGAATTGTAAGAATACCTTTGCAGGGGATTGATTGAAATATAATCCATTCATTTGCTGTTTCTCAAACATGAACCCAGTAGGAGGCTTGTCCTTACCATTCCCATAAATTAAAAACTTTGATTCCTTCATAAAAAGCTCAGCAGACCCAAGCTGCAAAAAGGATTTCTCTGGTAAGAAAATGCAAAAGAAATCCAAGCAATGGAAACTTCACAAAAAATTGCATATAAAAATACATTTCAGAACCAGAAGATGCTTTGACTGGCAACAACCATTTCTCTCAAATGTTTTGGCTGATGAATTGACCAAGTGGCATAGTGGACTGAAGGATCAAAAGGACAGAAATTTTATTTGATTTCTGAGTAAAATAAATGTTGGTAAAAGCAATTCATGTTTGAAGAATAACAGAAACATATATAGTTGATAAATTCAATTGAAACAATTCCTGATAGGCAATCAGTGCACTCAAAAATAATACACATGCATTCCAGAGAATGGTAGGTGATCTGCCATGATCAAAGACTAATTGTAGTTCTATCACTAGGTCAACCATCCTTAGGCATAATCCAACCTTTTAAGGTAAAATAAGATACTGATTATATACCTCTTCAGCAAACACATCGAAAGGCTTCTGCCCATTGGATACCATTGTAGCGCACAAGAAAACTGCTTTCGAGATCTTCTGAGGGAAATGCTCCAAAGCATATGAAATGCATGCACCTCCACTACTGTGACCAACCAAAATAACCTATACAAGAAATACATACATCATAAACTTTTCCAGAATAAATACCAGGAGAATATTCAGATGATAAATAGGATCAAGGCAATGTCACAACCATCTCCTACCTTTTCCTCCTCTGGTAGGTTTTGTAAATAATCAATCAATGGTTTTGAGTAATCCACCAATGTAGTGACACTGTTTGAATCTGTCAGATCAATACCAGATCCCGTGAGATCAAAGGCACTAGGAAGCAATCCTGATTCCTCCAATAGAGCAATAGTTTTGTACCAACACCATGCTCCAAATCCTTCTCCATGTATCAAAACAAATTTCTTTGTTTTGATATTCTCCAAAAATTCTGGTAACTGTGCAGTTATAATTTCATCAATGAATAAGAGAGTGTAAAGCTTACGCATATATAATGAAAAAATCTACTCAAAATAGTATGGCTGTAAATGTCAGAATGATGCATTCTGTTTTCCCTGATGATGCAGACTTTAAGACCCAAAAATTTAAAAAGAAAATATAGATTAGAAGAGATGTATAAACAATTATGTTTTCATATTGTATTTTGTTCCTATAATTTAAAAAATAAAAAAAATAAAAAATAAATAAATAAAACTCAATTATTAGCGTGGATCTTGTATGAGTGTGCAAACTTCCTTCAGCACAATTAGTGTTCGAATAAACAACATTGAAGAAGTAGGCCACTTATATGGATTGTCATATTGATGGGCATTCATTTCCAATCACAGCTGCATTTGCATGCATGAAATTGTAATAATTTAATTCTGAAGATCTTCTTAAACCCACCATTAATTTTTCCATATTATAAGCATAATTGAATAGTTTACAAGCATGGTGGAATATTTCTTTTTCCTTTACTAAGTTCAAGATGACGGACTGCATAAGGTTTCTCATTGTACCCAATTTATTATTTGATCTTAAAGGTTCGGGCTGGCAAGCATGATAACACATGTAAATTTATTATTTGATCTTAAAGCAGTGACAAGCACCTGAAGAAAATCAATGTCAGAGTATATTTCTTCCAAATCCGGAAGAAAACCACGTGTATTTTTTGTCCGAGATTCACATTTGGTGAGTTTTTAGGGGCAAAACATGGTCAATCAACCATATGTTTGGTTAGAAAATGCAAAAGTTTGTTCTCCAAGGAAAACCTCTTGACCCAGGGACAAAAAAGTTAAAAGGGTGCTCATAAACACCTTTTCTTCCTGCAGAATAAAAGTCAGAGAGGTTAGACTCTCAGCCAGGAACTGGAAGACACTCTCAGCCACTAGCCAGGATCCTAGCTTATCTTACAAGTTGAGATTTTAGTTCCACTCTTCAAACAGAAAAGGAATGTTACATGCGCTCGGAATTTGGGAAAGACGCCAGATAAAGAACGGCATTAATCAAAAGATCACAGCTAGTGTTATGCGGTTAAACTTCAAATTTTATTCTTACCAATTCAAGTAATATAAGGAATAAAACTTGGAGGGGCATATGTTTGCACAATAATTATCGGCCACTTTTAAGATTGCCACGGCCAATTCTAACGGAAGAATGATATGTAGACGAGGATGAAATTAGAAAGAGACAAGTGGCTTCATCTAAGAAAACCATTTGGCAAAAGTAACCGCATAGATACATGTGGCAGATTTCTTGGATGGTGGTTAACTGGTTATGCTGGAAGTTGTATACGCTGAGTGACACATGTGGCAGCCAAAGAGGTAAGCAGTTACCTACAGTTGGAAGGTCGTGACTTCTAAGTGGGACACGTGGCAGGCTGGCAGCCAAAGAGGTAAGCAGTTACCTTCAGTTGGAAGAAGGAGACTTCTGAGTGGGACACGTGGCGGTTAAAGAATTAGGGAGCTACCTACAGTTGGAAGACGTGACTTTCAAGTGGAACACGTGGCAGCCAAAGAACTAGAGAGATACCAGCAGTTGAAAGATATGTGACAATTAGAAGTAGTAACCGCTTTAGGCCACTGGCTATAAATAGAAAATCTGGACAAAATGAAAGGCATCTCTCCACAGATGAAACAACTCCTATTTTTGTTTACTCGTCATTTCAATTCCTACACTTTATGTTTTCCTAGTGTAATCTTTACATTTCAAGCATTTACTTTCAGCACTTAGTTTAGCCTTTAGCTTTCAGCACTTGCATTTCATTCCTTTAATTTTCAGCACTTGTACTTCAATTCTTAATTTAATGAATTTCAATCTTCCAGTAGTACTTCCAGTTCAGTTCAGTCTTCCAACTACACTCTCACCAATCACTTATCTCATCTTCCATTCTATCTCTCCATTTCCGAAGTCATTTTCCACAAAGGCAAAAAGAACCTTGAGAGAGTGTACATTCCAAGCTCTCCGCAATCGCCATAACTTTAAGCCTCTCACGGCCAGATTTGGAATACTGTTAGGCACTATTCCATTTCAATTAGATTCTCGGCAAATCTTGGCACACCCGCACCTTCCACCTTCCGCTGAAAGAATATTTTTGTGGCCAAACATTAACTATAAACCAATTCACCCGTTCCCTTTTGGTTTATCAGAGGGGAGTGAATAGGTCTAGTTTTACTCTTTTCCTTGTTTTTAAATTTAATCCAATTCTAATGATTTAGAATGCAGTAAAAAAAGCAAAAACACAATCACAAAACTAAAGTAAAGTGCAAGTAGAGTAAGAGAGTAGAGAGGTGACACCATGGAATTTTACATGGAAAACCTTAATGAGAAAAAACCAAGGAGACTAGCCGTCTCAAATAAACCAATCCACTACAACTAGTGGCTTTGGAAGTGCACTCCATGAGTTGCCGATTCTAGTGCTCTAGTATCACCTACTGTACCTCCGATGCTCAACGTTCATCAGAAGACCAATCAGAGAGGAATGCTGATGGGCTACCATCACACTACGAACTTGATTATAAGTCTTTCAAATCTTTGTTGGGCATTCTAGCTCTCAGAAGGGCTACAAGTTTTATCACCCCAAAGAAAATAGCAGATTTGTGTCCGTGGATGGATCAAGAATGTCATCTAACTCCTTAGAGTCAAATGGTCTCGAAATAGGCTTCAAGAAAAAGCGAAATTAGGTAGGTATATATAGATATATCTACTGGTAAGCTCTGTCATTGGCTTGTTCTAGGCACTATGCGTGATTCCTTTTCTGGTAGCGCTTTAGTTTTCAATACAGACATTTAAGCATTACTAGAACAAAACACAGACTTTTATCGCATATCAGGATACCACTTCGAAGGTCAATCCACTTCCACTCACCCTGCAAATCGTTCAAAGGGGCAACCGAAACTGTATCCGCTGCACCTTCCTGCAGCAAAACCACTACAACACAGAAATAGCCCCTGATCGGTTCTCTCTCATGAGGGTCTTGAAGAAGCAGCCGGAGTCTTTCCGTGTCAATAATATAACTCGATTTCTCACCAACAAGGATGCACAACACACTACTAATAAAGGCAGAAAATCTCAACAAGTTTTCACTCAAAAAGCTATTAGATTTTCAATAATTGCTCTCATCCTTTAAAACAAGTCTTAGTTGAGTTTTTATACATAGGGAGTCATCTTCTAACTTGAATAAAGTCATCCAAAAATATATAAAAGACGTCTTTAAGAGTTTGGATAAGAATTAGAAGTAAGAACTTATCAAATTCATAATTCTAGTTGAAGTAGGAAAGGTTCAACCCACAAAAGCTTACTGATTTTAAATATATTCAAACAAAAGCCTGTTGGTACAAGAAAAACTCAATCCAACAGCTTTCTGGACCAACACAAAGTGCCAACAAAACCATGTTCTACTGGTGCAACCTTTTGGACTATTGGTTGAATAGCTCTCTGGAAATTTATAAAACCTGTTCAGTAGCCACTACAACCGGCACAAACAATTACTATACTGCTGCAATCTCACACTAATTTAAGCACTTAGACAGATTTTACTTCAACTTTCATCCTTTAGGTGCGCTCACCTTACACTCGCATACTTGTCCTAACGTGTGTGTGTTCATATCAAGCTTTTCAGGCATGATGTTATGAAGATCAAAGCATACTTTAACTCTCAGACACAAAACTTAAAACAAAATTACAACTCAATGAAATGGTTGAGTACAAAATATTCCAACAGACAGTTATATTCCTAAGAAACAGTTGGACATTACTAGTAAGGAGATAGAAGATCCATGGAGAAGTAGTGTTCGTGAAGAACGGAGTTTGTCGACGGATTAGCGACTGAAGGATCTAGGATTGGTCTTGCGTAAGTCAAAATTGCGAGGGACTACGTGATTCTTGATATTAGAGCCTGTTAACTTAGTTTGTAACCTCTTTCTACATAGTGGAGTATTAAATACCTAGCTAGATCCCGTTGTTATTTCCGCTTGGGTTTTCCACATAAAATCGGGTGCTTCGTGTGCAGTTAATTACTTTATTTCCTTATTATTTCATGATTATCACTATGATTGTTTCAAGTTATTTACTTGTCAATTAAGTATAATCTTAAATTTCTGTTTATTTAGGTATAATTGGAAAATCAGTGAAAAGTAGTAAAAGCAAATTTTGATAAAAGGGTAACACTTATTCACCTCCTTTTAGGTCTAAATCACCAAATTTGTGCTACTCTTATCGTAACCTAGGATTTTGGTCCAATAGTTTTATTGCAATGTTGTAGACACACATAGCATGACATCATAAGATTCTACATCAGCATGAGAACCACCTTTCCCTCACCAATGAACCATAAATAGACCTCTCCACTTATTACTTAGATGGATCACTTGATACATTTACTTCCAGCCTTAAAGAATCCTAAGAACAAACTACACAAACATCGACCCTACTGAACCTATACCTATGTTAAAGGCAATGTGGCAATGCATTGACGTCGCTGATTCTACAGTGAACTCAAAGCCAATATCTCTCTTTTACAACTTGACCTCTACTACCATCTAGTCCCACTTCTACACATAACAATTATAGCATTATCTAGCTGTATTTCCTCTCTCGGTTTTTTATAATCAATGCCAAGCTATTAGAGAAATGAATTCAGTTTATAGCATTTCAGAAATTATTTATCTTCGATTTCTTTGAGAAGATGTGAGTGTCTTCAAGGCTTTTAATGAATCATATTAGGAGAGTCACCCATCCACTAAACATGACTGATAATTATTTACCCAACACCTTCGTCATGCCCCCACTAACCTTAGAACGATTATTTTCTTCAGTTTAGATTTATTAAAAGTACAAGATAGGTGTTGAAATACAGGGCATTACATAGTAAGGCCCATTACCCTTTTTTCTTTTCTTTTTTTTTTCTTTTTTTTTTTTTTATGTAAGTCACACGTGCACCCATTGGAGACTCAAACCCTCAACCTTTCGTTTGCAAGGAAGAGGTAGTACCACATTGGCTAACGCCTCATGTAACAGCTTTGACCACAAAAAAGTTGGACGACTCAAAAAGCTTCTCTAAGGCTTGTTTGTGAACAATTCCAAACAGATTAACAATAGCTTTTTGTTTTTATTATTTTATTTGTTTCTAAACGCATAAAACTTTATGGACTAGAAGAAAACTGAATCAAAGACTTATTTGTAATTTTATGGCATTAGAAAATTTAGAAGTTGGAACAAGTCAAGATACCCTTCTAACCAATTAAACAAACAGTTAGAATTCCTAATTTCCAAAACTTGCTAGTTTTTTTCAACATCATGGAACTAACTCCAATATATGTATGTATGTATAAATCGTTGTTATCAGCTTGGCTATTCAACAAAAGTCAACATAATATAATATGTAGTAATAAAAGTTAAAAATAATAATAATAATAAATAAATAAATAAAAGAAAAAAGAAAAGAAAAAGTTGGGTTATGCATGTATACCTGGTGTTGTTTGGCATTAGAGAGATCGGGGAGAGTGTGGCGGCGAGAGCTGGTGGATCCGATTCGACGGGACATGGATCCATCAAACCTCTGGGACGACAAGTGGTGCTGATGAATTGCCATTGACAGAGCCTGCCTGTGCAGGAACTCTTCTTCCGCAAGCATTTTCCGCTGAGATCGATTACCCTGCATTCGCTTGCTCTTCGATCCATTATCTTTTCCCTCCTTCTCCTTCTTCATACAAATGAATCGATTACCCATTTCTTGATTTGGTTAGAAATCACAAGAAGAGGGGGAAAAAACCCACAATTAGAAACGACGAAGACGTATTGGGGATGGAATTATTGGGCATTCTATTTCCTTTCCTTTCCTTCGTGTACAGAGAGAGAAAGAGAGGGGTAGTAGGTGAAAGGGAAACAGGGAGGAGTAATGAAGAAACTCAAAACCCAACAGATTATGCAAGCAATTTAATGTCTCTCTTTCTCCTTTTCAACGGTTACACTGACTTTCGCTCTCTCACTACTTTCTCTCTCCTCTCTTGTTTTCTTTCACAGCTCTTGAGTTCCTGCAGCAAACAAATTATGGAATCGGGAGGATGCTGTTCTTATTTTTATTTACCTGACACCTCTGCTTATTTTTTTTGTCTTGCTTTAATCGCCTGTATTTAAATGATAAAACAATAACATCAAATTTTCAACGCAACAATTACATATAAAGTGATTGTTCATTACTATATCTTGTTCACTTATAAAGTGATTATTGTCTCACAGTGAAAAGAGTCTTTACTTTATCGTAAAATTAATATTCAGTTTGTTCAGCTATAAAATGTTTTTTTTTTTAAGTATTTTCTATATAAAAAAATTTTGTGTAAAATATTTTATCAGATTTAAATAAAATATTTCAGTGAGTAAAAATTTTGATTAATCAAACACTTAAAAATAAAAGTAATTTTTTAAAAATATCTTACCTATAAAAAAAAACGGTGCCTAAATCACTTCTTGGGTGGGTTTTCATGAACTCCTCTCTCCCCGTAATTTGTTATCCAGTCTTATCGTCGGGCGACACGCCACGTTGGTAGATGGTGCGTGCGACTGTAAAGCCCCCTTTGTCACTATTGCTTCCTATCCTTTTTGTCTCATTTCATTAAAATTGATATGACATGTTTTCCACCTTTGATTTTCTTCTTATTTTGTTGCAACACCTTGTCCAAGTAGTAGTGGGGCTTCAATACACGGCTGACCATATATATTTTTTTGACCATATATATTTTTTCTTCTAGACCATATATATTTTTTTACTTTTTTCTTTATTTTTAGATAAATACGTGGTGTTTTTTTTTTTTTTTTCTATGATCTAGTAATATCTCTTTTATTTTTTAAAATAGTTGGTAAGGATTTAAATTCTCATAAAAAATAATAATAATAATTGTGTGAATTTTTTATCAATAAAGATAAATAAATAAATAAATAAAGTGTTTCTTTAAGAGTGAAACTGCAACATTGAGATCATTCCATGTTGATTTTCCCGCAATCCATTATGTTAGTTATAAGATTTAAATTATCATTTGAGACTATAAAAAGATATTGCATTAGTTAAGAATTTGGTTATCCATCACCTACTTTGCACTCCACTTTCTTTTCTTTTCTTTTTTTAAGAAAATGACAAAAATTCTCTAAACTAATTAATTTTCATCTTTTATAACAAAAATTCATGCTATGATGCCATCATTTTACGCAAACTTTAAGTGGAATTTTTTTACAAAAAACGTAGTGGAATTTATTTTTTTATTTGTAGGGATCAATTTTATTTCTATTATTATTGCTTTTTACCTTCTTTATTTTCTCTATATCTTATTTTTTTTGTTATGTCATTGTCAAAAGGGATAAATTTATTCAACATAAACAACATGCTTCAAAAATAAAATGAAATTGTTACCTTCTTTATTTTCTCTATATATATATTTTTTGTTATGTCATTGTCAAAAGGGATAAATTTATTCAACATAAACAACATGCTTCAAAAATAAAATGAAATTGCTACAGGAGTCAAAGGATTTCTAGAAGCAACAAATATATAATTTATATATGGGACAAGCGCATCGCGGAATATTTTTATCTTAGTTTGAAAAAATATACAAAAAAAATCTCTAATCTTTTCACATTGTCCAAAAAACAACCCTAATCTTTTCACATTGTGCAAAAATACATTTCAATCAGAAACCTGACATAAATTAGTGTTGTAATATCCATTTTGTCCTTTTACTTTTCAAAAAATGCACAAGGGATATATATGTTACTAATCTCATAGTGTAAGGATGTTATGTGCACATTACTCCATATATATATATATTTGAAAATTTTTCCTCTATATATATATATATCTCTAAAACTTTTTTTTTTTTTTTTTTTTTGAAACTTTGAAAATTTGTAAAACAAGGATTTGAATTTTTTGAGATTTCAGTTTACAAGAAAAAAAAAAAAAAAAAAATCTCAATATTAGTGTGCATTGGTTTTCAGAGTTTGGAGTATATTTGATTTATTTATTTTTGTTTTTTATTTATTATTTTTATCTTTACTTTTCTTTTATTTTATTATTATTTATTATTTTCTATTTTTATCTTTACTTTTCCATTGCTAGCGTCCTCCAATAATGTTGTTTTCGATCATTTTACAAAATTATTTATTTTTATATATTTTATGAAATGGTTCAGTAAAGGTAATTTAGTCAATTTAGGGTTTAAATTTGTGAGATAAATGTATCTGCATCAAATTGAAACTCTATGAATGTTTTTTTTTATATATAATAAATGTGATATGCACTGTAAATATACTTTAGAATTGTTTTTTTTGTACTTGACCCTTTATATAAAATTTTAACAAATATGATAGTTGACTTGTTTAAATGAAATGCAGTAGTTGTAATTTTGCAAGCGTGCAATAACAATATTATTATTAGTATTTTGTTTAATCTTGATGGTTTGAAGTGTGTTGATTTGGTGAATCAAGGAAGAAATTATAAAATTTAGCAACGAATCATTCGCTTGTGAGCTGTGCACTTGCTGTACTCAAGAGTAGCATGATGTTAGTTTTACAGTTGACTTGTTTAAATGAGGTACAGTTAAAGTTTTGCATGCATGTATTAACGGTTAATTAGGCAAAACTTGATGCAAAGGGGTTAGGTAAGAAAATTGTTATGATTGAGGAAGTTGGGCAAAGTTTGTAGCACTAATCACGCAGCTATAGAATGGGCTAATTCTGGAAAATATATAAAAACGAATGAATGATAGATAATAGGGATTGCATTTGAGTTCTTGAAAGTCCAAGCATTTCTGATTTGTTTATTTTTATTTTATTTTATTTTTTTAATCAACAACTCTCCTAAAGTCGTTGGGGTTAGTAATATAAATGGTTAGAAAAACCATGTTGAATGACCTTTGACATGGCAATTTGGAAAAATCTTTTTAAATTATATTTAAAAACAGAGTAGCATAGATGACAAATACAAAATTACCTGTATGATTTCAATCCAAAAGAATCCATAACAAATGTCAATCCAAATCAACAAAGTATTAAATCTAAATATTAATACAAGAGCATCAAGCGCCACTTCATCATCTGCTGGTTCCCACATGATCTGCACTTATAATATAATTTATATCAAACAAAGTAGTATGTAACATGTGATCAACTATTCAATTAAAGCCTACCATGCAGGATGTACAAACACTCCTCGAATGCAGTAAGAGTTAAAAATATTTTAAAGGGATAATTAAACTGACCTTCCTTAAAGTCTCGTAAATTTATATTGACTTCTCTTTTTATTTGTCAAATAACAACGACCTCTCTTGATGTTTGTTTGCATAAAACGATGACTGCTCCGCTGTTAACGAAAAATATTGTTGCTAACAAAAAACGATGATGTCATCCATTTTTAGTTTCAAATTCTCATTCTACCCCCTCAATTAACTAAAATATCTAAAATACCCTCATAGTTATTTCTCTCATCTCTCCTCAAATTATCTCTCCAATCTCTTTTTCTCTCTTTCCTTAATCAAAACCAAAACGTAAAGCGTCTGCCACCGACTGTGACCAGACCCGAAGAACGGTATTGTATTCATTTTCTTCCATTAGTGGAATTAATGACTGGGAGGAAGCGAGGGCACCAGCCGAAGATCGCGAAATAGATAAGGAGCGATTGGCGGTTGTAGGCATCGGGGGATTTCGGGCGAGGGAGTCTGGGGCCAGTGGATTTTCTGTTAAGTACTCGCCTAACGTGAAGTTATGTTGTCCAGCGGTGAAGGTGGTGACACGGCGGTGGTAAGATGAATTGATACGGTGGCGGCGAGATCAGCTGTGGAACCGCGAGCAAGGATGTTGGTAGCGGTCTAAACTACAGCCACGGAACTAACCGGCGAGGACGCAGGTCTGAACTGCTGCCACGGAATGAACAAGCAAGGTGAACGGACATGGAACTTACCGACGAGCACGCGAATTGAATCAGCGATGAGAAACAGATCAGTAGTGACGGAGTACGAGCAAGTACTATTGTTGGTTAAGTTCTGCAGCTGGGTTGGGTGTTTGGGTTGCGATTGGTGTAAAGGTTTTGCAATTGGGTATTAAATTCAGAAACTTTAAAATTCAAGCAATTCTCTCGTATGGGTCTCTCTCAATCGCTCCAAAATCTTTAATTCTTGTGGGTCTTTCATAGAACTCAGACTCGTTGGTGAGCCAACTCGGTGAGATCATAAAGGACATTTCTGGGCTACCCGAGTGCAACACACCTCGGAGAAGATGTACAGTACTTTGTTTCAGAATTGAGGCCTCTGTTTGAGCGGCCAAGTGAGGGTTCTCGGTGATGAAGATTCGGCAGTAACAGAATGGTAAGCAGAGATTCACAAGGGGGTTTTAGGGCATTTTTGTCTTTTTAAATTACATTGTGTTTTTAATAAAATACAATAATATACGACGGTTGAAAAGTAATTTCATTATAACCGTTCCCGTCCTCAATCCAAAAGCTCGGAGAGGTCATTGTTATTTGACAAATAAGAAGGAAGATCAGTGTAGGTTGACGAAATTTTAAGAGAGGTCAGTCTAATTATCCCTATTTTAAAATTTAAATATTTTATTTTTTAGTTGGACACTATTTAGATACGACACGTTTTTAATATTCTCAGCATAAGGCAAAGTGATTTTTATAATTATTTTTTAAAAGAATGTGAATCAATGCAATTTAAAATGTATTATGAATTAATTAGAAACATAAAATAAAATTTTAAAATATATTAATGAACATCTAGTTACGATTAGTTATTTCATTCATGATATTGATAAACAACCAAAAATTATTATATAAAAAATATGTAATATATATATATATATATATATATATGTATGTATATGTATATTGATGTATTCATGTCGTATTCATGTCTATACATGTATAGTGACGTACTCATATCTCATGTATAGTGATGTACCCATATCTCGTGTTTTTATATGTACTTTATAGCCTACCATGAATCCAGACTAAATTTATTAAATTTAGTATACATTCTAAAATAACAATAGGTTTTCCATTCACAAATTTATTTTCATTATATCATGCTCCATTCAAGATTCTTGCACTGCTTATAATTCTAACTTGGAAACTCTGATATATTTACAATCTCAAAAATAACTATCAATGCTCCCTTAACCGCATTCCTTTAACAGTGTGTTTTGGATAAATCATTCAAAAGAACAAAAAGAAATAGTATCAAAGAATTGTGTTGCCAGATCAGGATTCTCTAAGTTAAAATCTTTTTATATTATTTTAAGTTGAATTATTATGGTTTTAACATGTGTCATTTCACATAAATATAGGCTGACAACACTTCACATAATTTAGTGATAAAAAAAGGTATAAAACGATAACGTTTTGAAGAAGAAAGACAACTTCAAGTTTCCAATCACCCACCTCTCTCTACCAGTATTCTTGATTTATTTTTTTTCATTTCATCTCATGCAACTGGATTCTCAGTTTATTCCTTTAGTTTTGACAATGTTTATTCTTTCAGTTTTCGAGAATGTTTCAACCATGTTTTGCCAATGTTTTTCTTGCTTGAGATGAAAAAAAAAAAAAAAAACTCAAACAAAGAATAATAGTAGAGAGAGGGGGGTGGTTGGAAAACTAAAATTGTTTTTCTTCCTCAAAACATGGTTGTTTCAAACTTTTATTTTTTTATGACTAAATTATGTGGACCGTTGTCGGTCCTAAATTTAGATGAATTGACATATATAAAAATCGTAACAATTCAACTTTAAATAATATAGAGAGATTTTAACTTAGAGGATCCTAGTCCGACCATATTTTTCTGTTATATCATCTTCCAATCTGCCTAATCTCTGTTGCCATCATTGACCTCTATTTTTTCTGTTACATCATCTCCCAATCTGCCTAATCTCGCAAAATATAGGAAAACACAATGCTAAAGTGCCTTGTTTGTTCCTTCAAGCTGTTGTCAAGAACAGTTGCTACCATCCTTGCTCTTTTATGTCGAGTGATAAAGATCAAATAGAAAAATATGTTTGGGAAAAAGAAAAAAAATTAAATGTGGCTATTAAATTTTTTTTAATGGAGGATAAAAGGTATCATTAGGGTAACTTTTTCCTTTTCTTCCTCTAATATGTTTGGTTTTCAGCCATTAAATTATTGTATTTCCTCTATCACATGGTGCAAACAAAAATGCATTTGAGAGGAAACAATTATACCTGGATCAGATCTTCATCCACATATTCCTTATTTCCATAGACAGACAATAAGATGTTCCCCAGGTTATCTCTGAATTAGCCATGAACCACAGGGTATTCACATTAAGCCCTAGACGAAATCAAGAATATCTGAATAAATACCAACTCAATAAAGTAGCTTTGTTTGAAACGATCAAAGATAAATGAAGCAATCCCTTTTTGTTTCAGTAAGAAGTCAACTATCCAAAGAAAAGGTAACAACAGCTTCATTCTCCAATCATCCACGATTGCCTTTGTTCATACCACCATCACAATTTAACAGAACAAGCCCTCGAACCAGGGATTCAGTTGACTCTGCTCAGTGGAAATGAAACAATATAAAGGAAAGGAAAAACAATACAAAAGCTCCATTTGTTTTTTTTGGACGGAAAATATTTTTTAGAAATTATTCTTTTATTTTTGGTGTTTAGTTGATCAAAAACTTAAGAAAAATTTGTATTGAGTGAAGTATTTTATCTAAACCTAACAAGATATTTTAAGTCCAAACAAATGTAGTGTCAAAATTTTCCTTATTGGAACCAGTAGGGGATTCAAATTAATGTATTATTTGAATTTATATTATTTGTTACTTGCATCACCAATTCTTTATTTAAAAAAATATAAAAAGATAAATTTCATAGTTACAAGTGTAACTACATATTATTATTATTTTTTTGCACGTGTCGTAAATAGTTATATCCTAGAGTATCCTTTTCCCTCATTTTGTTTTTCTATTCAACCAAAAAGAGAGAGAAAATCGTACCATTTCATGCCATTTTATTACTTTTTATAATAAAAGGTAAAATTTTGTCAATCTAATTGTTTTGATTAAATGTCATCTCATATATGATGGTATTTATAATATATAAGGTAAATTAGATTGACCTCTCAAGTTTGGACAAATTACATATAAATAGACCATTTGACCCTTTTTACTTTGAATTCTCATTTGAGTGTGAAAAGTTAGTCGTGCCCTTTATATTATATTTTTTTTAATGAGAAATTACCTTTTTGTCCAACATTATTTAAAAATACTCCCACTCAAAGGAAGGGTAACATGGTCATTTTATAAAAAAATTACCGGAGGGAGAGTCACTAAGCACATGCACCAAACTTCATGGATAGTCAAAGTAATAAACCTCAAATATTCTACCCGTGTGTAATTTTACAAAACCTTAGGAAAGTCAGTACAATTTACTTTAACATTCATAATTAAGAATTTTAATTCATAATTTTTTATTCTTTTCTTTAATTAAAAGTATGATATTGTATGTAATAGAAAATATAAGTTCAAATATTATTTAAGAAATGAAAAAAAAAAAGGAGAGATAATCTTATCATATATATATATATATATATTTTTTTTTTGATAAAAGATAAAATCTTATAACCAAATTCACACAATTGGGAACATTACATAAACCCCCTGAGCCCTGACTTAGTGGGGGTATTTTTGATAATAAGTTAAAAAATAATCCCTTCATTTATTTGAGGGAGGACTTTTGGCAAAAATAATTTTTAAATAAAAAGTTTACAGCAAAACACTCTAAGGTGGAGGTTTAGATGTGGTTTATAATAAAAGAAAAAATGTATAAAGAACCCTCACTTTATATAATATTGCTAAATTTATAAAAGAAAAATCTATTTATTTTTTTGGGTAACAAATTAACAATGTTAATTTCATCGCCCTATAAAAACGTATTCAACTAGTTCTCAAAATTGAAGCTAGCACAGAAAAAAAAAGATCACCAAATTCTATGTCGAAAATCAAATATGCATGTTAACGTTTTTTTTTTTTTTTTTGTTTTTTCAAAACAAAAAGAGCAGGATTTTATTCAACGTAATTCAAATAATTACAATAACTCATCACTGCTTAAGTAGCTTGTACACTCATCCACATCTTGCTTACAATTCACACCATATTTAACTAAAAAAAATGTGGAAAGTAACAAGCTTCTCCATGGGAAATTATCTGAGTTCCTTAAGCATCATCTTCATGTTTTCCATTGTTGCTTTCGGTAACTGCAGTCACCATATTAAGGAATCAGTCTCAAAGGCTGCATTACACATCTCAACACTGCGACCCATCTTTCCATTAACAATAGTTATGTAGTTGCAATGAAATCAGTAAACAAAGTCTAAAACAAAATTTCTACACTGTTTTTTCTTGTTTATTATTATTATTATTATCTTTTACCAAATAATGTCAAAATCAAGTATTGAACTGATAATTATAGAATTTGATGGGTATTCAACCATGATTTAAAAATTCGAATCAAAATAAGGCTATAAAATCGAAAAAAAAATATTGATTCTAAAAATGCAAGCACCATGCCACATTCCAGGTTTATGCATTATTTGATTACCAATATATATATATATATATATATATATATATATAATGACATCTCAAGCTTATACAATTTTTTTTTTCCACTTCAAACATATCCGTGGAAAAAAGAAAAGAAAATGTATTGATAAATATCTACTCTCTTAAAGGGTTTAAAGGACGAAACCCTTTAAAAGCCTAAACCCTATCGTTGCTCGTGTTGGACTTAGAGCTGAAATGGCCGGTCCATTGCTACGATCTCTCTGGTCTACCACCAGAAATTCTCTCTCCTCCAACAATTCCAATCCGTCCACCCTTCTCAAAACCTATGCTACCCCCCGCGCCACCGGCCTCGCACGAGCCTTCTCGGCAGCGCCTGCTGCCGCAACCTCCTCCGCCGTTCCCAGCGGCGCGCTGGATCCGAGCAGGCTTCGGAACGTGGCAGTGATTGCTCACGTTGATCACGGCAAGACCACTCTCATGGATCGGCTTCTCCGGCAGTGTGGCGCCGACATCCCCCACGAGCGCGCCCTCGACTCCATAAACCTCGAGCGCGAGCGAGGTATAACTATTGCTTCCAAGGTATTGCACCTTCTTAAACCCTAAAGCCTCAGTTTGATTGTTGTAGAATTGGACAAAGAAGGAAAGAAAAAATAAAAATGAAAATTTGAATCTTCAAATGTTTCGTGCTGAGAATTGAACAAAACAAAGAAAATGAACATGACGTTGAATTCTCTGTCAGGTTGTATCAGATGTAATACTTCAATTTTATCTGTTTACTAAAGCAGCCAAAAGATATTCTAATTTCTTAAACTCTACTACCTCTGTCTGTGTGATTGCCAAAGAAGTGAATGAAAAGAGCAAAATGAAATGAAAGCTCAAGTCTTCAAACTTCTCATGCTGATAACTTCATATACTATATCGGGTTGTATCAGCTGTAAAACTTCTTTCCCTCTGTTCTATGAGCAGGCAAACAAAATAGAAAGAGGAAAAAAAACATAAAGGAGGAAAAATCTTTCTATTCGGTCGTGGAATTGATTCCTGCATAGTTGTTTTCATTCCATGGTTTCATGCATTGTACTGTTTGGGTAACTTTTTCAGTATTTTTGACCTGAACAAACTAGACAAGCAATTCAATAATTTGGCTTAGTTGAGTTTTTCATTCTCTGGAAACTAAATGGAAAACCGAATCTCTCAGGCTGACCAGGTTTAGTTGAAATTTACTAGTATGGGTGGAGATGGATATGTATTTTTAAAAAAAACTCTCTTTCACATTAACACAACACATTATATAAAATTGGATATTCTCTAATGAAAATTTTCCTGCTGCCATGGCGTAGAATCAAAATCCAACTCATGTACAAATTACTTAATTGAGATATGAGATTTTTTCGGGGAATGACATATACTAAAACGAACATATCCTTAATGGATTGCTTTTTTTTTTTTTTTTTTTCCCCTTAAAGGATTACCCATATTGCTTGATTCATGTTAATAATAGTATGAGATTCTATCACTAATGTATGACATTGTTGGGATGTTATGAAGAACTTGCTGAATGCCAATAGGACTTTGACCCATTTCTTCCAAGTGGAGATAGGAATGATGCCTTTGTGCTCGAACCACATAACAACACTATATGTACCAAGTATACTGACCATAGAGCTGTTTTTGTTTGTGGATTTTATTTTTAAATCTAGACTCTATTTCATATGGATGTTCATATTGGACCTTCTTTTGTTGATGATATCTTGAGTATTAACATGACTCCAGAATGAGGTATCTAAACAGGGTATTTGATTCATGTTTATTATGCAGGTTACATCCATTGCGTGGAAGGACAATGAGCTAAACATGGTCGATACACCTGGACATGCAGATTTTGGGGGTGAAGTATGTCTCTACAAATGTGTGTTATTTTTTTTCCTTTCCCGATTCTACAAAGATTTCTATTTAGTGTAGAGTTATTAATGTATCAAGGTAATAGTTTAGAAGATTTGCCATGAGTTGAAATATTGGAAATTGGGATCTTTGGGCCTTTTTTCGTGCATGCTTTATGAAGCTGAAGTGAGGTGCTTTTTTGATATATCTGACAATTCATGAAGCAACTGAACCATTTTTTCTTTCTATTATTTTTCTTTCTATTATTTTTCTTTCTTCTATAGATTTTAAACAACTGAAGTTTAGAGCTTAAAACATTTTGTAGGGTATATTTGTCATATCAATTAAAAATATAAAACCTTTTCTGCTGAAAGTATTTGAGGTAGTGTGGAAAAACTTGTGGGGTAAATGGCAATGGATCTTAAAAATGATATTCGGTAAGCAAAAAAGCAAGTAAATTTCTTTTAAGTCGCATGACAGCCACACTGTTACTAATCACAAAACTTTAGCTGTACTACAATCATCACTACTGCAAAGAAGCACTTTATTTTATTTTATTTTTTACGTGCTTTTATTGTTTTTTTATTCATGTATCCCTTTTTTTCCCCAAAAACTTCTTACCATATACACTTCGGAATTTTTCCTTGCTGCAAAATGCTGAAAGCAAAAACACAAAATTGGTTGTTTTTATGCTTATCAAAAGTTTCTTCAACAAGCCCAAACAAATGTGCCTTCGAGAAGATTTTTAGAATTGCGATGTGCACAGTGTCATCAAGGAATTAGAAATTTGATGTTGCTGGCCTAAAATCCCTTCACATCTATAATGGAAATGCTTCATGTGCAGTTTAGCTTTAGATTTCATAAACTCGTAAAACATGGTACATAAGAAATAACTTAGGAAAATGAACAATGGGCAAGAAATGAATAATATACATTAGTTCTCGGTGTAGAAGTAATTATTGGTTGTTTTTATGCTTATCAAAGGTTTCATCAACAAGCCCAAACGAATGTGCCATCAAGAAGATTTTTAGAATTGCGATGTGCACGGTGTCATCAAGGAATTAGAAATTTTATGTTACTGGCCTAAAATCCCTTCATATATATAATGGAAATGCTCCATGTGCAGTTTAGCTTTAGATTTCAGAAACTTGTAAAACATGTTACATAAGAAATAACTTAGGAAAATGAACAATGGGCAAGAAATGAATAATATACATTAGTTCTAGGTGTAGAAGTAATTATTGCATGAGTTATATTTCATAGACATCAGGCAAGTTTCAAAGCATGAACTTTCAGTGTTTCAACTTTGAAGTATCTCTCTTTATACTTTGTCTTGAAATGCTTAAACAGAAAATATTCACACAAAAGAACAATAATAAGAACTTTAATATTTTTATTTATTGTGCTTGTAACTGATATTTATACAAATTCAATTTTCTTGGATGAGTACATAGGTTGAGCGGGTTGTTGGCATGGTTGAGGGAGCAGTTTTGGTTGTAGATGCTGGTGAAGGTCCGCTTGCGCAGACGAAGTTTGTTCTTGCTAAGGCCTTAAAATATGGGCTGCGCCCTATTCTTCTTTTGAACAAAGTAGATCGACCAGCAGGTATATAACTTTTTTGGAAAGTTGTGTTTTCTACATTTTTATTTAGACTTTGCTTTATATTTCATTTATGCTGTTTCCACTTTCCAGTGCAAAACAAAGGGTTTAAATAATTGTCTGTAATGGCAAACTTTTTATCCACTATGTTCCCCCCCTCCCCGCTACATCTTTTATTCCACTTTTCTTTTTGCCCGGTATCATGTATTTCTGTGTTAAGTTTTTATTTATTTATTATCATGTCTTATAACCTGATGGGTCCTATCTTAAAATCAAGACAATACCAAAACTTTCTGTTTTCGATCTCAATGGATCCCTATGACTGCACAGAGGAGAAGAATAGGTAGGGATGACATGATTGGAACCAATGACATTTTTTAACCCTAAAACAGGCCTCTTAAAAAAAAAGTTTCAGTTTGAGTCAAGTTTTATTGTTTCTATAAGTTAATTTGCTGATGATTTAATTTTATATACATTTTTCTTATGTTTTAAAAGTCATGGTTACTTTTGTAGTTTCTGTTCCCAAAACTCTACCCGAGAAAGCTTTAACCAATCCTAATCCTGGATATGAGGGAGGGCATCTCATTTGTATGGCCTATCTTCTACATGTGCTTCTCTCTCAGCTCTAAAACCTAGTTGAAGGTTGAGGTCTGCAAACAAATATAAATCTTCTACATGTACATATATGTATGTTTGAAAGTAAATAAGCTTGAAACTGGAAAGAATGAAATGAGTTATTGGAAAGAGCACTCAAGATTAGTCTTTGTGATACCCAAAACTATTACAAAGAAGATTGGGAGAATTGATTTTGTGGTATCAGTCACTCTTGTTCTTTTTAGAAACATTTGAATTATTTTTTCCTTTCTGGTTTCAATTAATGAATATTCTAATTACCAATTTTGGTTGGATTCAAGTTAAGTTTGTCCTTTCTTTGATTGGTTTATTTATTTTTTAAAAATCCTATCTTTTGTTGTTCATGACCATATATTCGCAAACTCAACGATAATATTCAACAAGAACACAAGGGAGAGAAGACACAAAGGGGAAGTTCGCAAACTCAACGATAATATTCAATATTCCAAAACTTGGTTCTCAATTTTTTCAATAAATAGATTCAATAAAAAGCGTTCAAGAGGGGAATGTATCCCAAATACAAGCAAAGAAAACAGGGGCCTAGGGCCCCAAGGAATCTAGAAAATCAATAGTCACCGCAGGGGAGTAACAATATCTACCTGAACCCCAAAAAGAAAGGGAACTTATAACAAAAGATTTGAGAGCAGCATCCGAGGATTCCTGTCCTTCGAAAACTCTTTTATTACGCTCCCTCCACAAACACCACCAAAGACACAAAGGAGCCATCCTCCACTGTCCTCTGGCTTGTGGACCCACATACACCCCTCTCCAAGCCTCTAGAAAACCTCTCGTCGATCGAGGCATGACCCAAGAAACTCTAAAAAGACCCAGCAAAAGATTCCAATAGTCCGAAGCCATTGGACAATGTAAGAGAAGATGATCAATTGGCTCTCCATTGCACTTACACAAGTAGCACCAGTTAACAATAATCTGTTTTCTCTTCCTCAGGTTATCAAGCGTTAAGATCTTGCCCCACACTGTTGTCCTGGCAAAAAAAGCCACTCTCATTGGTACCTTGGAGTGCCAAACTTCCTTCCACGGAAAAGAAACCCCGACTGAATCCGAAAAGCATCCAAAAACGGATTTCACACAAAAAGAACCCCTAGCCGAAGGAACCCAAACAAGAGAATCCCTGTCACCACCACTAAACTCCTGACTATACAAAAGCTTCAAAAAACCACATACCTCATCCAACTCCCAATCCTGAACAGATCTCCGAAAATGGACATTCCAGGTCATCCTCCCGCTATCAAGACGATAGTAGTCAACAACCAAGGCATGCCTATCAACAACAATCTGAAACAAAGTAGGAAAAGAGTGAGCTAAAGAACGGTCACCACACCAAAGATCCTCCCAAAAACGAATGTCCCTCCTATCCTGAACTCGAAATCTGATATACTTGGAAAACTCATTCTGCCCCTTCCGAATGGCTTTCCAAACTCCAACACCTTCGGGAATCAAAACCGAACCTGAACACCACCCCCCAATTTCCTCACCATAACAACCCACAACAGCTTTCCTTCATAGTCTATGGTGCTCAATACCAAACCTCCACAACCACTTCCCTAGGAGGGTCCTGTTAAACGGCACAAGTCTCCTAATCCCTAGGCCTCCAGACTGCATAGGCCTACACACCTGATCCCAACGAACAAGATGATACTTAAATTCATCCCCTAACCCTCCCCATAGGAAATTCCTCTGCAGTCTCTCAATCGAAGCGGCTACTGAGGATGGAATTTGGAAAAGGGATAAATAATAAGTAGGAAGACTCGACAAAGTGCTCTTCAACAGAATGAACTTCCCACCTTTCGACAGGTGTAGCTTCTTCCACCTTGCAAGCCTCCTCTCCACCCTCTCAACCACAGGATCCCAAGCCCCCCCAGTTCTCAAAGAAACACCCAAAGGCATGCCCAAATAGGAAATCGGAAAAACACTGACTCCATAGCCCAGAACCGTGGCAAGACCGTCGATATTTGGAACCTCCCCCACTGGAATCAGAGCACTCTTCACCACATTAACTTTCAGACCTGAAACTGTTTGAAAACAAATCAGAACGGACCTCAAATACCTCAGTTGGGTCTCCTCCGCCTCACAAAAAACTAAAGTATCATCCGCAAACAATTAATGAGAAATCTCCAAATTATGGGCGTCATCCCTGCCACCTTGAACCCCTTGATAAAGCCCAACTCCATAGCCCTCCCCATTAGCCTGTTAAGAGCCTCTATAACAGTAATGAATAAGAAGGGTGACAAGGGATCCCCTTGACGCAACCCCCGCGGGCTGCTAAAGAAACCTGTCGGAGACCCATTAACCAACATTGAGAATCTCGCTGAAGAAATACAAAACTCAATCCATCTCCTCTATCTATCACCAAAGCCCATCCTTTCCAACATATATAACAAGAAATTCCAATTCACATGATCATAGGCTTTCTCAACATCGAGCTTACACAACACCCATGGAACACCACTTCTCAACCTAGCATCCACACATTCACTAGCAATGAGTATGGAATCCAAAATCTGGCGCCCCCCTATGAAAGCATTCTGCGATTCCGAAACAACATCGTCCAGGACCTCCCTCAATCTCAATGCTAGGACTTTAGCTATTAGTTTATAAATATAGCCCAACAAACTAATAGGTATAAAATCCTTCACATCTGAAGCTCCCCCTTCTTCGGTATAAGAGCAATAAACAATGCGTTCAAAGACATCTCAAATCGCCCCTGAGAATAAAACGCATGAAACGTACCCATCACATCAACCCTGACCACATTCCAACTTTCCAAAAGGAATCTCATCGTAAAACCATCCAGTCCTGGAGCTTTATCCCCGTTGCAACTCCTTAACGCCTTCAACACTTCCTCTTCTGAGAGTGGGATCTCCAGTCCGTCCCTAGTAATCTCAGAGATAGAATCAAAATGAAGTCCATCCAAACGCGGTCTCCAAGAGACAGGCTCTCTAAACAAGCCTTGATAAAAATCTGCAATCCCCTTACGAACATCCTCCTCCCTAACAAAAGCCTCCCCATCAACTGTGAGCCTCCCAATGTGATTACCCCTCCTATGGGCATTGGCAAGCCGATAAAAAACCTAGTGTTCTTGTCGCCCTCCCTAAGCCATAGAGCCCTAGATTTTTGTCTCCAGGAAATCTCCTCCAACAAAGCACTCTCTGCAATCTCAGCTTGGCACCCGGCCCTTCTGGCTCTCTGACCCTCATCAATGCCACCTATACCATCTCGACGATCAATCTCTGCAAAGGCCCGCACCTTTCTCCACTCAATAATTTTTTTTTTTTTTTTGATAAGTAAATTGTATTAAAAGCGTTCAAAAAGGGGAACGCGACCCAAACTATACAAAGACAAAACGGATCCTATGAATTCAAAGAGCTCATAAAATCAACAATCTCCTCAAGAGAGGAGTAGTCTCTCCCCTGACCCCAACAAAACAAATTACAAATGATAGAAAATTTTAACACCCCAATGGAGGATTCCTTTCCCTCAAAAGATCTTCCATTACGCTCTCTCCAAAGGCTCCACCAAATACAAAAAGGGATCACCCTCCAGAAAACTCTGACCTGAGCCCCCACCCATTGGCCCCTCCACATATCTAACAACTCCCAAGATGACCGAGGCATGACCCAATGAATACCAAACAGGCCAAACATCAAACTCCAACAATCATGAGCCACAGGACAGTGCAACAAAAGATGATCCACCGACTCCCCATTAATCTTGCAAAGACAACACCTATTAACAATGATATGCCTTCGCTTCCTCAAGTTGTCCAAAGTCAAAATCTTACTCCAAGCTGCAGTCCACACAAAAAAGGCCACCCTAAGAGGCGCCTTAGACCTCCACACCGTCTTCCATGGGAATGAGGTACCATGAAAACCAGAAAGGCACACAAAAAAGGACCGGACCTGGAACATCCCCTGAGAAGAAGGTACCCAAATCAAGGAATCTGCCCCAGACCCCTCCACCTCCTATCCGTAAAGAAGAGCCAAAAACCCAGTGACATCATCCAGCTCCCAATCCTGAAAAGCTCGTCGGAAACGCACATCCCAAGACAACCTTCCACTATCAAGGCGATAGTAGTCAGCAACCATTGCATGTTTGTCAACAGCAATCCTAAAAAGCCTGAGAAACAATAGGGCCAAAGGCCTATCATCACACCATGGATCCTCCCAAAACCGGACAGTTCTTCCATCCCGAACTCTGAATCTAATATGTTTGGAAAAGGCATCCCACCCCTTACCAATGGCCCTCCACACCCCCACTCCGCTAACAGACCTGACTGGTCTAGCTGACCACCCTCCTCTCTCCTCCCCAAAGCGACATGAGATAACCCTTCTCCATAATCTATGTCTTTCCTTACCAAATCTCCAAAGCCACTTACCAAGAAGAGCACAATTGAAAAGGGCCAATCTCCTAATTCCAAGCCCTCCCAACTGAATAGGCCTGCAAACCTGTTCCCATTTGACAAGATGATACTTGAACTCTTCTCCGCGACCCCCCCAAAGGAAATTACGTTGGAGCATTTCTAGTCTTCCAACAATAGAGGCTGGAATACGAAAAAGCGAAAGAAAGTACGTTGGAAGGCTTGACAAAGTGCTCTTCACTAACGTAACTTTACCGCCCTTTGACAGATATTGTTTTTTCCAACCCGCTAATCTTCTCTCGACCCGCTCAATCACCGGTTCCAACTTCCCACCCTCCTAGCCGAGTCCCCCAGCGGCAAACCCAAGTACGAGACGGGAAAGCGTTGCGTCCCACATCCTAGGACAGCAGCTAGAGTGTCCACCTCCTGAACGTCCCCCACAGGAACAATCACACTCTTTCCCACGTTAACTTTCAAACCAGAAACAGCCTGGAAACAAACCAAAACACATCTCAGATACCTCAACTGGGAAATATCAGCCTCACAAAAAACAATAGTGTCATCCGCAAAAAGTAAATGAGAGATCTCCAACTGCTGAACTGATTCAGGGCCAATCTTGAAACCCCCAAATCCACCGCCCTTCTCATCAGCCTGCTAAGGGCCTTCATAACAATAATAAAAAGAAAAGGGGAGAGAGGATCCCCCTGTCTCAGCCCACGAGAACTGCCAAAGAACCCCGACGGAGAGCCATTCACCAACACCGAAAACCTGACAGTGGAAACATAAGAAACAATCCACGTCCTCCATCTCTCACCAAAACCCATCCTCTCCAACAGATAGAACAGGAAATTCCAGCAAACATGATCATAGGCTTTCTCAATATCCAGCTTGCACAGAACACCAGGAGTCCCACTACGAAGTCTAGAATCCACACATTCGCTAGCAATAAAAGCGGAATCCAGAATCTGTCCACCTCCAACGAAAGCATTCTGAGACTCAGAGATAACTCCATCCAGGACCTCCCTCAATCTAAAGGCAAGGACTTTTGCAATGATCTTGTAAATGCACCCGATCAGACTAATGGGTCTAAAATCCTTGATATTAGAAGCACCACCCTTTTTAGGAATAAGGGCAATAAAAGATGCGTTAAGCGATTTCTCAAATCGCCCCGTGGAATGGAACTCATGAAAAGTGCCCATAATCTCGTACCGCACCACCTCCCAGCTTTCCAACAAAAATCTTATCGTGAAACCATCAGGACCTGGAGCCTTATCACCATTGCAACTCTTTAAAGCCTTCAGCACTTCCTCCTCCGAAAAAGGATTTTCCAGCCCATCTCTCTCCAAGGCAGAAATAGAATCGAAGTGAAGACCATCTAGACGAGGTCTCCAACGAAGAGGCTCAGAATAAAGTCCTTGATAGAAAGAGACAATAGCACTTCGCACCTCCTCCTCTGAAGACAAAACTGCACCATTCACACACATCCGCCCAATATGATTACTCCTCCTATTAGCATTAGCAGTTCTGTGAAAAAACTTCGTATTACGATCCCCCTCTTTGAGCCATAATGCCCGAGATTTCTGACGCCACGAGATTTCCTCCAAAAGAGCAATCTCCACACATTCTGCCTGGCAAGCTGCTCTTCTACTGCGTTGAGATTCCGAAATAGCACCCTCCCCTTCCAATTGATCAATCTCCGCAATATCAGCCAAAGCCCTATTCTTCCTCCACACCAAGCTCCCAAACACCTCCTTATTCCACCTTTTAAGATTTGTTTTCAAGATTCGAAGCTTTCCGGCAAACACCTCCTTGTTCCACCTTTTAAGCTCATTCTTCAACATCCTAAGCTTACTTGCAAGAATAAAACTCGGATTCCCAGACACCGTGTACCCTTCCCACCAAGAACTCATACTTCCCTGAAAATCATTCGCCCTAAGCCACATGTTTTCAAAACGAAAAGGAGTAATCCTCAACCCCAACCCACCACAATCTAACATCAAAGGAATATGATCCGATATCAATCTAGCCAAAGCTGCCTGTGCCACATCCGGAAACTTCTCCTCCCAATCTCCATAAATGAGAAATCTATCCGGGCGTGAAAAAGTGGGTGACTCTCTGCCACTGGTTCAAGTAAACCTCGCTCCCTCCATCGGCAAATCATGACGATGATGTCCATCAATGAACTCTGAAAACTGAACCATAGCTAAAGTCCACCTTCCTCCTGTCAATCTCTCCAAAGGGGATCTCACCACATCAAAGTCGCCTCCAACACACAACGGAAGACCCCACTGTTCCTTCACAGACCCCAACTCCTCCCAAAGTATGTGCCTATCCAAAAATACCAAAATAACCCTAAAATTCAAACGTTATAAAAAATAACAATAAGCATGAATAAAAACCCTAAATTACTAAAATCCCTTATTCTATATTTCTTTTCCCCTTCTCCAATGGTAAGTGCTGGTCATATGTGGTTCTAGCTCTTGAGTTGCACCTTGTTCTCCATCAACATTTCTCCACAAGTGTCCAAGAAGATTTATATAATATAATCACACTAAGGTGCTCTGATTTTGACACGTGACCTGCCTTAGTACTAGGTTAACATATCCAAACTGTTAGGAGGTTATAAAATAGTTGTATATAATCAACACTTCCATTTTTCTTTTTATGTTAGAATTTGTTAGTTATATGAGTCATGTGTTGGTATATTCCTTCTTAGAACTTGTGTTGTAATGTGTCAAAGTGTCTTGAGTCGTCTGATTATATGCATTGAAGACAAGACAAACACAGAATTGCAAAGAACACGGTGGAAAATTTGCATACTCAATCACATAACTAGGACACAGGTAAATTGGCCTTAGAAAGACCTAATTTGACCTATTTTGTTAACTTTGTTTTATTATTTTTCTATTTATAAATCTTGGTTGGGCTCATAAAATTGTTTTGTATGTGTTTTAAACTTTTAGCAAAAATGGCTTTTCAAAATAAAAGTTTTAGATATTTTTTGGAATAATGTTAAACCGGAAAGATCAAATGGTTGATGGATCGAGTTTTTAAACAGAAATTTCCCTTCAAATCCAGTAAGCTTCGATCAGAGGGATCAATGAGTGTCCAGTAGGCTTTGATCAAAAGCTCAACCAATTGAACCCTACGGGCTCACTTTATGGAAACTCAAATGAAAATTCTACAAGGACTTTTACTTGCCATACTACATGGATCTCCTATATCGGCTATAAATATGGAGTTATCAGTTTAGGGTATCTCTCACACTAGCTTTCAACTCTTTATATATTATTAAGAGGATTTAGAAAGAGAGAGCTTTGAGAATCCGGTCAAATGAGAGGAAGACTAGTTGTAATAGAAGGTAAGAGACGGAGACGGCAGCCAAAAATAACATGGGATGAGGTTATTAAAAATGATTTTAAAAAGTTAAATATAGTAAGTGATTTGACATGTAATAGAAAAGCCTGGAGAGAAATAATTCATGTGGCTGACCCCATCCATATGGGATTAAGGCAAGTATGATGATAATGATGAGGAAAGCTTTGAGAATCCATCTAGGGTTCTTCATTAATTACCATTTTATATGTGATTGAGATAATCAAAGCAAGGAGCTGTGAATTGAGAATATCCATCCGAGCATCAACCTAGTGGTTTATTAAGAACATTTTACCCTACGTAACTAGTTATTGGAGATCAGAAGTCCATGGAGAAGCAGATTGCGTAAGGAGCGAGTCTGTCTACAGATCAATGGCTGGAAGATCTGGGGCGATCTTGCGCAAGTCTGAGTCGGGAGGGAGTAGGGACTACATGATTCTTAGGTTAGAGTCTGTTAACGTAGTAACTTCTTTCTCATATAGTGGATTTTGATAGGTTCTGTGTTTTATCCTGTTTGAGTTTTGCACATAAAAGATATTGTGTGTGTACTTTATTTATTGCTTTATGAGTTTGTGTGATGATGAATGAAAGACATAATTAGCTGATTAGCTGAATTTCAAAAAGGATCAACAGTAATTAGAATAGTTATTTAAATGCAAAATAATATTCATAGGTTCTATTCACTCCACATCTAGGTCAAACTCACTGCTCACTCTCTGACACATCAGAGCCTTGGATTCCGATCCTACGGTTTTATCTGAATTATTTCAGCTAAGATTTAGGATTACGATATCATTTTGAATGCATAGTACATTGAATTGATTTTTGAATGGGGAAACTCCACTGGATCTATAGTCGGAGACTTTTGAATACAAGCATTCAAACTGTACAGCTTAGTTATTTCATTGTTCTCTTTTTTTATTTCTTTGCATTTTTCAATTGTTTTGTTTCATCTTTTACTAAAATCTTGTTTTTGTTATTATCAAAATCTTCAACCCTTACATTAATGCTATGTTTTATGGTGGTTGTTCCATTTTAATGTATTAATTAGTAAACATAGTTTTATAGCGACAAAAATCAGGGAAGGCACACCAAGGTGTCCCAGTACCAGCATGTTGTAATTCTATGACGAAACCAAAAAATTGACAAAAATGGATTCTACTTCATGGTACATTTTAGATTAATACTGGTTAACAAAATATGCTGCAGACTAGTATGCTTAAAATATTTTGAATGTTTTATCTGTTTGAAGAAAAATTTGAATCAGTTTTGTGGCCACACAAGAGCATATTCTCTTATTTGAAGATTTGTAGTTTTTATGTTAATCTTTACTCCTAAATTACTCATGTTTCTAACCATCATACATGCAGTTTCGGAGGAGAGATGTGATGAAGTTGAGAGCCTAGTGTTTGACCTTTTTGCAAATCTTGGTGCTTCAGGTGCAACAGTTGCTGGAAGTGAAAATATTCTATTCCTTCGTTTGTTTTGCTTTCATAATTAGCTAGTTTTTAATCTAATTTAAAATAAAAATTTCTTGTATTTTTGTGTCAGAGGAGCAGCTAGATTTTCCTGTTCTTTATGCTTCTGCTAAAGAAGGATGGGCTTCATCCACCTTCACCAAAAGTCCTCCTGTTGATGCGAAGAATATGTCACAGTTACTTGATGCAATCATAAGGCATGTTCCTCCACCAACAGCAAACCTCGATGCACCATTCCAGATGCTGGTTAGCAATAAACCATTGATTGCAAATTTTATTTTTACCTACAAAGGTCTACGCACCCATGTAGACATACATCAGCACATGCTCTCATGCAGATGGGCATGAGTGCAAGCAAGCATATTTATATGCATAATTGCATGCTTGTATTTTCTGTCACCTGTTTCTTATATTACTGTAGAGCTTGCACTGTGACTCCTCTGTATATGCTTTTTACTCCCTTCTGGTACAACTTTATTGGTCATATGGAAAATCCCTACTTTGTAAGGAGACACCATATTATTCATTCACACTCAATTAGAAAAATATCAGTTTCTGAAACTGCCATGCCTCTGAAATAATTAATGCATTAACATTTTACTGGAAAATAGGATAGGTTGGAAAAGTTATAAAAAAAATTTCGGAAATAATTTATATATATTTTTTTGTACATTGACTTTCAAACTGAATACCTTTTTTACCACATTTGTGCTCCGTTTGGTTTGAGGGTTGGATGAGGCAGCCCTAGGGAAGTGAAGGTGCCTCCCTCATTTTTTGTTTGGTTGGAAGGAAAGGAAGGAGAGTTTTTACATTTTTTACCAATATATCCTCGTAATGCCTGAGAGAAATTGGTATGACTTTTTTTTGGGTTAATTATTCTTTCTTTCCCTTTTTTCCCCGCCCAATTTTGGACTGATAAAGAAACAACAGGCTAGGAGGGATGCTCCATCCCTCGCTTCCTTCTTCTCTTCCCTTCCCTCCAACCAATCATGAGAAGCATCATGTATCCCTCTTCAATCCTTCCTTCCTTCCAACCAAACATAACACTGGACAAATGGACCTGTAGATTGGGATTGAAGGGATAAAAGACATGGTTGAACTATCACTAGCCTTGAAATACTGTGGACCACAATGGAGTTTTCTCTTATGCAGAGATTCCTCCAAATTAGGCAAATTTTGATGTGCCTCCATGAAAGAAGATTGCAAGCAATGCAAGCCAATCCCTTGGATTTGGTTATCATAATGGTGTTCTTTTATGTAAGTTGGTATGGACTAAGGACAACCTGTCTTTTGGGTAGTTGATCATGCAAATTATAGATTGGTCACTCTCAATATGTAGATACTTTTTTTTATACCTGTTGAGAAGTGTGTGTTGTGAGTGGAAATCCTTGATCTTCTGATAAACCTTTATTTATTTATTTTATTTTATAAAAAGATTACTGTTTCGTCTCTCTCTCTCTTACTTCCCCCCACCCCCTTCTCCCTCTGTTACCTTTTTCTTCATGATTTTTTATCTTTACTTGGAATGTTGAGAAAGATGTTTGACAGCTCCTTTCAGGTTTCTATGATGGAGCGGGACTTCTATCTTGGCCGGATATTGACTGGGCGCATTACTTCCGGAATCATTCGTATTGGTGACAAAGTACACGGACTTCGAGGGAAAGACTCTGGGGTTGAGAAAATTGAAGATGGGAAGGTTGGTGGTCTAATATAATTGCTTTCTAAGGATAAGTTCTGTCTCCTGGAGCCTGCTACTTTGTCCTCTGAGTCCTTTTTAACAATTAATATCTCCACCATTGGTCTTTTATTTTCTGGATCACTAAGGTCCTTGAACCTTGAATTGAGTTTCTACCGAATTTGGCATCTGAATGGAACCGAATATAATTAAATTAATCTTACTCTTGCATTTGTATTGTGGCCAGTTATACTTAATGGACTGATCCATTGATGGTAAGCTTTATCTTGTTAGTTTCTGCCCCTTGGGCGGCACTGAGAGCTCTCTTTCTTACGACCTATAAAGAAAAGGAGTTGTGCCCTCTAGATTCTTTCATAGTCCAAACTTCAAACCCAGATTACAGATTCTGTTGCATATCATGGAGCCCAAAATCCACTTTCAAGCTTCAACTCACAAACTCAAATTAACGTTATTATGAATCTTTGACAATATTGTTTACCATCCTATACTGAATCCAAAACCATGTTTTGAATTGACCTACTTTTAGGAAATTAGAAGCTCAGTGGAATTTACATGTGTATAAAGAACAGCAAAACCACCCGAACCAGATATTAAACTCTTTTAAGACGTCTTTGGTTACATCAAAATGAAATAATAGTTCTTTTGCAAACGATTGTATTGATGTTGCTTCCACTCAAAAGGAGATCGCTGACATTGTTAGACTAAGATTATGCTCCTTCTGCAAGGTGCCTGCAGCGTAGAATAACTAGTGGTAATGGTGTGAATGTGGAATTCCAGATTCATTTTCCTCTCTGCTTGAATGTTTTGTACAGCTATGTTGCTGTGACTGATGTGTTTTTGTACTTTGGGTTCGACCTTGCAGCGTTCTGTTTGCAGGAATGTTTTACAGCTATGTTGCCATGACTGATGTGTTTTTTTTGACTTTGGATTAGGCATTGCAGCATTTTACTTTCTGCTTGCATCTGACTTCTTTTTAGTGCTTTTTTAGCCGTTTGTTTGCTTCCATCTGACTTATTTTTAGTGCTTTTTTTAGCCATTTTAATATATATATAAATATATAGGGAGGGGGGTAAACCCCCCCTTTTACCTGTACAGTTATTACACTTGATATACAACTTTACGCCCACCCCCAAAAAAAGAAAAAGAAAAAAAAGAGAGTGCATTATGAAATTCCAACTCATTCATTTTTTAAAATTTGTAACGTGCTTATCAATCAATATGACTTTTTCCACTATCAGCATTACTGTGTTTTGGGCTAACTGAATAATTCTTGCCACGTAGGTTGTGAAACTGATGAAAAAGAAGGGCATGAGCATAGCTCTAATTGATAGCGCAGGTGCCGGAGATATAGTATCAATGGCTGGGTTGGCAAGTCCATCGATAGGCCACACAGTGGCAAATGTGGAGGTGTGTGACTCCTTTTTTGTTGTTGTTGTTTCCACATTGAGTAAGCACTAAGCAGTATATTCTATTTGTTATCTTTTTTATGGCACTTCTTTTCTTAGGTTGAGTACTGATCTCTAAATGCTACTTTAAGAGGAAGTTCATTGAACCACTACTATGGGATATGCATGCAAATTATAGATATTTTCTTTGATATTGAAAGAAAAAAAAAAAACAAACAGAAGTGCCCTTGTGTGATGTGAAACTAACATGGTTTTTTGGTCCCATAGTTAATATGGTATTTGCATTCTGCTGTGAATATTACGGGTTGCTATATTTGGCTCATGCAACTTATTATTGGGTCATTAGGCTTTATATGTAAATATTATTGGGTTATTGGCTACGGGTACGTGCACTTTGTGAACTTAGTGTGCTAAAAATTATTTTTGGGTTACTACAACTTCCAAACTATACATTCACAAATACAATCATCGCAAATATAAATGACTTTACGGAGCCACTATGCTGCTTAACGGTATTATGAGGTTTATTTTTTTAACTAGATACTAGATATCCTCTTGCAGTCCTGAATCTCTGATAAATAGATTGCTAAAGGATGCATGGAATTAAAGTGGGTGGTAGTTGTGGTAAGTTTCTCATGCTTTTCTAGGCCACAACTGAGGCTGAATTAGATACCTCCAATTTAGAACTTGCTATATCTAGGTTTATTCTTTGCTCTCGGGCCAAATCTGCATTGTAGTATTTAGGGGTCAAGACCTAGTTTGGTTTCTGCAGATGTCTTCCAGGTGCAGCTACTTCATGGTCAATATGTTCTCCCCCATGGTGTAGAAGCCTTCCAATAAGAATATTTTAATAGGACCTTTGGTTTTCTTGTTATCCTTTCTTCACTATGACATTATGTTTCTTGTTTAAAAAGAAACAAGAAAAGGAAACAAAAAGTATTCCGCTGTAGTGGAGATTAAAAGCACATCCTCTTTACCCTAAGAGGATGGCTGGTGATGGTTTAACATTTTGTGCACTTGTGTTGGGTGGGTGGTGGTAAAAAGCGACGTAAACACTCATTTTTGCCCTAGTTGGGGCTTGAACCCTCAACCTCCCATTTGGGGAGGTGGAGGTTATACCACCCAGGCCATGGCCCAATGGTAAAAAGTTATGAAATTTTGTACTCTTAAGTTTGTTGTCAAAACATAGTGGCAAATTTTAGCATTGTTTGATTTTTTATTTTAGGAAAATTTTATAAATAAATCAGTTGATGTTTATGTAGAGGACTGAATATTTACAGATTCATCTCTCTCCCATGTTTAGATGTTGCTACAAATTTTTTTGTTTTGTTTTCGTGACCACGCCAGCATTACATTGTTTAAAAGTGTAATTTTTCGGCATTATTTTGAGGTGACTTGTTACATCTGCCAGGTAATGACTGCATTGCCGACTGTTGAATTGGATCCCCCAACCATTTCCATGACTTTTGGTGTCAATGACTCCCCACTGGCAGGTCGTGATGGTACCCATGTAAGTGTGATGATTTCTTCTACAATGTTACAGATAACCTGCTTCCATTACTCAATATTCTCGTTGATCTTTAATCTTGCATGTTAGCATTGATTTGAGGCATGATGATTGATCTTTTGAGGAGGTATATGACCTTTGGTGCTGACTGCCGCGTGAATCCAAGTAATTTTTATTGGAATCCCAAGGCTTTTATTGAGCTGAATTGAGTAGATTAATGCTTCTGGTTAGTGAGATCTTGGTGTGGGACTCAGGAGGTGAATGGCATAGTATATATTTTTATTTTTTCTTCTTTTCTCCTTCTATGTCAGATTCACGATAATTATCTCATTTTCTATTTACACCTAGGCAAATATAATGCAACAATTTCCCGATCTTGTGGGTTTGGGATTCTCTGTCGGACCAAGGCTGGAACACAGTAACTGGTTGGGAAAGCTTTTTTGAAAAAAAAAAAACACAATCTTTTCTTCTAATCAGAGAGAAACAAACGCAAAAGAAGATGAGCTCATGGTGGTTTATTATTTAGTAAGGTAAGCTGCTGCAATGACTCAAAGTAGGTGAAGCAAATGGAGTTTTGGAGGATCTCCTGTTCTTATTAGGGTAAATTTTTGTTAGAAGCTAATGAACCCTAAACAAAATCAAGCATTTTTCACTAATTGGGAGTTTTAAGTATGCCAAAAGTTCTAAACCAATATCTAAAATACTTCCTAAATATTAATCAATGTGAGAAGTAAGTTACAAATTTTATCTTGATTTTTTGGAAGACACAACAATCAAAAGTGTAATGCTTCTGGCTCTTTATTGCCGATGGATATGTCTGCCATTGATCTCTTTCTCTCTGTGGGTGGGTTGAGTGGGTTTTGACTTTTAACCACTGATCCATTGGATCTGTTGTAAGAGTTTTCAGGAATGGTCCAACAAATTCAGGGAGAATGAATTTCGCGTTTGATTGGCCAACGTACATATGCCCGCTAGCCCTTATTCGTGGGTTTGCCATGGAATGCCTTCTTGTTCGCTCTCTTGTCCCCTTCCCTTACTAAACCCCCGAACTGAATGCAGCATCTACATTGAGCTTTTTCAACCAACCTAGATCAGACTTCATAAAGTTTGCATCCTGGGTACCTTTTCAAGCTTTACCATATCATATACTTTAGTTTGTTCATATTAATGTCTTGTGTACTTTGGCTTCATAATCTGGGTATTTTCTTAACTAAGTTAGAAAGGCTTTAAATAGGTCTAAAGTTGGCCCTGATTATTCTATGCATTCGTAAGGTAAGAAATAGTATCCCCAATTAGGTTCTTTCCATGTATTTTGTTAACCACTTGGAACTTTTACATTAAACATTACAAATTCGTAAAGAAGAAGAAGAGAAGAAGAAGAGAAATGGGACTCCCTTGGCTTTAAGTACGGTATTGACTTCTAAGGTGCCATATTTGATTCCGTTTCATCACCCCTGGGATTTTATATAATATTTCTTTGGGAGAATGAAGCTGAACATGGCAAGAGGCTTAGAATTTCACTCTACTAAATTGTTCTAAAAAAATTGTGTATGTGTTTCTACGATTTGTTGCAAGAACCTTGCATATTAGGTGGTGCTCCGACTTTTGATTTGATTCCGTGTCTTTTTTTTTTTTTTTTACCCTTTTTAGATGAACATTTGTAAGATTTGCAGTTCTTTTTTGAACAAAAACATGGTTTTCTTGTACAACAAATTTAAAACCTCTCAACTTTTTATATTATTCAAATTTTATTTTAAAACAATGGAATTGTATAATATTGCATTCTTCCTGATTTTCTGAAATCTAGGGAGAGTTATTTCTAGTTATTCTTGCACACAGTGATCAATTATTCCTCAGTCGATAAGTGGATTCTTGATTTGTTCACGAAGTGTTCAAAATATTTAGATTGATATTTTGTGTCCTTGCTTCATGTTGGTTTAAGAACTTTTTTCTATGCTTCCATCATACACCATACCTTTGAGCTTCCTAAGGTGTGCCCTTTGCACTTTGACCTGCTTCTATTGTTGTTTCTGTAATAACTTGCCCTTTTGCTTTATACTCTCTATCAATAATTTTATACATGCTTTAACAGTAGCATAAAATGATAACTTGCAACCCACCTAAGGCATGTGCTCACTCTTGTATTCAAAGTGATGTCGTCACACGTGAACCCTGTTATGCTTCCACTACCTCTTCATTCTTTTAAGATGTTCCTGCCTTCCCTCCAATTGTCATTGACCAGATTACACGATGTGATCTGATACTTCTTATCTCTATGTAGTTGACTGGTGGAAAAATTGGCGATCGATTAATGGCTGAAGCAGAAACAAATCTTGCTATAAATGTGATCCCGGGCTTGTCCGAGTCATTTGAAGTTCAGGGAAGGGGAGAGCTTCAATTGGGTTAGTTCTTTCATAACCTATTCTCCATGTCTTCTACTTTCATGTCACCTTTAAAACTCAATCTAATAGGAAGCTTTTAACTTTTTAATAATAAAATTTCCTCTTCAATTTCTTCCTCTTTTCGGCCTCAAATTAAATCATGTGATAATGCAAATTCCTAATGTACAAATCAGGTATATTAATCGAGAATATGAGGCGTGAAGGATTTGAGCTATCTGTCTCACCCCCTAAAGTCATGTGAGATTTCTCTGAATTTCTCCTTTCAAATTCCTCATTTGGCCATTCCCAATGTACTATAATTATAACATGTCATTTAGTTCATCACTTTGTATTTTATAATTTATAACTATGTACTATATATTCTTTCTATATATTGATTCCTCCATTAAATCTTCAATACTATATATGTTATTTCTCTCTTCTTCTTCTTTTTTTTTCTTTTCTTTCCTTTTTCGTTTTATATTCAACAGTTGTTTGCTATAATATGTGATAGGCCGAAATTCAAATGCTAGCACACCATAAGATACATGCATTATACCTCTTTGAGCACCTGTAATTTTTATTTTATGTTTTATTTTGTTCTTAATTTTTTGCAAAATATTAATTTCCTACTGTAATTGCCATGCTTGTAAACCTATTCTACTAAAAGAGACGTTGGATTGTATTATCAAATGAGAAGTTAAACAAGACAGAGATAGTCTGTTTCTTATGAGAAGTTCTAGATCATTCTTATGATAAGGCCACTCTTAAAGATGAGGTTACTGATTTGGGGAGGGAGTGGGTGGTTGATAATATTGGAACTACCAGTGAGTTGTTGGGAGTTTCTTCAGAAGGTTATGCTCAGACTTCATCTCTTCTCCAAGCAATTGTGACTGGAACTCAGATAGCAGTCACTAATGAAGTTATAAACACGAAGCCCATATCGTCTTGGAAAGGGATTCATGAGATTAAGAATCTCATCTCTGAAGTCAATTACGACAAGAAGAAAGGCGTGGTGATGGAAAGGGGTAGGACTAGAAGTAGGAGTTTGAGGAAGGGGGGAGGGGAGTTAATTTCAATTGGTTTTTAATGAAGCTACGAATCATTACATGGAATGTTCGTGGTCTCAATGACCCGAATAAAAGGAGGGTGGTGAAGGTAGCTCTAAGGAAATAGGGGGCCCAGGTTGTTTGTTTGCAAGAAACCAAGTTGGCATCCATTACTGACAGGGTGGTTAGAAGTTTGTGGGGTGGAAGGTTTGTGGAATGGGAGGCCTTGGATGCTACAGGTTCTTCGGGTGGTATTTTAGTCATGTGGGACAGTAGGTGGTTGTCCAGATTGAATGTGTGGAAAGGGAGTTTTTCTGTTTCTTGTGAGTTTAAGATGGAAGAAGATAATTTTAGACGGGTTTTTTCCGGGGTTTACGGACCGGTCGTTGATGCTGAGAGACCTATTTTATGGGAGGAACTAAGCCACGCTCATGATCTGTGCTCCTTACCTTGGTGTTTGGGTGGGGACTTTAATTCGGCCAGGTTCCCGTTAGAGAGGTCTACTGGGGGAAGAAGGTCCATAGACATGGATCAGTTTTCCGACTTCATTGATGAGCTCCTTCTCATTGATCTACCAATGGAAGGTGCATCCTATACCTGGTCTAATGGTAGAGACCCAGTTACTCTATCAAGATTGGACAAATTTTTGATCTCTGGGGAGTGGGAAGAAAAATTCCCAGTTGTTGTTTAGGCGGTAGTAGAAAGGGTTACCTCCGATCATGTTCCTTTAGTTTTGGATTGTGGGGTTTGTGTTCTAGAAAACCCCATTCCGTTTCGAGAATATGTGGTTGAGAGTGGAGGACTTCCAAGGGACAGTTCGTTCTTGGTGGTAGGGAGCGATCGTTACAGGTGCGCCCGGCTTCATTTAAACACAGAAATTAAGAGCTCTCAAACTCGCTCTTAAGTAGTGGAATAAGGATGTCTTTGGGAATCTTGAATAGGGGAAGAATAGAGTCTTCGCTGATTTTTCTGAGATTGATCGGCTTGAGGAGGCGGGTGGAAATGTGGAGTCTCTTTCTACTAGGAGAGCTTCATGTCAGGCAGTTCTTGCTGAGATTGCTTGTATGGAGGAGATTTCGTGGCGTCAAAAATCCCGGGCTCTTTGGTTGAAAGAGGGAGATCGTAATAGAAATTTTTTCCATAGAGTTGCTAATGCTCATAGAAGGAGCAATCATAGAGGATGTCTACGGGTTGAAGGCGCAGAGTTGTGGAGGGAGGAAGAGGTACGTAGCGGGATCGTTTCTTTTTATCAGAAGCTTTACACAGAACCTTTAGGTTGGAGACCCAAGCTTGATGGTCTTCCTTTTGAGGCTATTTCTGTGTTGGAGAGAGATGGGTTAGAGCTTCCTTTTACTGAAGAAGAAGTTCTTAAGGCTTATCCAGTTGTAATGGGGATAAAACCCCGGGGCCAGACGGGTTCATTATACGCTTTTTGATGGAAAGTTGGGCGGTTGTGAGAAATGAAGTGATGAGTACCTTTCACGAGTTTCATTCAACTGGTGTTTTTGAAAAATCGCTCAATGCATCATTTATTGCCCTTATCCCTAAGAAGGGCAATGCTTCAGATATTAAGGACTTTCGTCCTATTAGCTTAGTTGATTGTATTTACAAACTCATAGCTAAGGTGCTTGCTCATAGAATGAGAGAAGTTATGGATGGGATTATTTCAGATTCCCAGAATGCCTTTGTTGGAGGACGGCAAATTCTCGATTCAGTTCTTATTGCTGGTGAATGTGTGGATTCAAGGTTGCGGAGTGGCGTTCCTGGAGTTCTATGCAAACTTGATATCGAGAAAGCTTATGATCATGTTAACTGGAATTTTCTTCTTTACTTGCTTGAAAGAATAGGGTTTGGAAGTAGATGGAGGACATGGATTGAGACATGTCTTTCGTCTGTTAAATTCTCAATTTTTGTGAATGGTTCTCCAGCTGGTTTTTTCGGGTGCTCTCGGGGTATAAGACAAGGTGACCCATTGTCATCTTTTCTCTTCCTTATTGTTATGGAGGGCTTAAGCAGACTCATGCACAAGGCAGAGATTCTTGGTCTCATTATGGGATTCCGGGTGGGAAGGGATGCTGACAATCAGGTGGAGATTTCACATCTACTATTTGCAGATGACACTCTGGTTTTATGTGATGCAGATGTGTCTCAACTTAGATATTTGAGATGTATCTTGGCTTGCTTTCAGGCAGTTTCTGGGTTAAAGGTGAATGTGGCCAAGAGTGTGCTTGTCCCAGTCGGGAATGTACAGGATATCTCTTCTTTAGCTGCAGTTCTTGGGGCTCCTTTCCTATCCCTTATTTGGGATTGCCATTAGGGGTTTCTTCCAGGTTAGTGGGGAGTTAGGATTCTGTGCTTGATAGGTATGCAAAGAGGTTGGCCGGTTGGAAGAAGCAATATTTATCTAAGGGGGGTAAAGTCACTCTTATCAAGAGCACTTTATCAAGCCTTCCACTTTTTTTCTTTCTTTGTTCCAAATTCTATGTTCTGTTGCTGATAGAATTGAACAAATTCAAAGGAATTTCCTTTGGGGAGGACTGGGAGATGAGTTCAAGTATCATCTTGTTAAATGGGAGCAAGTGTGCAAGCCTATAAAATTGGGGGGTCTTGGTATTAGACAAGTGATTCTTTTTAATCAAGCGCTTTTGGGCAAGTGGTTGTGGAGATTTGGGAAGGAAAGACATCGTCCTTGGCGTAGATTAGTATCTTGCAGGTATGGGGAAGATGTTGGCGGATGGACTACACGTCCGGTTTCTATTGCGGGAGGAGTTTGGGCTTAGAAGTCCATTCGGAAAGGATGGGATGCCTTATCCTCTCATATCAGATTCAGAGTTCGTGATGGTACTTGCGTTCGTTTTTGGGAAGATCTTTGGTGTGGGAACCAGCCTCTATGTCGCTCATTTCCCATATTATATGGTATTGCAATCGATAAACATGCCATAGTAGCCAATTGTTATCAGCTTGATAATAGTGGGATTACGTGGAGTGTTCATTTTCGACGTTCATTTCAGGATTGGGAGTTGGAAGAGGTGACCATTTTCTTGGATCAATTGTATCGGCAAGAAGGAATTGGAAGGGGTTTTGACAATTTGATTTGGATTCCCTCCCCTCACGGGCATTTTGCAGTAAGATCTTTGTTCTTATGTCTATCTAAATTTGCATCCTATGATTTTCCATGGAAGACTATTTGGTGTTCTATGGCTCCTACTAGGGTGGCATTTTTTGTATGGACTGCTGTTTGGGGTAAGATTTTGACGATCGATAATCTGAGGAAAAGGGGAAATCTTATTGTTAACTGGTGCTGCATATGTAAGTGGGATGGGGAGTCAGCCAATCATCTCCTAATGCATTGCTCTATAGCGCGCGATTGCTGGAATCTCATTCTTGGCCTATTTGGCATGTGTTGGGTAATGCCACGCTCTACTAAGGAGCTGATTCATGCTTGGAGAGGTTGTCGTGTAAGTAGGACTGTTCGTGCTTATTGGAGATCTGTTTCTCATTGTATTTGGTGGTGCATCTGGAAAGAGCGAAATACTAGAATGTTTGAAGGGAAGGAATCGCCTACTGCGACTCTAAAACTTTTTATTCTTCGTTCTCTTTTTAGTTATGTGAACAGAAGTTCGTGTTCCTCTTCTGTTGATTTAATTTCTTTTTTGGATTCTTTGGGGCCTTAGACCCCGAGTTCTTTTATGTCTACGTGACGCGTTCCCCTATTGAACGCCTTTTTTAATTTATTATTACCTATCAAAAAAAAAAGGCCACTCTTAAAGAAGTTGTCTCACTATTATACCATGAAACTTTAGTAATTTCAAAAAACTAAAAAAGAAATCATTATGGCAAGTGTTATCTTATGAAAGAGCAGTGTGACCAAGATAGTGAATATACTTAATTGAGTTCTGCTTATTCTTTCTTTCATTGTTGTGCATCTGTTCAAGCTTGACCAATTTAACAACAAATGGACTTGATTATTAAATCTACCTGGCATTTTGACAAATAATAACTATGAACATGAGTGCACCCACTGATTCAATTAAATGTTACCTTTAAAACAGTATAGGAAGTGGAGTAGCGATTGTTATTTTTTTTTTACTTTGATTGAGAATAACAAGCCACTTTGATGTGATTCGACAGTTTCCATGGTGCAGTGACATTTCCATGCATCCAATTTGATGTTGTGTGCACTTGTTGACTCTTGGTGTCATAATCTTTCCACTGAAGTGTTAAATTTGTAAAATTTTACATCAGATGGTAATCAGTTATCTTTACCAACCTGTGATTGTCCATTTATCACTGGTAGCTGAACATTCAATCCTTTGTTGGTAAACAGTTGATATTTAGCTCTTGTAGTACAAACTTTTTTGTTCTTATATTTTATTGACACTGGCACGTGTATTGGATGGGGCTCGGGTATGTGTGTCGGGTGTGCTCAGGTATCTACGTCGGGTGTGGGTGTGTACTTAGGTAACAAATCTAAGGACATAGATCTCCATACTATTTATACTTTAATTTTTATTTTTATTTTCTAGGGTAGAATAAAGTTCACTTGTTATGAAGTAAAAAGGAACATGATAGAAGAGTTTAATATATAAATATGTAATAAATTTGAATTATTGTGCTTGTTAGGTGCATAAATTTGAATTATTATGATGCCTTAGCGCCATGTGTCAGACAGTGGTGCTTCACACGTTTTTTTGAAGTGTCTATATAGTTCTATTCTGAACTTCCCGTTGTCTATGGGTGCTTTTTTTATTTTTTATTTATATATATATATATATATATATATATACATACACACATATATAGAACTTAATTTTATTGACACCTATAATACTTAAATAAAATAATATTTTTAGTGATGTTTGTTAGCTTGTTCAAATAACATCTAAATTACATAATTTGGAGCTTTTTGATTGCCAATTAAATTTCAGATCAGTTAATTCATTTGCAGTTATGCTTTTTTTTTTTGTTGTTAAAACAAAGAGGCACTGACACTCCGAGAGGGAACAATGTCTGTGTAGGAGTAGGACACCGACACTTCTTGGGAACTCCCTAGCAAGTTTCTACACACCTCTTGGATGATGTCAGAATCACTTTAAGAGCCATGATTTGGTTATTAACATAATTATTTCTATGTATTTTGTTCAATTTCACACATTGAGCAATATTTGTCGCTTTTTGTCAGGTATAAAATTGAGAATCGTGAAAAGCTAGAGCCAGTTGAAGAAGTGATTATTGAGGTAAAAATATTAAATTATTAATGCATGCATTGGCTGGAAGTCTTTGATGATTTGAAACTTTCAGTAATTATTTTGTCAATTCAGGTAAATGAAGAGCATGTTGGGTTAGTTATGGAAGCTCTTTCTCACAGGCGAGCTGAAGTCACTGACATGGGTCCTGTAGCAGGAAATGATGGCAGGACTAGAATGTCTTTGAATTGTCCCTCAAGGTTAATACTTGGATTTATCCTTTTCACTCCTGATATTTTGACTCTCATTCTTGCTAACCTTAGTGGCAATAAACTGGTTCTTTTTGCGGGAATATTTTTCTTGGTAATCCTTTTTTTTTATTTAATAGAATTATTATATAAAAATATATACAATTCTTGCTAGATTGTATTCATCTTTATATAAATATATATAAGCAACCATCAAACCCAGCATCATTCCTGATTGATAGGCAATAACCAAACCCTTAGCATTCCTTTACTTTGAGATGTCATACCAACACTTGAACTGTTATGCTACCACGCCGTGGGCAATGTTGCTTGAAACTGTTAATTTGATATGATTTCTAATTCAGTGGAATGTCCGTTGTTTTAGTTTTCAATGCTTTTCCTCCTCTTAGATAGATGTTGTCTTATATATTTTGTTATATGGAACTGGTATGCCGCAATGAAGTATTGAAGGCAAAAAATTTATTCTAAGTGAGAACAAAAAATGTACATTGCCTCTCTATGTGGATATTTGGGTACTTCACTTCTTTTCTGTATGTCAATCTAAAAAACTGAAACTATATTGCTTTTCTTTTCTTGATTTAAATCTTATTCATCTTTTGCAATAATTATTATAAGAAGTGTTGTTGTTCCATAGCACTAACTTTTTGAGTTTGTCTTTGTAAGAAGCAATTGTTTGCTCACATCTGATTGTTGGCTACTGTTGTCATGGTCCTCCTTTTCCATCATATACCCATGGCTTCATTCATTTCAACAGAGATATTGAACATCCATTGCTAATAAAATAAATCTTTGGTATGAAGATTTGTTTTTCCCCTCCTCTACAGGAACTAGCTGAATTGACTTGATAAAAATCTCCAAGATTCACCGGAAAAATTCATCATGATGAATGGAGCTTGATTTGAAATTAGTTCCATGATAATATATAGAAGGAAATGATGTCTTGCTGATCTTTGAAGGCTTCAATTGTGCTTTGTTTACCATTGCAGATGGAAATGCTCAAAATGGTTGGGCAGATATTAAAGTATTCTAGTTTGCTGTGAGATGATAAACTAGATCAATTACACCCATACCCTTTTAAGTGGCAAAAAGTGTTAAGCTAAATGTTCACATTTTAGAACTTGTGTTTATGCCAACTGTGTAACATAGCATTCATTTATTATCAGGGATGGATCTAGAAATTTATATGAGGAGAAGAGAGAGAGAGAGAGAGAGAGGGGGGGGGGGGGGGGGGGGGGGTGCGGTGGGGTTTTTTTTCATAATTTCAGTGGGGGCAATTTCAAAATTTTATGGGTGTAAATGCAAAAAAGTACAAATTTATGAGTATAAAATGCAATAACAAAAAATTTCAGTGTTTATTATTGTGTTGGAGGACTAAAGAGACAAAATGCAAACTGTATCGGGAGTGGTGTTACTTATACGTTTTATGCTTCCATTGTTTTAACAAAAAGCACCCTTCGTTTGTTAACGAAAAAGAAAAAGTACTATTCATTCCAATTGTTGTATATCCTTCTATGAACTCCATAAAACAGAGATAATGAGTAAATCTACTCAGACAGTGATTTCAGTGAACATAACATGAAAGGTTTCAGTTTGTCTCCGCTGCTCCCCTCCCAGAACTCCACGTAGGCAGGGCAGACATTGGGTAATGGACTAAAGATATACTCCTCTATGTCGGGCTATATCATTAATATGAAATAATATATTGTAAAGACACAGCTTACATCTTAAACTTGGAAACAAGTAATTGTTGCTACTTACCAGGAAAAGAAATTGTTAGTTGTTACATTTGATTTTCTTTTCTTAGAACAAAATATGTTATTACACTAAACTTTTTAAGTTTAGGGCATAGCTGATGCATTGAGGATAGGTGTTGTTTAGCCTTTCTACATAAAAGAACTCTGATGTATTGTAATGAATATATATATTTTGGTCTTTCCAAATAAAGTAATTTCTTCTTTTTTGTTATGTAATCTCAGGGGGCTGGTTGGTTACCGGAGCGTGTTTAGCAGTGATACGCGCGGCACTGGATTTATGCACCGTGCTTTCTTGAGTATGTTTGTTGATCTCTATAAAATTCCTCTTACCAGAAAAAAGAAGAATAATAATATTAGATGAGGTTGGTTTTGGGCATGCGTGCCTGAAAATCCAGTAGAGCTGGTTAGGATGTACCTTGTAATACGTGTTTATTGTCTGATTCAGACACTTGATTCTTCCATTCCTGGTCAGCCTGCTTTTCTTTTCGAGTGTATATGGTCTGTGTGGTAGGTTGGATTGCAGATTGGACTGTCGAGCAACGACTGAGAATGTCCAATATTTTTCATTCTTCGATTCTCATAGTCCAAAATTCAATTAAACAATTATCAGTTATTCTTTACAACTTTCTTGATGCTAATTGCTAGAAATCATTCATAGCATCACAGAACTTGCATCTTCCGTTACTGCATTCATTTAGGGTCTGTTTACTAACAGGAATTAATTTCTGATTTCTACTGTCAATTCCTAAAATAGGAATCAAAAGTGAAAATCATGTTTGGTAAAATATTTTCACTTTTCTACTTTAAGGAAGTACTTTCTAATTTTGTGAGGAGAAGAGAAAGTGACAAATCCTCACTTTCTCTATTTTCTGAACTGTAGCAAGGAATTACTTCCTTGTACTGTAGCTCTCAGATTTGTTTGCTCTCTCTCTCTCTCTCTCTCTCTCTCTCTCTCCCTACAGATTTCCTTTTACTTCTTTGACTCCATTTCTGCTCTACTTTTTTTTATTAATTCTCTCTCTCTATCTGTTCTTTGGTTCCATTTTAGAGAGAGAAAGTGAGGATAGTTTAGGGAGAGAGAGAGGGGGCTCTCTGCGACTCTGTAATGGCAATGGCGGTTCTAAGAAGTGGATTTCTGTGTTCGTTTCTGCTTTTGTTGCTGTTTGTTGGTGTCATGGCAAGAGTGAACAAGGACGAGATCTCTGAGACGAGATTTGTTTCTCTCTCTAAACTCACTCGTACTTTCTCTCTCTAAATCCCCTTTTTCTCTCTTTGAGTTTGTGTTCTGTAAAATTGAAGGTTCTTTGAATGTATGAAAACCCGAGATTCTCTGTAGCAGTAGTCTCTCTCTCTCTCTAAATTCTCTGTTCTGAGTTCATTTGAGCGTAGAGATTCGTTACAATGCTCCGTCGATTTTTGTGTTTGTAGCTCTATCTCTCTCTAAATTCTCTAGCTTGTTTGGTTCGAAATTTATCAGCATTACATGGTTTTCTCAGCAAAATCTTGAGAGTGTTCAAGTTTTTTTTTTTTTTTTTTTTTCAATTTTAAACAGAATTCAAGACAGTGCTTGTAGATCTTTGGGAATCTCTGGTTCGCTAACTATTTTTTTACAATTTTACTCTACGAAATTCGGTGTTAGAGAGAGAGAAAGAGAGAGTTCATGGAGATTTATTTGTATTCATGAGGTCTCCAGACCCAATTGAATATTGGAGGAGCTGAGGTAGTTGAAATACCCAATTTACACCTTGCTTCTGGGTTGAGAGACCCAATTGAATAATGGCTCGCCGGAGCAGACCAAGTTTAGTCCAGCGTTGTGAGAGAAAGGTAACAGGAAAGTAAAATTAAAATCAAAATTATTAAACTTACTTTGAAAATATTAAAAAATAAATCTTATTAAACATCATTTTACTTTCTATTTCATCTCAAAAAAAGTAAAATCATGATTTTACTTTTGGAGAAAGTAAAAGTAAGAAAGTGAAACTGTTAGTAAATGGGCCCGCCTTTCCATTTCTTAAGATGCTTACTTCTTAACTTTGTTGTAACATTTGTTACTAACAGTTGCATTTCCACTTGTTCCTCTTTTTTTTTTTTTTTTCAGTGTATGCAAAATATCGTGGTCCTCTTGGAAATGTGAGAAAGGGAGTATTGGTAAGTTGCCTTAACCTTTCGGTTTTTGATAACTCATCTAATTTTTTTTTTTGCCTTCTTGTCAAAAGTTTAGCATGACAAAAGAGAGAATATATTTTGTTGTAACCAGAAAATGTTAGTTTTCCATCTGCATTTTCTCAACTGCCAAGTGTTGCTTCCATTCCAATTTTCTGTTTAATTTTTGAAAATTCTGAAAGGGGCACGGCGAAGTATATGAAGTCACCATGTAGCCAGATACATATTAAAGCTTTGATACGTGTCATGTTAAAAGTAGCAACCTTTATTGAGATGTATGGCACTACATATTGGTATAAGCAGCGGCTCCCCCCAGTTCTCTATCTTCAATTATAGTTAAAGAGGACATTTGAGGTACCATGGTTGAGGTTCACTCAACCTTGAGCGCTATAGATAATGTTTGATGCTCAAAGATGATTATGTGTTTGTCCAGTTAAACATAATTCAATGCCATAATTAGGGGACATCAAAGCCTTATTCCTTCTTAATACTTAACCTTAATTTTCTGTCGAGGTGTACATGTGGTGATGCCAACTTGGCTCACTTTTTGTTGCAATACTGGCCATTCATGTCAAGTCATCATGTCGTTGATGGATGTCATGTATGGTCTAGAAGATGTGTACCCACACTTTCCATTTCCACAACCATCCTCCATGAGAGATCTCTGTATACCAGGTCTCCACAACCATTGTTTCACTGTTACATAGTATTTTGATCTTAATCTGAAGTCTTTTGAAAGAATTTTTGAGAAATTGTTTGACCATGTGAAAGTATATGTAAAAATCTTTTCAACAATGTATAACGAGCCTTGTTTCGACATGTATTCTGTCAGATACAAGCCTGTTCAGAAACTCGGCCAAAGCTTGATGTATTGGAGATTCAGAGGTCTTTTGTGGATATTTCAAGAAAAGTTCATTACTCTTTTACCGAAGCTAATTTTAAGTGAGAGTAAAATTACTAGGCTTTCCGATGATAACTGGGCTTCATTGAGTTATTATTATTATTTTTATATATAAAATCCACATTTGCTGTATATTAATTTTATACAGTATGGGGCTTAGATTTCTTATCAGGGCATGAAGGAAATTCAAATCCACTTTCTAAGTGAACAATATCAATGGATTTTTTTAACCTGGTTGTAGAAACTGAACAGTATCTATTAGTCTGTCACAATCTTCATTGTCAACCTCTAATGTTGAAAATGGGCAAATGATATTGGCACTCCACTTTTATACACATGCACTCCACTTACTACTACAATAACAACAACAACAACTAAGCCTTTTCCCCCAATCACTTGGGATTCAGCTACATGAATCCTATGTTTCCATTCCGCTCTATTTAAGGCCATAGCCTCACTCAATATACATGCTATACACTTGTACTCCACTTGCTTTCTAGGAAAAGGAAATGACACAATTTTCTTTCTAAAGCACTCATACTCCACAATTATTCGAAAAAAGTACGATTATACTCTACTATGTCACCACCTTTAGTAAAAGTAAAATAGAATAAGGTGGAGTGTACAACAATAGACTGCCAATATAACAACTTAAAAATGAAAAAATTGAAAAATGTCATGGAGTCAGAAACATAATATAAATTTGTAAATTGCAACCCCATGAGGTGAGCATTTCTTGTGTTATATGAATGTGACTACTGAGCTCTAATAAAGTAATATAGAGAGGTCTGTCCATTTTTTTTTGTCAGATTTTCTGAGGCCCCATCAGGAAGCTTGTCCATGCTTTCCACTATATTTACCATATTCTTTTGTCTCTTCTAGTATCGCAATTTGGCAACCCATTAATACTGGTTAGTCTCATCAATTCTTCAATATTTGCTGACAAACTTCAGTCATATATATCAAATCATGTTTCATATTGAAAGTATTTCTTGTAATTTTTGTATTATGTGTATATTGAGTTATAGTTTTCAATTGTTATTCTCCTGGTTATGAGTTGGTCAATATGTTCATTTTGCAAGCATTTTGTAACATTTGCCTTTGATCATGATTTGGTAATTGTCTTGCGAACTCATCTGTACCAAATTCTTATCGTCCTGTTGTTTCTAATCGTGGGAGCTTGTACTTGAATGCAATCCATGTTGAACAGGTGTCTATGGGTTATGGAACAATCACGGCTCATGCTCTCATGAGTTTAGAAGCTCGTGGAACTCTCTTTGTGTCTCCTGGGATGGAGGTTGGTTAAAAAATTAACACGTCTATTCTCTGCTTATTTTCCTTCTTGTTTCTTGCTTACTGTCGGTTATCGCATGAATACACCAGTGGAATACTCCATCTTCAGTATTGTGGTAAAGACCATAAAGAAATGCTATATACTCCATTTGGCTCTAAAGAAGTTGTCCTGCACTCATGAATTTATCTAAGGGTGCATAATATGCCAGCGGGCTTGGAATGGGCTAGCAGGCTTGGATTGGGCTTTGATTTTTATCTTGAAAAGAACTTCACTCGGGCGAGTCTTGATTTAAGAAAAAAATAGATGGGACTTTGTAGTGGACTGACTTAAAAAAAAGGATGGGTTCAACGGTAATATATCATCCTAGCTTTTCTCTGTTCAATTTATCTCAACTTTGCTGGCACTCTAGGAGCCGGTGAATCATGTTCTGGGTTGACAGGGACTCAGAAAGAATTATGTCGTATGGAGAAGGAAAAAGCATTTGTGACCAAAGAAAAATTAAAATTTCTTTAGAAGGCAGATATAGTCCAGCAAATAGGGCATTCCTTACTGCTGGTAATCTTTTTCAAGGGGTAGAACTGTAGAAGTTTAAATGTAGTGTTGTCTATTACCTTAGGTTGTTTGGGCCTATTAGGACATTATATTACTGTAGCACAGTGCAATGATAATGTGACCATTGCTGTGCAATGGTGATGACTCATGAGCATTGAGCTCCTGAGTTCTTATTATTTTTAAGGGGCTGGGCTGCAATGGGCTGTCTTTTTAGAGCGCTGGGCTATTGGAAAAGAATAATAACAAACATGTGGGCTAGTGAACAGGCCTGGGTGGTGGGCTAGTGGGCCAGTCCATGGGCTGAACCTATATCTAGCCCCTACCCTTAGGACTGGGCTGGGCTAGCCCTCCACGGGCTCAGGCTGGCCCGCGGGCTCTGGGTCATTTTTGCACCCTTAAATGTCTTTGATTTGCCTGATTGCGAAAGCTTTTACAAAAAGTGAGCCCCAAAAGCATGTTGGTTTATTGTTATAGCCATCCCATTAGTTTCTTGATGGTGGTTGTCATTTTGGTTTTCACCTTTTTTTTTTTTAATCCGGATTATGCAGTTTATTGGATGGTTATGACCATAAATGTCAGTGCAGTTTTCAGCTGACCACAGGAGCAGCCAATATTAATAATGGACATGTGGTTTAACAATAGATTCATATATCCAAGAAAATATAAAATACACGCTCACATTTAACAAATGAAGCAAAGATGATTGATTTATCTAATGGATTGCTGCTGTTGGTTGTTTGTTATGCAGACATATGATGGCATGATTGTAGGTGAACATTCACGAGATACAGATCTTGATGTAAGGATTAGTATCTTTTTCTCAACACACTATGCATAGCGTGAGCTTTCTAATCTTACAGTGATCTCCGTCACAGATCAACCCAGTACGGACTAAGGAACTGTCCAACATGCGGTCTGCTAACAAGGATGAGAATGTGAAACTAACTCCTCCTCGTCTTGTATGTATTCTTTAAACATTAGCTTCTTGTTTCCTGATTCTATTTCTCCAATTACAAGTCTTCCCTGTTCTCGCAGTTACATGCAAGACATAGCTATTGAATGAAAACAGTGATTTTTTTTTTTGGAAGCCTTACATCTGATATATATGTTGTTACATGTTAGTAGTAGACATGGAAATATAGAGGTGCAATACAAGCTCTTAGGAAATTGATTTTATTAAGGGAAAATAAATAAATCATGGATATGATTACTTGAAGAAAATATCAACCACATAATGTAACTATAATGAAATCAAGATGATGAGAAAAATGAGAAAAGTAACATAATGTAACTGCCAGCTTTTATTAAGTGATGTTGTAAAATGAGAAAAGTAACATGACTCTGGATTTTCGAGTGATGTGTAGTACTAATATCTGAATGCATTTGGCTACAGATGACTCTTGAAGAGGCAATTGGGTACGTTGCTTCTGATGAGCTGATTGAGGTAAGTTCCACTTTTAGTCTTCTAGATGTCATGAATATCATCGATATATATATATATATATATATACTTCAAGAAGCTACTAATCTTGTGAGAATCTTTCCTTGAGCATCTGTTACCCGATTCCTTGAAATATAATTTGGTAGTGAGTCATTCAAATAGAGAAGAATTTTTAACAGATGAGCTGGTTTGATTATTTTGCCTATCCTTGAAATATATATATATATATATATATATATATATATATATTTCACTAATCTTTTGACAGAAACATTCGGTGTTCTCCGTAAATTCTTGGAAAGTTCTGCTTCCATAGGATCTCTGACCTAATATTTTCCTAAAACTTAATAAAATTCCAAGTTATTCATTGGCCCTGTTGGTTATGCAGGTTACGCCGAAATCCATTCGGTTACGAAAGAGATACCTGGATGCTAACAAGCGCAAAATGATGAGGAATAAGCCCAAGGACTGAAGCCTTTGAACTCAATACAGTTTTGTAACTTTATACCTTGATTTCATTACCAATTTCTGTTCCACCCCAATTTAGGTTATTCATTATGAAGTATGATGCTTTATTCTTTTGCATGCGCTGAGAGGTGATGAAACTCAATGTTGTATTAATTGATAAGAAATAATGGTAATGAGAGATTATAATTATTGACATGTAATATGAAGAGCAAGATGATGTATTATTAAAATGTTGTATTAATTGATAAGAAATAATGGTAATGAGAAATTATAATTATTGACATGTAATATGAAGAGCAAGATGATGTATTATTAAGTGGGTCATCCGTCATTGTTTGGCCAATGGTTAAAAAAGATGGGTTGGGTTGACAGGCACGATGTCCATCTCCTTTTTTCCTTTTCCAGAAATCACGCGCATAAGTGGGGATTAGAGCCGTGTAATTGGCTTTGTTAAGAGGTAGATGGAATTTCAACCATTTTTATGATACGTTATGGTTTGGTCCGGTTAGGTGGGCTAAGCTGACAGTTTTACTTTCGGGTTTACTTTTGATCTCGCCCTGTGGCAAAAGCCTTTAAATTACTCCAGAGATTCACTTGTTGTATCTACTAACTTCTCACTTTGCCCCTTTAGTCAGTAGTGTACTTCTGTCGTTGTTGGGTGTTTATTCCTCAGTTTTACTGTTTGAATGTGTAAACGGTATTGTCAGTTATTATGACAAGGTGATAGCAACGATGTTGAAAGCTATAATAGGTATAATTTGTTGGTTAGTTGGTTTACTCCTAACAGAAAACGGCAATGAGAAAAGAACCATGCCATATAAACCGTGGGACTTCGTATTTGTTGTTGGGGGTCTATCTGGAACCCTTATTTTCCATGATTTCCTCCTATTTAGATAGGGGATTCTATTATTTCACAATGTAACACAGGCAGATCATAAAATGATTAACAACCAACAATTTTAAAAACATTGTGTACACATTTATATCAAAGATAAAACTACCATGCATTCGCAATTTGAAATTGTTGCATTAGTGCAAGACAAACACATGACAAAAATTGAATAGGAGAGGGTTGTGGTTCCTACCATTTTTTTGCTTTGCATGAGCGTTGGCGACATTCTATTTTTGTTGTCGATTTCACACTAACAAAAAATTCTGATAGATTTAGTAGGCGAATTACACGCCTTCAATTTTCTGTTAAACCATGCTTGAATTATTATAATCTATGTCCTCTACCAACTATCCGAAAATTTTGAAACAAATATGGTCCTATGTGAACCATTCGTGAGATTAGTAATCAACCAATCTTGGGAAACTGCCTGGAAGAACTGAAAGAGAAAAAGAAAAGGATGAAGTTTTATACGGTATAAAAGAAAAAGTCAATTGCCAAATGTGAATGTGAATACTTGTGAGAGTTGTAAAGTACAAAGTTGTACTCTTACGTGTGATTTGTGTAATTTCGATTCTCCTTCGGCCTTCCACAAGCTCTCATTTTTCCAGCAACAATACTTATTTTATTTATTTACCAAAAATAAAAAATAATGAAAGAATAAAAAAAACATTTGCACATTATAGATTCATTGAAAATATATATTAAAAAGAGTAAAATTTGTTGAGAGCCTTGCTGAGCTTTTAAACACCCCTCCTCCCTCTTCTGTGCCCCTATCTCAAGTCTGGAACAAATTTAAAACGTTGCTGTGAGTACCGTGAGCGTGTTAGCTAGGAACGTTTGAGGAGCGGATCCCTAATACCCGCCCCTCTCTCTATCTAAATTACTAATCTTTCGCTTTCTAAAATTCTTGAATTATTATTGGCTGCAGATCCACAGATAGATCCAAAAACTCACATTTTGATCTGCAAATTCTTATTCGGATCTATCTCTCTCTAGATATATTTATATATAAGAAATCCATCATAAATGGGGGCATATAGAGCCGACGACGATTACGATTACTTGTTCAAAGTGGTGCTGATCGGCGACTCCGGCGTCGGCAAATCCAACCTTCTCTCTAGATTCACCAGGAACGAGTTCAGCCTCGAGTCCAAATCCACAATCGGCGTCGAATTCGCCACTCGAAGCATTCACGTCGACGACAAAGTCGTCAAGGCTCAGATTTGGGACACCGCCGGCCAAGAAAGGTACAGATCTCATAAATTTCATCATTAGCCACATCTCATGCTTTATATATGTATTAATCATGCAATGCGAGGTTATTGCTTTGATCAATAACTTTTAAATGTATGCAATTCCTTAACTGACTTCTGGATCTTATTGTTCGAAAATTAGCAAAAAAAAAAATTCCCTTTAGATGATCACATAAGTTAATGTTATGGAACTTTTTTTAAAAAATAAAATTTATCGTATGTATACTGCTTGATTTTGAGATCTTTATACTCTAGTCATTGACGCCTTGCACTGGACCGTGCAACGATGTACTTAAAATTTTGTTTATCCCTCTCAGATCTGAAGATTTTGTTTTTATTGCTTTTCTTTATTAATGACTAAATTGAGGAAATGAGAAGAAAGTTTGAAAGTTTTTAATCCTATGTTGTCTGTTGTTTGGCTCATAAATGGTTGATTAATGAATATGTGGCTCAGTTCTAGACTGTAGTTTAGGAATACAAATCAATATGTTGAAGGAACCATTCAAATTTGAGGGGATGCCCAAACACACCCCAAATCAATTTGGTTGCAAGAAAAGCTTGTAAGGTATATATTTGAATATTCTTCCTAGACATTTTCCATTGAAGTCCCTGGCTTTGCTTGTTTCCTTGTACATTTGTTTCTTTCATGGTGTTCTATGTGTGCTATGTGTGCCAATTGACCATGCAAAGCAAATGTTGTATATGTTCATACTCCATAGTAAGTTGGGATGCTATATGATTGGGTGTGACAAGATTAGCTACTAGATTATAGTGATGATATAGTTTAGATCAAATTATTACTCCACGATTATCATTTCTGCTATTCTGGAATGTTTCTACTTTTGCTTGATGTTGGTTGACTAGGAGGAAGATAGAAATAGAAAACTTGGAATGTCAAAACTACCAATCCGACATAGAGTAATTGTATGATATTGAATATACTAGTACTCTTTCCTCTTATCACCGTCTGCTATTAAACAAGGTATTTTTGCTTCTGAACAATCCTTGGATGTTTCTGGGTTGCAGCCGATTACCATATAATAAGGAGAGAGTTACAGAACTAAAAATCAATAACCTTCCTTCCATCGCCTTCTGGATCTAAGTTTCCATCTCATGATGATTATACTATCCGAGCGTAGTTTCTTCAAATTTTTATTGCTGGCTATAAGTGTGTATATTTGTATAAACAAACAAGCAAACTAGGAGCCCTTTACAAGGTTTCGACTTCCAAATGAATTGTTATTGGTCGTTGGCCTTACATTGCCCTTATCCCCAATCTTAACTCCTTTGCTACGTAAAATTTCTCTTTTTACATATATCTGCCCTGTTGTTTACATGATTAATCAACCAAGTGTTTTTTCTTGTCAATATTCCTTTCAGAATAAACTGTCTTCTCACTTTAAATTCTTTGTTATAGATACCGTGCTATTACTAGCGCATACTACCGAGGAGCTGTTGGTGCATTGCTTGTTTATGATGTCACTCGTCATGTCACATTTGAAAATGTAGAGAGATGGCTAAAGGAACTACGAGATCACACAGACGCCAATATTGTGATCATGCTTGTGGGGAACAAGGCAGATTTGCGTCACTTGCGGGCTGTTTCCACCGAGGATGCTACATCATTTGCTGAAAGAGAAAACACCTTTTTTATGGAGACCTCTGCTCTGGAGTCCATGAATGTGGAAAATGCTTTCACTGAAGTGCTTAGTCAGATATATCGTGTTGTTAGCAGAAAGGCTCTTGATATTGGGGATGATCCGGCAGCTTTGCCAAAAGGGCAAACCATTAATGTTGGCGGCAAGGATGATGTATCAGCGGTGAAAAAAGTTGGGTGCTGTTCTGCATAATCTAAAGAATGAGACCACTGGCGAAAACGGGTATTTCTTTGATTCCCATTTCAACGTGGTTATGGGAGGGACACTTTTGATTATCTCAGTGTTAGAATTACAAAGAACTATCGCCAACAAAACTTATATATTTATAGCACGTGACACTCAAAATTTGCCTAGTTTTGCCGAGGCTTTAATTTTTAGGATTGATTTTTCTTGCATTCTTTTGTCCTCTTAGTCACCTTCATGTTTAGTTTAAATTTGATTGCTCATGGTTGGATTCGGAAATGTATTAAGACATTCTACTTTTCAGTGTACTTCAATTTGATGTTTTTTGTCCACATAATTGGTTTATTAGTTATTGTATTATGGTAATGGAATGATAGCTTGTCTTCTGGTTCATGTTGTATGAAGAAATGTCAGTAGTTAAGGGTGACTATCCTCTTTGAGGATGTTGATAGTTGTTTGAGAACTTACCTTTCTGTTTTCATCTGTTAGTTATTGGAAGTTCTTTTATGGGATCTACACTACTCAATGGTTTTTGTTAGGTCTATTCGAAGGGTTTTAATTGGGAATCAATGGTTTTTGGTAGGTCAATTCGAAGAGTTTTAATTGGAAATCAGCATTACATTTACAATCTGATATCATCATCTGGGTAGGAGATAGATGGTAAATTTGTTATCAGGGCCTGATGGAAATTTTTTTAGATGGTTCTAAAACATTGATGTAAAGAAACTGAAGAACGCGACACATACAGGACCATAGAGAAATCTTGGGTATACCCGCAAGATTCAATGGGGACAAAAATAAATGAAACAACTGAATTGTATAAACACGTCAATACATTGTCCACAATAGACATAAAAAAAACAAATGAAATAAACAGTCTATACATCATCCTTGGCCTCTCTCTAAAAGTGACTAGGAACTTTCTAGCTCTACTATATATATGATCAAAAAGGTGTAGCTTTGCAGATAGGGCAAACATTTTTTTCAAGGGGCCACGACTTTATGCAGTCTGCATGATATTCATGTCCGCATCTAAGTCTTCCAATTGTCTCATTCTTTTCCTACTCCGCCTGCAAAATTATAGTTATTACATCATCAACAGACAAAGATGTATGCCTTAAATTAAAGCCAAACACAAATGTGAAGAATTATATATATATATATAGTTCTATATACTTGGCATATAACACAGATTTCAGGTTCTTCGTTCTGATTCGCAGATGAAACATGGGTTCTCGTGTTAAGCTGTTTTGCAATGGTTTCCTTTGACAACCCAATGCTAACCCGGCCCATTAGTTCTTGAAGCTCTAATACGTCCTGCAAAGTTGTCCTTTTAGTTATACGTGTATGATTATATATCTATAATGACAGTCCAATAAGATTTTTAAATAATCACTAGTCTTCAATTTAACCCCTGTGCATATATATAGGAAATGATTTGTTTAACATGAATACATACTACTTCAAGAACACATTCAAGTTGAACCTAGTAATGTAGAAACCTCGTAAGACATATCATCAGTGAAGTTATCTGAATTGGGGGTTGCCGGAATGTGAAGCGAGCTGCCAATGTAGAGGGAGTAATCTGAAGAATCATCCAGCAAGAGCACATCCTACAAACAATATTTTCAGGGAATATATTAATTAGTATCCTTAAAGTTAGATGGTCATATATATATATTTTAGTGTAAATATTTCAATATGGAAATTAAGGAACTAGATAAAAGTAGTCGAGGAAGAAGATAATAAATTAAGTAACATACATCTTCTAGTAGATAATTTCCGAAAAGATGACTCTGGGTATGAGCCTGTTACTCGAATTCCTGGTATTAACCCGAGCCAGAGAAGGACGACCACCTCTTCCTCTGGTGTCAATGTTATGATGATGCATGCTGGGGTGGTTTTCTCTTCTTATTGCTTGCACAGGATGAGGTGAGTGTTGCTCATGAGTACTTGTGAGCACCATTTGATCATCTATAGATGACATCCAATATTGTTGCCTGCTTTCAATCACATATCAAGATATCCATCCCATCAGAAAAATAATATATATGCACAAGAAACAGAGATAAGTACGTTTACAAGAAACAAACACACAAAAAGTATGTAACTACAAAAGGAAGAAAGAAATTTATTCAGAAAAAAGAAAAATTAAAATAATGACAACTCCTATCATAGCATAATCTGCAACCATTAAACACTACTCAACAAAATATATAAAACAGATATATATAAATCCACAAGCTACATTAGCATTAGGCCACTGCTGTATCAGAATTTTAAATAAGTCCACCCCCAAAGTTAATATATGGACTCATATACAAATTAATATATAATTATAACATAAGAGAATTGGTAGCTTTCCATTCTTTTCCTCTATGCAAGCCACTGAACGGAAAAATCTAAGAGAGTAGAATGAGAAGTAGTGTGCTGAGCAGAAAAATCTAAGAGAGTAGAATGAGAAGATGGATGGTACTATTTATAGATATAGAGATATATATTACTTGGTCCGAATACAAAAGGAAAGCTAAGTGAGGATTAGTGCCGCCTTGTACAAATGGGAGACATGGCTTTCCTATAATTTCTTATCACATTATACAATTTCTTTGGACACAAGTTATATAGGTAGTCAAACTTACGGTGGTAGACCAGAATCTAATTAGATATTGCCACCAAGTAGTTAATGAGGATTGGTGCTGAAATTGTGGAGCAATTACCTGATTTATCTCTGACCAACCCCCAAATTCCTTCACCCACAAGATGAAACTCATACTCACCTGTTTTTTGATTGCCTTTTTGTACGACCATTGTGGAGTCATCTTCAAGACATCTGCCGATTTCATGTTTCTCCAATGGATTGGTGCTAGCTGACAGCTTGGACATCGAACCAGTGGTCACGAAAGGTTGGTTCTCTCCACCACTATCAACCGAATTTGGGCTGAGCGCAATAACCGAGCTTTCAAACTCAAAAGGTGTTCCCAATCGGCAATTCTGAAACAAACAATTGACATCGTACGTCAACGATTATCTTCCATGACCGTAAAGGACTCTGCTTCAGCAAGATGCTTGGCCCTCTCTTGGGATCTTCCCGCATCCTTCATTAGGCCTCCACCGGAACCACCGGACTCAGGATCGGAGTGACGCTTTGCATCTTGCCAGGGGAAATGCTCTGCTTTGCCCCTCATCACTTCACCGGATATGTTACAACAAAAGTGTTGAGGAAACTAGACTATAATTGTTTTCTGGGCCAAATATTGGGCTTTTAGCCTTGTTTGCTGTTCGGCTGTTGAAAAGGGCTTGGGCCTTTGTTTTTGTGACAGGGTTTTCGTTAATTCCAATTTTGATATTTTAAATTCCGAAAAAGAGAGAGAGGAGGTTTTCTAGCATTTTTTCCAAAGTAAATTTAAGGATTTTTTTTTTCTTTTTTTTCCAAAGATAATTTAGGTTGATGTGGAAGGGATAAACCTGAATTTTACAAATGTATATTTATATGATAAAATTTTGTTTCCTTATTTTACGGGTCTCTTAAAATAAATTAATTGTTAATTTATATGTTAATCTTTTTTAATGGGTAGAAACTTTTTTATAAATTTCTTTTTAGGTTAAATTGCGCTAAATACCTTCTACTATCAAAAATTGCAAAATAAACCCCTATACTATTATTTTTTTCAGTAACAAACCTTCACACTTTATCAAAAATTACAAATTATCCTCTCTCACATACAAAAATTAAATTTTCAGTGGTTGAGTGCAACTAGTGTCGGCTGGATTCTTAAGCGGCTAATTAAGTGGTGGCCTAAACCCTCACTTGAAGACAAATTACTAGCATTTTATCCAATGTTAATTTAGGTTTTTTTTTTCCTCCAAAGTTAATTTACAAATGTATACTAATGGATCTATACATTTAACCAAACATTTAATTAAAGACAAATTACTTGAAGAAGACAAGGTAGTAGAAATAAATAATTACCATGTGCTTTTTCCTTCAACTCTTCTATATAACGACTAATTTCATCACAAATAATTTTCCTACAACTCTTCTTACTGTTTTATATCCTAGGAATCCTGACATAGACCTTTCCGAATATATGCACTCGTATACATAACTAAAACACGAGAGAATTCGTACTTTTTCATTCTTTTCTTCTGCGCAAGCCATTGAAAGGAAAAATCCAAGAGAGTAGAATGACAACGAACAAGTACAATGAGAAGTAGTGTGTTGATGGATCGTACTATATATATCAATATAGAGATATATATTATTGGGTGACTTGGTCGGAATGTAAAAGGAAAGCTAAGTGAGGATTTTTGAATTTCTCTGAACACAGCGTACAACTGGGAGATAATGCTTTCCTAAACTAACCCTAATTTCTCACATTACATATTTTCTTTGGACACAAGTTTTGGGTGGTCAAACTCACGGGAAAAAAGTTTTGGTTGGTTAACCAGAATCTAATTAGATATTGCACGTAAAACTTACCTTGTAAGCGGTACAATCGTACAATACATATCATCTTTTGGGCACAAATTTTGGTCGGCCAACTCGAATCTAATTGAAGATTCACTTAAACCTTTGCACCTTTGAAAAATCAATGTATAATGCCAAAAAGAAATAATTGAAGGAGGCTTTCTAGCATTTTATCAAAGTTAATTTAGGTTGATGTGGATGGGATAAGCCTCAATTTTACAAATGTATACTAATCAATCTATATATTTAGGGTTAAATGCAAAAAAAAACTCCCATCTACTATCGATACATCGATACAGTGCATATAGGTTCCTGTGTGATAAAAAACTTTCCTATACTATCAATTTGGTGCAAATAGGTCCCTGTGTGGTGGTATAAAATGACGATAATACTCTCACTTCAGTTAAATAAATTAATAATAAAAAATACCAATCATGTAAAATGACCATTTTATCTACTTATAAAAAATAAAATTAAAAAAAAATCTTATATATATCATTTGGAATTAGTGGGTTGACCTTGTTCACTCATTTGTTTGGTAAGATTGATTCCAAATTGGGTTTGAAAGGCATGAGAAGTGAAGTTTGGAGATGGGTTTTAGGTTTGATTTATATATTTGCTGTTGCAACAATCACACTGACTTGGAGATTGAAACGAATTGCTTTGTGAATTGCTTGGAGATTTGACCTTGACGTATGAAACGAACTGCCCAGAAAGCAAGATCTGCTTTGTGAATAGTCCACTGACTCCACTTTCTTTATATATATATATATATATTACAGGGGGGTTTAATGCACTTTACCCTAATATGTATTAGGGTAAAGTGCATTAAACCCCCCTGTACTATGACCCAATTGCAAGAATCCCTCCTGAAATAAGTAAAACCCCATAAACTATCATTTTGTTGCACTCATTGACCAACCATTAACTAGCTGTTAACTGAAAATTGAAATTACCTTTTAGCCCTTACCCCTGTTGAATGATTTTCCGCCGGAATTGAAGGCCAATGAGGAAAAAAAAAAAAAACATAGAGAGAGAGAGGAGGAACAATTTCCATCAGCGAAGGTTGTGGGTGTTGGGTGGTGGTAGCAAAGGTCGTGGGTGAAACTCCACTCTTGACTTTTGTAGGTATGGTTAGAGGACAGAACAAATCTTCACCCTCACCCTTGAGTGGGAGAGACGAAACGACGCCGTCTGAGCAAACCGGTGAAGACGCTGGCAAAAAGTTTAGATCGTTGGAATCCAATTCAACCGGCGACGGCGATGGTGGTGGGAGTGTATTGTTGGCTACGGCATTCTCTTCAACGTCCCATTTGGCTTTGCTGTTATGAATCGGAGCCGGAGATGGTGTTCCGACATGTCTGAAATCTGAAGGTCCATCGGAGAAGCTTTGTGCTGGAGAGTTAAGTGGGTGGAAGCAGATTCCACCGACGACGGAGACCCATGTCGGAGTGTATCGTTGGTCACAGCATCCTTTCCAACATACCTTTTGGCTTTGCCGTGATGATTAGAAGCCAGAGATGGTGTTCCTACACGGTCGGAAAACTGACTACTCACTGCCTTTTTACCGAAGAATCTCGGCGCTGAAGAGTTTGAGTGGGTGCATGGAAGCAGATTCCACCGGCGACGGAGGCAAATGTCGGTGCGTATCATTGGTCACAACTTTCTTTCCAACATCCCCTTTGGCTTCGACATGATGATTCGAAGCTGGAGATGGTGTTCCTACATGGCCAGAAAACTGACTACTCACCGGCTTTTAATCGGAGAATCTCGGCGCTGAAGAGTTTGAGTGGGTGCATGGAAGCAGATTCCACCGGTGACGGAGGTGGATGTCGACACGTATCATTGGTCACAGCTTTCTTTCCAACATCCCTTTTGGCTTCGACGTGATGATTCGGAGCCGGAGATGGTGTTCTGATATGGCCGAAAATTGTAGATCCACCGGAAAACTGTCTACTCGCTAGCTTTTCTCGGGACAAGTTCCGCGCCAAAAAGTCTAAGGCTGTGGAAACAGGTTCGGCCGGCTACGGAGAGGGCGGTCGGCGTATAACTTCGGTTACATTATCCTCACCAGAAAACTGACTACTCACCGGATTTTCATCAGAGAAGCTCGGCGCCGGAGATTGAACAACAGTGTTCTGGGAATCTGAAGATGTATCAGGAACTGTAGGTCAAAATGATACAAACTCAACCCAGTCCTTGGAGCAAGAATGCAAATCCACCTATGGAACTTGGGGATGGATCTGATGCGTGAAGAAATGAAAGAAGGTGGTGTTTTACACAACAAAGACCATATGAGATAAATTAGTTTTTAAGTTTTTAGGTTTGCAGGTGAGAGGAGGGATATGTGGCTGAGGGGACCAACGACAAAGACTCAAATTCACTCCGGCAAAGGAAGTGTTTTATCTTAGTTGTGTCATAAGGGCTAATTTTGTCCTTTTAAAAATTTTTGAGCCCTCACGTGACTTAAGTGCTCCCATTTCTGTTAATTTTATAACGGTGAGTTAAATTTAGGGGGTTAAATGTCTTTGTGATAGTTCAAGGGGGTTTTGTGAGAAAGAGAAGAAAGTTCAGGGGGGTTTAATGCACTTTACCCTACATATTATGTAACCTAATTTACGAATACAAGCACTAGACAAGATTCTGTCTGTCCAACCCCTTCTTTCTCATCTGTCGAACACTACTGAAAGCACAGACCCAGATCAATCATCATCTTCTTCTTCTTCACAGAGCCGTTTTGGATGGTTGGGTCTCTCCGTACTTTCATGCTTTCTCTCTCTTCATCTTCTTCTGTGCACACGCAACCCGCGCAACAGCACTTCTCTCTCTACGCATTCCATTACGTTGCTCTCTATTCTTGTTCAATTCTTTCTTCTTCCTTCGGTTCTTGCAAAGAGGCCTGGTACTATCGCTGCCTTAACCTGAGGGGCTATAGACGAGAGGTGATTTGACAAGAAAGTCAATTCCTAGGGCTCAGTCACCCCATATTTCCATTTTCCATTTTCCATGTCCCACGATACCCAATTTATTGGAATTATCGAAAAAAAAAAAAAAAAAAACCCAATTTCTTGCTTCTTCCTTATGCATGTCAATTGTCAAAGTCTGTAAATCTCGGTGAGGCAGAAGCGGCAATGGATTGATACCTCGAGGACAATTTGACCGGACGGCGTTGGGGAGATGGATTTGGCAAGCTTGGCCATGACGGCCGCTTCGCCATCGGCCGCCGCGGAGGGGTTGAAGAGAGGTGATTGTTAAGCAAGAAAACAATTGTTTTCTAAGAACCCGAATCTGCAAACGGGTTATACTTGCATGGGTTATACCCGAAATACATGGGCAATGCCCAATTTAATGCATATATGGGTGAGGGGCAAAATGGGAATCAAAAGGGTAAAATAGGGTTTTTTTTTTTTTTACTTTCTGTAAAAAAGTGGTCAGATGAACTTATTTGCATCTTTTTTGAATTTAATGGATCGATATGCACATTTTAAAAAAACAGGGATTAGTTTTACACAAACCCTATATATCAAGAGTTTTTTGCACTTAACTCATATATTTAATTAAAGACAAATTACCTGAAGAAGACAAGGGTAGTATAAATTAGTAATTACACGTGAGTAATAAGATCAATTTGCTCCCTAGTAATTAAAAAGACCTTCATTTGTTGTCTCAAAAGGTACTGTAGTAAATGAATAAGGTCCACATCTGAAATGGGCGGTCGATACAGAAGAGTATCATCGGAATGAGTCTTAATATCCGAAATAGGTACTGAAGAGCACTGGAGTGAGTCCCAACATCCGAAATGGGCTGTTGCTGATACTTAAAACCACTGGAGCGAATCGCAACGTCTGAAATGAACTGTACTGGATCACTAGACTGATTCCTATAAATACTTGTGAGCATCACTATAGTTCTCCCCATGACTACTTGTCATCCATAGATGACATCCATTGTTGCCTTCTTAGTGCTTTCAATCACATATCAAGATATCCATCCCATCATAAAAAACAGAAATAAGTATACAAGAAACAGAGAAAAGCACACGAGAAACAACACACAAAAAGTATGTAACTACAATAGGAAGAAAGAAATTTATTCAGAAGAAGAAAAATTAAAATAATGACAATTCCTATCATAGCATAATCTGCAACCATTAAACACAAATTGTTGCCTACTTAACAAAATATATAAAACATATAGATATAAAAATATATAAATCCACAAACTACATTAGCATTAGGCCACTGCTGTATCAGAATTTTCATTAGGTCTACCCCCAAAGTTGTGTTTTGAAATATAGCAGTGAACATCAAATCTGCTTTAGCCATGTTTACGGAGGAGTTCGAGCGACATGTATGAAACCTCACCTTTAGTATAGGCACTACAAAATAAATTTAGGCAGTACAAAATAAAGCAAAAATTATAGAGGTTTAATGCTTATCTCATGTATACAGGGGCGGCTAAATATTATTTGAGACCTTAGGCGAAAAAAAAAATGGTATTTTAATTAAATCTATCCATATATTTATGTCAGTATTATGCTAATTATTTGTTTTGTGATTTTTAAACCTATCACTAAATTTTTTCCAAACTCTAGTTCAATTGTTAATTAATTGACGATATGCTTTCTAATAGTCACATTTAACAATATAAATAAAAATTATAAACAAAATATATAATTTTATGATAAAAAAATTAATAAAACTATAAACTAATTTAAGTTATATAATAATAGAAATTGATTTCGAATAATTTGGTATAATACTCCAATAAATTCTTTAATAGAATATAAGTGTATTCAAAATCTTATTACAGAGTGAGATTGTGAGATTGTAAATTGTAATAGTGGAGAAGATGAAAAAAAAAAGAAAAAATTTATAATGAGAGAGAAGAAAAAATATAGGAGTAAGAAAAAAAGAGAAAATAAAAATTAATATAAGTCTTAGAAAAATATAGAAAGTTTTACCAATTTTCACTTAAATATATATTTAATATTTAGTGTATGTATATATGTTGATGTAAGTGAGAGAGAGCAAAAAAAAAAAAAAAAATTATAATAATACAAAGATAGAAATATTTTGGGCACACTTTGTATTTGTTGAGGTTTAATAATATAAGAAAATAAAATATTTAGGTAAGTTATAATATATAAAGAAAAAAAATTTTGGGGGCCTCTCAAAAAAATATAAAGAATAGAAATCTTTTAGGTCAACTTTTAGATCCAAGCTCCGCGCGTGGATCAATGCTTTTGGAGCTGATTCGCCGAAAATTCGTGGACTCGAAATTTGAGTTCGATGATTCTAATTTGTAATCCGCGGATTGGGCCAGATGGGCCGAATTCACCTCTTGTGAGTAGGGGTTGCAATTCATGTTCGTATCGTGTTAATGTAAGAGTATTATACTAAATAGGTAAACCCAAACCCAATCCATTTAATAATCGTGTCAAGATCTTCAACACTAACCCAACTCGTTTATTAAACAGATAAACGTGTTAACCCGTTTAATGATCTATTTATCAAAATAAGACATTTAATATTTAATCAAATATTAAATAACAGAAAAAAAATTGTCATAATTAACATTAATTAGAATAATATATATTAGTAAATGCACAGATGCTCTTATGGCGCTCTCGCTCCCGCCCTCACCTAATTTTAAATTTTATCCCCTTCTTACTCTTGCCCCCACTCTATGTGACTTAGGGTCAATTGTCAAATTTCTTTATATGTTAAAGTTTAATAATTAAAAAAATATTATAATTATTTTAAAAAATTTATAATATATAAAAAAATAAAAAATTGTAGAATCTTCTTATTGACTTGGGTCTTAGGCCACCGCCTAAATTACCTAAGGCTCCAACCACCCCCCTGCATATATATATATATATATAAAATTCAATTGCTTTTTCTTTCAGCTCTTCTGTACGATGACATAGACCTCTCCGAAATATTTAAATAAAAAACAAGAGATACCTGTAATATTATTATAGATTTGCATCAAAACAGTAAAGGATTAGTTTTCTATTATTATTATTTTTTATCAAAATGTTTTTTTGTTTTTTTTTTTTAACACTTGGTAACATTTATTCATATCCCAACCATCACAGAACTATATATATATATATATATATATATATTATAGAAATGGCAAATCTCAACAAAACCATAACCTACTACTCGAGAATCATAAAGTCCATCCATAAACTATATGCCTCACAACACGTATACGCATCGAATCCAAACAGTAAAACAGAAAAGTTAACTTCGCATTCATCTATAAATAGTCAATATGTCGTCTTTAAACTATACATTAATTTATGCACTCGTATACAAATTAATATATAACCAAAACATGAGAGAATTTGTACCTTTCTATTATTTTCTTCTACGCGCAAGTTTAATTAAAACACACTACTTCTCATTCTACTTGTTCGTTCTCATTCTACTCTCTTGGATTTCCTTTCAGGATAGTGATCAACTTCGCCTTCATAGTGATACTACATGAAAGCTCCCCGAAAAAAATTCTAATGTAAGGAATTTTCAAATGCATGTGACATTATGTGGTGCCCTCCAAGAGTTTTTTACCTTATAGTCTACCAATGTTCTGTTTCATTATTTATCACCCGGAGACTTAGATAGCCCACATGGTCACATGAAGGGAAATTGATACTTTTAGGCTATGTTTGGCATACATGAAAGTAGAGTTTTGGAATTAAAATCGGTAGAATCGGAGAAAAGTTATTTAGAAAATTGAACTAAAATTTTCTCCATTTTTACAAATTTCAATTCCAGGCTGCTACTAAATACAACTTAGTGTAATTAATCCTATCTAACTTTAGTTAATTCATCAAACCAAGATTGTGACCGAAACCAAAAATTAAATGGACTGACTTGGGCCCATGTCCGGACAGAAACTTGGCCTGATTTGATTTAGACACTGGTCTTAAAGTCTGGCCATATTACTTGATCAAATGGAATTAGATTTTTTATATTTTTATTTTATATTTTAATTTTTTTTAGGATTTTTGAAGCTATCCCTACTAAAATTACAATTTGTTTCCACTGGATTCCTAATTTTTTTTCTTTTTTTTTGCATTTCATACTTTACATTTTTGAAATTTTATAAAAAAATCAAATAAAAATTATAAAAATGGTCCACTATATAAGTTTGTTGGATTTTGCTTTCACAAATAAAAAGTCTGCACTTCCTCATAAATTTTTTTAGATTTTTCGTTGATCGTGGTGGCCGGTGGTTATGAATGATGGTTGGGTTTTGTTCACATGGCGGTGATATAGAAGGAAGATGGTGATGATATGGATAGAATTAAAATTATTGGGAGCAATAATTTGGATCCAAATGCATGTGTGTTTGTCGAATTCGTAATTACTATTGTTAAATAATCATATTTGTAATGTATTCGAGTAAGTTGTGACTCACTACGTATTAAATTTTTTCATGAATTTATGACTGAACGAGGACTAACAGCCACATCCCCACGCACTTACCCAAAAACCATATCCAGATGCGGCGGATAAGCCTTTCGGCACGCATTCCAACGTGATATATATATATATATATATATATATACCATTCAGCGAGAGTGCCGTAACAGATTGCTGTTGTGTACTCTAGTGGTCTAGGCCTTTTACGCACCTAATATGATATTTCTATCATCCAGCTAATAAATGGAACGTTTAATTTTTAGATTAATGGGATTTGAAAGGAAAAAGTTGGCAAAGGGTGATAAAGTTTTGATTTTTTTATTTTTATTTTTATTTTTAAATGTTAGATAACAGGAAAAATAATTTTTTTGAGAAATTAGAATAATAATTTAGACAAATTTTCATTGCGTAATTGCTCATATAATGGAAGGAGTCACGATCAAAGATACAAATGAAACAAGTAAAGTTTAGATCAAGTCTTGTAAAAAACAGTTCAGATCCAAACGGTTTCAACTTTCAAGTTATGCACGTATATTCACCGCGAGTTTACTTTAAACCATCTGTCTGTAGCCAAATATATATATATATATATATATATATCTATTGTACTCCATAATACTATAACAAAGTAACGGAAGAAGGTTCATCGCGTGCCCCCACCTACCCTTCGTGCGTAATTCAACTAAGTTTTCTCTTTCAACGCGTTCATAACTTCAAAAATCTCCATCTAGAATCTATATCAATACATAGATATATATATATATACACACATATATATCGCTCTCTGTATAAACTCTAAAACTACATACAAATCCCTAATTCTGAATTCAGATCCTATTATTTTCAAGCTTGTTCATGGCATCGTCATCTTCTTCTTCGATTCATCAAGTCAATTTTCGAACCCTAGTCCTCGCCAGACACCTCAACCACCCCAATCTTCATTCACCTCCATCTCTCGAACCCTCCGTATGTCTTCAATACTCTCCTCCGGAGCTCTCCGAAATGTTCAATTTCGACACCAGATCCATGCGGAAGCTGATGGACGGCCACAATTTGGAGGACAGGGACTGGTTGTTCGGATTGATGATACAGAGCAAGTTGTTCTGCCCTAGAGAGAGGGGAGGGAAAGTTTTCGTGTCGCCCGACTATAATCAGTCGATGGAGCAGCAGAGAGAGATGACAATGAGGCGAATTGGGTACTTGCTGGATCGTGGAGTTTTCGATGGGTGGCTTATGGCCAAAGGGCCCGATGCTGATATGCGAAAGTTCGCCTTTTTTGAGGCCGTTGGTTTGTATGATCACTCACTTGCCATTAAGCTTGGTGTTCATTTCTTTCTATGGTACGTTATAGTTTCTTTTTCGCTATTTTCCTGAATTTAATGCTTTTTGAGTGATCCTGAATGTTGGTTGTTGGTTGTTGTTGCTTTCTGTTTGGCTGCTGATTGAGCGGAGGAAAAGAAAGGGAAAGTAAATTGTTTTCTTGGTTCTGAAAGAAAAATTGAATAGAAAATGAAATAAAAAATTTGAATTTGCAAGCTTTTTATTGTTGGGCAACAAAAGAACAACAATGTCCATTCAACTATAGGTACGATAGGTATAGGAAGTAAATATTTAAAATTCTTTTTTTGATCTATCATAAGTAACCAATCGGAACTGAACTTCAAGCTTTTCTATTGAATTAGATGCTGTTATTGTCTTTCCACCAACAATTCTACTGTAAACCCCAAATTAACATCCTTGTGGGTGCCTAATTTGAGGGGGGAATGTTCCAATTTTCCCCCATTTTTGTTCATTTAGTTTCTTATCAGCCTGCGTTTAAGTAGGAAGAGACTAAACCCCAAGGGGGTTGCCTAGTTGGAAAAAAAACTTGGGCCTGGTGCCTCAAGAAGCATTATGTCTCAGGATCGATTCCTCTTAAGTGCAAACAATTCCTTATAGCTACGCCCGTGGACAAAGTCCTAGCTTTACCCGATCCGTGTGGGGGCTCCCATGAATTAGCTGGGGCACAACCCAGGACACCCCGGTTATCGGGAAAAAAAGAAAGAAAGTAGGAAGAGAGCACTGAACTTGGGAGTTAGGAATAGTAACCACTTTACGTGATGGTTTAAAATGCTTGACTGCCTTGAAAGTTGTTCCTTCTGTGAAAACCTCACAAATAGGCTCCTCTGTGTCAGCATCTTTGCTTCAAAATGTTTTCTGTAAATGTAATAAGAAATTAAAAAACCTTCACACGTCACCTTTTCCTTAATTTTCATGTCGAACGAATGAATTATTATTATTATTATTATTTTTTTTTAAAGAGAAAAGAAAAATATAAGCAGAAAAAAGAACGCAATTTAACTAAGCCATGTTTGGTTCACAGTTCATTTGATTTGTGAACCAAATAAATAAGAACATAGTTCACTCTCTCTTTCTCTGTGTGTCTGAAATGTGGCCGGCCAGATTTCTGCCTCATATTCTTTAATGTAATGGGTTTCAATTATAAAATAAATAAACAAAATAATGGGTTTCTTTTTAAGATTTTTCTTGTTATGATGGTCACAGCCACGGACATACCTGTAATCCAGTGGGGACAATTGCCCCCACTGATTTTTTTTTTTTGTTGGTATTTTATACCTATAGTTTCCCTCTGTTTTTTTTTTTTTGGCATTACATACCTATAAAATTTTTAATTTGTCCCCACTGAAATTACAGAATAATCCCACTATTTCCCCCACAACATAGGCTGCCCAGCCTTACATAATTTTCTGGGTCTGTGCCTGGATGGTCAATTATTTTCCGATTCCTTGTCCGGTGAGGATATTTGTATAGGAACTCCATAACAGATGAGATTGTGTTAGGAACTTGAGTGAGCCCAACTGCCCAAGATTGGGGGGGGGGGGGGGGGGGGGGGGGGGGGGGGGGGGGGTTGAGAGCACATGCAGGTGAGCGAGAACCCATGAGGTAATTCTTTACGTGGCTCTAAAGCACTTTTTCTGATGTGACAGAGTTATACCAAAGAAATTAAAAAACCTTGTCCAACCAGCAATTGGTGCAAGAGCTCTATAAAAAATGAGTATGTGGTAGGAGTAGGAGTATGCCCGAGGTAGCAAGGGGTTCTATTAGGTTTAATATTCCACGGATCCGAGCATTAAAATTCCTTTATAGGAATGACAATAATAATTTACCCTATGTTATGAGAGAATTCTCATATAAATGGTGGATCTCTTTCAACACAGAAGAGATCCTTTCCGACATTAATACTGTTATATACATTTCCACGAGGATTTAAAAGTATCACCAAAATTCCTCTTTATATGATCTAATTGAGGATTAAAATTAAAAAACCTCCCAAAATTTCCAGGAATATCTTCAGATTTGAAGAAAAAACTATTAGAGATCATCATAATTCATGTCCAACAAGGAAATCACTGTAAGAGCTCTATAAAGAATGAGTACGTGGTAGGAGTATAGTATACCCAAGGTTGCGAGGGGTTCTATGCTTATGGGAGAATTCATGGGGTATTTCTTTACATGTTTCTAGAGTTTGTTTTGTGGGTGGAGTTGGTTCTAGAGTGAATTTTGTGGTTGGAGTTTGGAGAAATCACGTGTCTTATCTGACTTTTACTTTGGATATTGTAGGTTTCAGGTTATTATACTCTTTTTGTTCTGGATGGGATACCTTCTTTGATGAAGTTTAAGAAAAAATTCATATTACCGCCTCCATTATATATAGTGGAACCTTTTTGTTGTCTTTGCTCACAAACATAGCTTATTCGTGGGTGAACTGAATAAATCATCCTGTTTTATGTTTGTTCATTTCTTGTTAAATTTTCATTTATTTTTCTCTTGCTGATATGAACCTTAACAATGGAGTTGATTTTTTAATTTTTATTTTCCCTATTACATTATGTGTGATCATCATTTCAGAACTAACAGAAGACAATTCAATCATATATGTTGCTGAGGGAGGAAACACGTTATGCAAGTTGGTTTGCAAGTTTCAGCTGGTTGGACTCCTACTCTTATTCATGTGATGAAGAGCAGGGGCCATCAAATTCTTTAAAAAATTATATTAATGCAATTGGACCATGATGAACTTTACAATTTTATTTTTAATTGAACTTCAGGTGTTGGCATGTAGCTAGGACTGGCTGAAATTGTTGATCATATTAGCCAGACAATCAATTAGTCTGGGTATTTTTTGGAGTTTGGTGATCAATGCTGATTTACATGCATTCTTAAATTAACTTGAATTGCATATATTTTTAGTTATCACAAGTCCAACTTTTGGAATATTGTGTTTGTTTGTTAATATTTGTGTGGCATATCACAGAAATTTTATCATTAGGGACTCTCTTTTTCAATGCATTTCAGGGGTGGTGCCATCCAATTTTTTGGCACAAAGCGCCATCATGAGAAGTGGTTGAGAGACACTGAAAGTTACGTAGTCAAAGGTTGCTTTGCAATGACTGAACTTGGGCATGGAAGTAATGTATGTAAAGGTGGTTCCTTCATTTAATATTGGGCATTTGGCCTGTTCATTGATTTTCATCCATTCTTCTGCGTCAGTTTCCGTGACTGTTTCCTGGGTTATCTTTTTCAGGTGCGAGGAATTGAAACAGTCACCACCTATGATCCAAAAACTGGCGAGTTTGTAATTAACACTCCCTGTGAATCGGCTCAGAAGTACTGGATTGGAGGGGCAGCTAATGTACGAACTTTTTCTGTTTCTTGCAAAAATATTGGTATTCATACTTATCCTTTCCATTCTTTTGTTCAGCATCAATATAACACTGACATGTTTCTGTTTTGATGCTTTTTAGCATGCAACACACACTATAGTTTTTTCACAGCTCAATATAAATGGAAAGAATCAAGGGGTCCATGCTTTTATAGCCCAGATCAGAGATGCAAACGGCAACATCTGTCCAAACATATCTATAGCTGATTGTGGTCATAAGATTGGCTTAAATGGTGTTGACAATGGCCGAATCTGGTAAAAGTATAATTGTTGGATTTCATTTAAGTCAATAGCTGTTATAAATATCACTTGATTGGAAGAAAGAAAGGAAAGAAAGATGAAGTATGTGCTTTGACAATCTGTATTCTCCAGGTTTGACAATGTCAGGATCCCTAGAGAGAATTTGTTGAATTCAGTAGCTGATGTTTCTCCTGATGGGCAATATCTTAGCACAATAAAGGACCCAGATCAGGTGATTGTCTTTTCAGATGATTAGTCACACAGAATGAGGGTTTTGTTTCCCTACACATAAGCCCCCCCTTACCTTGACGAAAGCTGGATTCCATTGCAGTTTCTGATATTGATTATCTATATGCTTTATAGTATAATATCTAGCTTCTTTCGACAATGGGTCTTTGGCCGGTAGTTGAAGACTTGAAGTAACAGTTCCGTAGGCTAAACTTATATGGTGATTATTAATTTCAGAGATTTGCTGCATTCCTGGCCCCTTTGACATCTGGTCGCGTGACCCTGGCAGTCAGTGCAGTTTACTCATCAAAGGTAATCAAAGCTTTGATATTCTTCTTTTAACGTTCTCTATAACCGTGGGATAGGGAAAATAAGCTGGCCATCCTTAAAACTTGATTTGTTAGTGATAGATTCTAATCTTGTATCTTCTCCTTTCAGATTAGTTTAGCAATTGCTGTTAGGTACTCATTGACAAGGCGGGCATTTTCTGTCACACCAAATGGACCTGAAGTGCTTTTGCTTGATTACCCAAGTCATCAACGGCGGCTCTTACCTCTTCTTGCAAAGACGTAAGTATATCATTATATGGCTTTGCGTATCTGCATTTCATTGAAACTCTTTTAAAGTTACTACTACCTGCATTGTTCCTTGAATTGCATTCATTAGCTGGAGTAAGATTAACTGTTGGATCCTCTATATGTCTATATATGTATATATCCTTGTATAGGTAATATGTTAATGCCACATGTTACTTTAGAATCTTCAAAACTGTCACAACCCCGCATGGTAAATTATTTGCACTTGTGAACAACTGGAAATAGTTTAGCTGCTAAAGTTCTTACTTCTCAATCATATTTCTGAATTTTGTATCTTGCAAGTTCTGTAACCTATGAATGCGCTAACTCTCCAAAAAACAATTCGCCCTATGGCACAGACCATTGAAAAGCAAGGAAGCCTGCCTATGTTGGACTTATTATAAATAATGAACAAAAGGCAACAATGGTGATGCTGCGATGCAGGGTGTTTAGGGGTTTATGTAAGTTTAACAGCTATCCCAGTTGTGAATGCAGTCCTACTGACCCTCTCCCAAATGTAGCAATCCACATGTTTTAATCCCATAATTTGATAAATTTGGTTTTAAATGATTTTTAATGACTTCTTCTGAATCTTTAAAGATGATTTAACATGTGTAAAGGCTGGTACATTCAGTTTTAATTGCTATCAGCAAAAAAAGAAAAAAAACTTACGAATTTTATCTTCACAAATTTTGATCATAAATGCATTTAAATGTTCCAATATATAAAAGTTATCATTAAATCACGTTCAAACAACATTTTTGCTCCAAACCTTTCAGGGAAAAAAAAACATTTTTGCTCCAGTATCACATGCATACAATATTAGAAGAGGGAGGCAATTGAGGTTATCTTTATGGAAAGAAGTCAACATAAAATAGTATGATACGGTGATCCTTGTACCAAGATAGGGGCCGGTGTTACTTGCTACTTTCTTCACATTATCCCTAGTGTCACGGGGGTAAATTCTGAACACGAATCTAGTGCCCTGTTATGGCACTAAGCCAAAAATATGAACAACTTTTCTTTGAATTTCTAACTTAGCTCAGCCAACTTACACTTGCTGCCTAGAACACACAGCAAGTAAAACGCTCACACACACAAGTATAGTTGCAAGAATGTAAAGACAATAACACCCACGATTTTACAGAAGCACAAGGCTTCCAACCTTTTACTATTATTCACAAAACAGTACAAGGAAAGACCTTAACCTGCAGAAGCATACAAGTGTCTCTCACAACACAATTCTGTTTCTCACTCTCAATCTGCCCTCTCTACAGAATCCACATTAGCAATATATAGGTAAACTCTCAAAATCGCCCGCAACTGCCCACTAAAGTGGTAGATGACACCCCCATCCACCTAGGGTCATGCTAGCACCCTCGAAGTGTGCCAACACTACATATGTAGTTGATAAGCCCAACTACTAACTTGTTGGCATGCTCTGCTCATGCCACTTGTCCACAGGAAGTTACACATTATCTGCCACCTTCTATATATCAGCATAGTGGAAGAAAACCGATTCTAACCACCTGTGTGTTGTCCCCTCAGATCTGTGCCACATGCATAGGAAGTTACTCAGCACACCCTCACTTCCCATAATATATGCACACGAGTGGGAAGTGTTAGTAACTTCCCCCCACCAACTGAGCCCACTTAGTGGGAAGTGTAATTTCCCCAACCAACTAAGCCCACTTAGTGGGAAGTGTAATTTCCCCCAACCACCTGAGCTCACTTAGCCATCTTCTATAACCATAAGCCATGTCTGAGTCTCCTGAGCCAACCTTGCACGCTGAGCCTTGCCTACGCGCACTGCCTTGTGCCCATGTCCCTGACTTGACTATGCCACACATCCATGACTTGTGTGGTCCATGCTTTAAGCAACATCTGAGCCAACCTTGTGAACTTAGCCCGTGCCAAGTCCACTAATCTGCACCCACATATAAATGTCTCAAAGTGCACGACATCCAAATCTAGTGCCGTCTGCGCCAACCATCTTCAAGGTACCTCCTATAAAGATCCCGAGCCAAAACTCCAAGCTTCACTTTTTCGCCATATTTACGAAAATGCCATTGGGCACCCCCAGTGCACGCTGACAGCATCCCATGGCTGTCAGGGGGCTTGTCAAGGTCCCAACCCCGTAACACCTAGCTTGCGGGAAACATATACTTGATATATCCCAGTACATTACCCTCCGGTAATCTAAAATGTTCACTGCTGGCTTTTATAAGTCTCAATGTTTGGCTAATAAAGTTAAGAAATATTTCTAACCTATGATACTATCAAAACATTTCAAGGTGTGGCATTTCTAAATTAACTACATTGGTGTTTCACTGACCAGGGGGAAAAAAATTTAAAAATAAAAATAAAAAATAAAAATAACTACATTGGTGTTTTATCTCAAAGTAAAAGTCCCAAGTTTGATTCATATTAAATACTAGTTGAATCCATTGTTTGATCACAATTTAAACATTGTAATGCCTTTAAGCAACACAAGTTGGACGGTCCCGTCACTAAAAACAATAAGTGGATCTCCAATTGCAACACACTATAATATTTACATCTCATGTATGAAAATTTTATGTGAATATATGATAACAAAGAATTAATGGCATAATGTAACTTATATTAATTTGATATCAAATACGAGTAACACCCGCATGAGATGCGCTAACTCATAAAACACTTCATATTTTGGAAATTCGATGAAACATAGCTGTAGTGGTCAGGGCATTTCCTTTTGTCCTCTTCTTTTCCACCCAAAATGAATTACTGTTTTCTTTTTCTCTCCCTCCCTCTTCCATTACCGTCCTTAACTACCATTCCCACTATGGAATTTATCACCACAGTCACATCAGCTTGGACCATCACCCATGAGCTTTAACCATCTCTATTAACCGATGTCAACCTCTGTAACGATTATATACCACCAGACCATCACAATAACCAACGACAACCACTGGATTTGTCACAGGAACTCCAGATATGTTTCATCATTGCTGCTATTCACCCACCTATCATGTTCACTGTTGAAACCCTCGTTTGACCTCTCCCGTCAGTTTTCTTTGAAGCTTGAACATGAACACCAGTTTGAGCTAAATATGCACTACGTAACATTTGTGTGTTTGTGGATAATTTAAGGATTAATGAGCTAAATATTATTATCTTTATACAAGTTCTTTTATCATTGTAACACTCAAAACTATACTTTAGATCTTTAGAGAGCTTAAATAAAATGAGAGTATGAGAGAGTAAAGGTGTTAAAGTTGGAAGTAATTAATTTTGATTTGTAGGGCCTATTTGGAGTTGATGAAATAATAAGGGCAAAATTTTCCTAGAAAAGTTAAGAGACACAAATACATAAAAATTACATTTACTCCCCCTAAGCTCTAGCCTAAATACACACACTGGTAAAAAAATGGGCCTAATTACCCTGCCCTGCCCTCTGGTTTGTTGTGTGCTCAACCAACCCCCTCCCGTCAACTAGCAGTTAAAACTGTCAAAGTATATTTATGCAATGGTTAAACTGCCCTTTACTTATATAAAAAGGCATTACTAGCCTTATAAAGTAGCGTAAAATTACAAAAATACCTATCTACATCTCTCTCTTCAAACCCACTTTTGGGTCTATCCACAACACTCCCCATCCACCACCATACAACCTATCATTGCCACCTCCCACTACCTCATCTCTAATCTCTCATCGCTCTCATTATTTTCTCTTTCTCTGAAAAATTCCAAATTAATATATATGTATGTGTGTGTGTGTGTGTGTGTGTGTGTGTGTGTGTGTGTGTGTATAGTGTGTGTATATATATATATATATTTGTGTGTGTCCATGGAACAAATCCGTTGAGGGGAGGCATGAAGCGGTGCTCATTTCTCCTCCACAGGTCTTGACATAAATACGGTGAGGGAAGCAACAAACTATCCACACGCAATTGACAAGAACTCTCTTTAAGTGATCCAAATCAAATTATTCAGAAAATTCACTGCACCTATCAAAGAACACAGGCAAACAAATTAGTCATCCCCTCCACAAGGCAGCAAGTACACGTTTTTTTTTTTTTTTTTCATTTTTTTTTTTAAATGGAGAACTCAACTATAAATTAAATAGGTATTTGTTATACTAAATCAGGAACTAGTCCCAAAAATAAATGGAATCCGCTATAATACAAGACGGTATGCTAAATTAAATCAAGATGGGCTAAACTGATAGATTTGACAAATTGAATCAAAATGATTTAGATTCAAGAAATAGACCTTAAAGGATCATAACACCAAATAAATTCAATGGATATCTGCTAGAAAAATCAAAATTTGATAATATAGGGAATTTGGGTCAAAACAGAGAACAAAGAGATTCATACATACCTTTAATCACCCCAAATGATGTTGACTTGCAAGATGGGAACAACCAAAGGAGCCCCAAGAATTCTTGCGATCACCACGGCATCAGTTATCTGATTCCGCTTCTGATTCATACCACCGAGACCAAAGCAGCTTCAGAATCTTGGGTTCTTCCAAAGATTGGCCATTGAGCTCTTTGAAGACTTGTTGGGAGAGAAGGAGAGATTGAAGCAAGGATATATAGTGACAGAGAGTTGATTATCTGAGAGGGAACTAAAATGTGACAGTGGAGAGAGAGGGGGAGCAGTGCCGGTGAAAGAGAGGGCGGGGTTGTGTTGCTGGGGTGTTTCAGTCATTTTATTGAAGGATGTTCTTGGTTAAGAAATGTATTATTAAATAACGGGCAAATATGACCTTTCATAAAAATAAAAATAAAAATGAATACCGCCATAAGTTAACTAACGTCAATAAGGGAGTTCAGTGTAATTAAGGCCATTTTCGACCACCGTGTGTAATTAGAGCATACCTCCGGGCGTGTGGGGGTAGTTTACCCTTTTTTTAATTACCTATATATAAATATTATGTGCGACTGTGTCATCTGAATCATTTCGTTACCTTTTGTTGTGACACTTCTCACGAGTTGTTTTAAATAAATGCTTGCATTCTGACCCCTTGCTCCCTTGTTCTTATTGCAGATATGCCATGAGTTTTGCTGCTAACTACTTGAAAATGATATATGTGAAGAGGACACCTGAATCAAACAAAATAATCCATGTTCTTTCAAGTGGATTCAAGGCTACCTGTACCTGGCATAACATGAGAACTCTTCAGGTTCTATAAACTAAAATTATAGGTGTGGAATTGATTATATTCCTAGTAAGCAGCCTCACTGACTTCATAGAAGTATGAATCAGGAATGTCGTGAAGCTTGTGGGGGACAAGGTCTGAAGACCGAAAATCGTATTGGTCATATGAAAGGTGAATATGATGTGCAGTCCACTTTTGAGGGGGACAACAATGTTCTTATGCAACAGGTATTCTCAGAATATGGTCCATTTAACTAACCTTATTGAACTTTGACACATAACTAGGTGCCAGACGTGTGACATCAAGACATAAATTAGACTTGCAACCGAGTGTTGGTGCCCAAAATTTTGTTAAATGCAGGTATTGGTGTTGGATGTGGAAAAAATGGATAAAGTGTTCTTTGTTACATTGAGTAATATGGATGTTTATTTGGGTCATTAATATGTGAAAAAGTTTTTCTAGTAACCTGCCCATAGTTGTTGAGATGACGGTTGTGTTGTAACAATGGTGCACTTTATTGCGAAAAAGTTCCCTGTTTCAACCATTCAGATAAGAGTAATGATAGGGAGGAGTAGAGGCTTATGTCATCATGATGTTAGGGATATTAATGACATCATGATGACATCAGCCCCTACTCACATTAATCAGTCAGAGTTGTCCTTCTTTCGGACTCCAAATCATTATCCTTCAAATAAACCTTTTAACTTCTGAATAATGTTAAACAGAATGCTATTGTTGGATCATGATAGGAGTGATTTATGCCTTGATAGGATATTGATAGGAGTGATTTATGGGATTGACTTTAGGAACTTCAATTTATTTTCCATATTTATCGCTTGTATTCTTTCACCCATAGATAGAGGTGGTCATTATAAACAAGACTAAGAAAGAATATAAGAAGAGTGATGTAGCCCTTTGGGTTTTGTGTGCCGTGGATGTATGCCGTAGTGACCGAACCCCACATATATCCTTGTATTGTTTCATTCTTAATTTCTCTCTTCAATCTTTTATTTTTTTTATCAACACATGGGATTTTTATGCATTGAGCATGTGCTTCAGGTTAGCAAGGCACTTTTAGCAGAGTATGTTGCAGCCAAGAAGAGAAACGTGCCATTTAAAGGTTTGGGATTGGACCACATGAACAAGTCTTCCCCGGTCATCCCATCTCAGCTGACAAGTTCAATCCTCAGGAGCATTCAGTTCCAGGTAATAAATTTTAGCTATATTCCTTTTTCATGAGTCACATTGAAATAAGAAGGAAGTTCTAATCATTTGTCTATGTCAGACTGATATATTCTGCCTTAGAGAGCGAGACCTATTGAATCGTTTTGCTGCTGAAGTTTCACAATACCAAGCACAGGGAGAAAGCAAAGAATATGCATTCATTCTGGTTAGGTTTCCTTATTTTAATTGCACTTCTGCCCCCCTCTGTAAAAACATTACCTTTACCAAACGACCTCTTAATTTGTTGTGTTTCCGCTTTTCCACCAGAGCTATCATCTTGCTGAAGACTTGGGGAGAGCCTTTTCAGAACGAACAATTTTGCAGATCTTTATAGAGGCTGAGGCAACTGTGTCTGCTGGCCCATTGAAGGTAAATATGAGGAGCTCTTTCCTATAATTTACTTGCATTGCATTTATTATACAATTTATTCTGTGTACATTTGAGTGAATCATTGAGTTGAAAATGGAAGGTCACTTCGACTAAAGAAGCACACTATCAACAAATAGAACAAACTTACCTAGATTTGGAGGGAGATCTGGGATAGGGTACAATAAAAATTCATATAATATATATATAAAAATTAGGAAAAGCTTACTTTCCAGGGTTAGTTATGATGCTATAGATACTGAAATCCGTTGGTCTCTCGTTGGCAGCCAATTGACTTTGGAGTGATAAGCATGATAAATCTATGTGATACTTGGTAATAGCCTAATGGTTCTTCCTCACCTTCCACAATAGAAGGTTGAGGGTTCAAGTCCTTGTAGGGACAAAGTGGGTCATCTTCTTGTTCAGGAAATGCCAGTCAAGAATTTTTGCGATTAGGCTTATTTTTCTAATGCAAGAACGTATAAATTTACTAAAAGAGTAAATAAAGAATCAATTGCTTAATATTTAATAATATACATGTCCTTTGTGCAGAACATGTTAGGTTTGTTGAGATCCATGTATGTCATGATCAGTCTGGAAGAAGATGCTGCATTCCTCCGATACGGTTACTTATCAACTGATAGTGCTGCTGCAGTGAGGAAAGAAGTAACGAAACTTTGCAGTGAACTGCGACCACATGCACTTACCTTGGTCAGTTCCTTTGGCTTACCTGATGCTTTCTTGAGCCCTATAGCTTTTAATTGGGTAGAGGCAAATTCTAGGTCTCCAGTTAAACTCTAGCTAGCTTGGTGCGACTATTTACCTTCCATCTCTAGTTGATGGAAATGAGTGTTATATCTGTGGCTTTCAAGTATCTGTCAATAAGTTCGCATATCGTTCCTGGCTGAATGGCATTAAAGTATGGCCATTGTTTTGTAAAACTATTTATCATAAAATAATAAATGGAATCTTATTTTACTCAAGCATTCAGATCTATCCAGTGCATTTCTCTGTCCTCTCTTTTGTCAATATGCATCTTTCAGATGCAGTGCAGTGCAGTGCAGATTTCATGTTTTTGATGGAGAGAGTGTTTCTGTGTGCTTCCATCAACTGTCTATTTACATATTTTGATAATGTTCAATTGGCTGGTATTATGTACAATTGTGTGAACAATGTTGACTGATTGCTTTTGTGACCAGACTGTGCTATGATCAATTTAGTATATATGAAATTCTTCCATTTGTTTTCCGAGCTGGAGGTGGAGAAGGGGGTTGGTTAATACATAAACTTTGCATGAGTTGAGGCAAAAGATCCATCTCTTAACAATATTAATAATTGTACACCAATATAAACAAAATAATAAATAAGAAAACAAAATACAATTAGCAAGTCGCCTAATCTCATGTTGACCTATAGTCGTACTTATCTTCTAGAAAGAAATCGAAGATACAATTCTAGTTCTTCCTCAGAGGTGGCTAGGAAAATTTTGCTAGAAGTATTTGATGTTTATAATGTCTCACTTAGAGACTTATCCAAAAAAAAAAAATAATGTCTCGCTTAGTTTACGCTTTAATTGTTTGTCTTCATTTACTGAAAATGGTTTTTATTTCCCATATTGTTCTTTTTAGTAGTTTTTACTGAAGGTATGCCCTTTGTGTGCCTGTACATATATTTTTTTCTTTTTCATACAACGTCCAATTATGAAAAACATATATATATATATATACATACTTATCCTCTGCTGAATTCATCAAATTTAACAAAGTGGGGGCATCATTAAACATGAATTTCAATATTGCTTGGAACGCCGCGTTAGTAACGATGAGAATTGGAAATGAAGAGTAGTCGCCCAGTATTATTTGCTAATGACGTCATTAGATTACTTGAAAGAGATTTTTTTGATATTTTGAAATATCACTCTCGTAATAATTAGTAATAAACGATATGCTAAATCTTATAATCTGTCCATACATTCATAAAATATTAACACATGAACTGACAAGGTCACTAGATATAAAAGATTGGCATTAATTAAACATGTGTTTTGATTGCATCACATATCCTTAAAATAATAAACATTTTAAATTAATAGTTTCGTGATCTAATTCGCCATTCAATTGACTTATTATCTCCGATGGGTGGGTTTTACAAATCTTATTAACTAAAAGTACCTTTCAACACGATTCACATAGATAGATGCGGATATTTTCATTTAACTATTAGTATTAAAATAATAATTTAAAAAAAGAAAGAAAAGAAAATGCTATAGATGTATAAATCAAAAGGATTATGTGACTGACATTCCTGCAGATTTCTTGAGGAGGCTTTAAGCATTTTTCTCTTATGCATATAGAGTTCAATGTGTGTCAAAATTGGAGGAAAAAATATACTAGCAATTTTAAAATAGTAATTTTAAGTTTGGTAGCACTAAATCAATATTTTAAATTTTAAATTAAAAAAAAAAAAATTTAATTCAAAATTTAAATTGAATTTGTTCTGATTCACAAACATAAGTGATTATAGAGGACAAGTTGTAGTGGTATGGCCAAAGATCTTACAATTATTTATTGATTGGGCAATAGATTGTACTTTAATCAAAACAGATCCCTCATTTTACAAATGTATTACCTGCCAAAAGTGGCCTGGAATAATTTACGCAATCTCGTTCGTCACTTGGGAGAATTTTTTAACTCCTCTCTCCTACTCTATAATTTAGTCTCCTAAATTCAAATCTAACACAACCATTTAGTCCAGAATGGAGGGTCCCGTACTGATTAAAGAAGCACGATTTTGAACACACAACAAACTGCTCTAGATTTGAAGAGAGAAATATACTCCATGTTCATATATTAATTTGTATATATTTCAGAATTAGGAAGCTCAAGATGCTATAGAATCTTTCGCATACCAAACAAAATAAAAAATAAAAATAATGAAATTGTGTTTTGGAACACAGGGTTGACGATTTTAATTAATTTTCTTTTTTAATTTTAAATTTAAAATATAGATTTGATACTCTCAACACAACAAAGATACATGGTATTATAAACAGTGAAGATTGGTGTTTGTAAGTGGCATTATTTAGAGTTGTCGCGTCAAATTATAGACAAGGATCTCTAATTTAAAGTCTTCTACATTATCATAAATTGAACCACTTATACACTGATATATGACATTTAAAGAAAATTTATGACTAAAATTACACTACATCAGCCAATTTAATAAGAATTAAAATACTGTATCGTTTTAGGGCTACAGGTAGAAACACCGATACTAAAAAGTGTTTAATTCATCGAACCCTCAAAAGAAAATGAAAATCTTCATGAAAATCCTAATAGGAAAAATCATAATGCTCAGGGTTGAGCCGAAGGACAACATTAACCCATGAGATTTGATTTTCAATTTCCGTCATCATCTGCTGTAGTACTTCAAATATTCATTTTCTTTCTTGTAATCTGATCCATTAGATTTAATGTTTTTAATTATTTTGATATTCTTAGTTGTTGTAATCTTTCGATTTTTCATGATTTTTTTTTTTTTATTATTTTTTTATCAAACCAGTAGATCAAGTACATAGAATTTGAAGTTTTATTAATTGAGTTGACGTGGTGTAATATTAGCCATAAATTTACTTAAAATGTTATGAATTAATGTATAACTAATTCAATTTATGATAATGAAGAGGGTTTTTAATTTGGAGGATTCTTGTCCACAAGATCAGGTACTAATTTCCAAGCAAGTTAAGCCAAAGCCGACCTTCCAAACAATATGAACCATACAATAATATACATAAATTAATTTTTTTGTGTAGGTTAGTGACTTTTATACTCCTATTTGGTATTGTTCAATCAATAAAGCCCAACGTCTCACTAAACCACTCATCTTTTCCATCTTTGGGAGATTGAAAAAAAAAAAAAAAAACACTCTTTTTGTATCTCATAATGTAAAGTAAACAGAAGGGATAAAGTTTATTCACAAGGAATAATTTACTTTGAATTTACAAAGTAGATGTTTTGAATCCACAAAACGAAAGATAATTTCAAAGAATTCTGATATTTGTATTGATAATTGAATGAATAAAAGTTAATTCTGCACTTGACAGTACACATATTTATAATAAAAGAAAACCTAACTCTAAAAGAAAATTAAAACACAAAGAAACTTAATAGCAAAAAGAAAATATTTCCTCAAAAAAATTAAATAAAACTAAACTTCCTATAAAAAAAATATAAAAATAAAATAAATAAGAAATTTAAATAATAAAAATTACTAAGTAAATAAAATTGTCCTATATCATTTCTCTCTACTTCAAAAAAAGCTCTCCTTAATTACGCTGCTGTTTGACCTTGATTCTTCGTAAACTTTAGCAATTCCAAAAGAACGTAAGATATCTCTTCTCCCTCTAAGCAGCTCAAAAAAAAAAAAAAAAAAAAAAAAAAAAAAAAAAAAAAAAAAAACAAATTGTCAAATGGATAATATTCGATCTCAATTAGAAATAGAACCATGAAAATTCTGGCCCAATTTATTGGACATGAAAATCATCTTAGAATGAGAATGATTGTGAACCGAAATTTGGTGTGTTGAGTATGTTGACAAACCGATTACCAATAGTCTGTGAGAAATAGGACCACATGGAGTGTTTTGAAAACACTTTATTTTAGGGTGAACCAAAGTACTTGATCCAACATTGCTCATGGGGACCACCGTGATGAGACTGGTGGCATGAAAACAATCAGTAAAACCAATTTTTGCCCTACTAGAAAATTAGTGATGAACAGGAAAATTAAAAATTATTTAATTTATTCTCATCTGTTCATCAAGTAAAGCTTATTGTCTTACGAGTACATTAGATTAATTAAAAGTTTGCCAATAATTAAATGTGTTTTTAAATATATAAACATTAAAGTAAAGTACTGTTCTCTCATCGGATTCCCTTTCCGCTGTTTATGCAATTTTATTTCTCCAATCAACTGGTTAGCATTTTACAAACCTTATTAGTTAAACATACATTGTACATTTTAACACAGTTCACATGATTAAATTTTAATGATTTTTACTTAAATATCAATATTAAAATAACAATAATAAATAGGAGTAATAAAAAAGAAAGTGTCATGCATGTCTATTCAAATCAAAATATAACATATACTATTTTATACCTAATAATAATTAATCAGGCCAACCAGAAATTCGAAAAACGTGTAGCCGACATTCATACAGTTCAATATTGAGGCATAAGCATCGACTCCACTTCTATATACATTGAGAGTTTAATGGTGGTCAAGTTAAATTGAGGGGATAGAATATATATAGCGTAGCTGCTTAGAATTAAGATGGCTATGCCTAATATAGAGAGAGACAGTGAGCTACTTGAGGCTCAAGCTCACATATGGAACCAAACATTCAACTTCATAAGCTCTGCATCACTTAAATGCGCAATTCAACTTGGCATACCAGATATCATCCAAAACCATGGCCAACCAATTCCTCTCTCTAACCTCCTCGCCGAGCTACCAATCAACCCCACAAAAAACCGTTGCATCTATCGCCTCATGCGCATTCTTGTTCATTCCGGTTTCTTTGTTCAACAAAAAGTTGCCGGAAATGAGCAAGAAGTTGAGTATCTTCTCACACCGGCTTCTCAGCTTCTCACAAAGGACCATCCCTTGAGTTTGTCACCATTTTTGCTAGCCATGCTTGATCCAATTGTAACCAATCCATGGCACTTTATGAGCACTTGGTTCCAAAATGAGGATGAAACCCCATTTTACACTGTTAATGGGAGGACACTTTGGGACCAAGCTGGGCAGGAGCCGGTGCTGAACAAATTTTTCAATGAGGCCATGGCTAGTGATGCTCGGTTGGTGGCTAGTGTGGTGATTAATGAGTGTAAGGGAGTGTTTGAGGGGTTGAATTCATTGGTGGATGTTGGGGGTGGCACTGGGACAGTGGCCAAAGCCATTGCTGAGGCATTCCCACACTTGAAGTGCACAGTGCTTGATCTTCCACATGTTGTTGCTAACTTGAAAGGGACTCAAAACTTGAACTTTCTTCAAGGGAACATGTTTGAAGCAATTCCTCCAGCAGATGCAATTCTACTCAAGGTAATCCATCTGTAATTTTGTAACTTGTTGATTTCCATCTTTCATTATATATATATATGATTTATTTTATATTGGGCAGCCATATATATATAGAGATGTATTCATTATTTGCCATAACCAAGCATATATATGTATGATAATTTTACGTACGTATATATATGAATACTAACTAATTATATACTTGTAATTAATTGGATTAATATTGTAAATGACAAACAGTGGATACTGCATGACTGGAGTGACGAAGATTGTGTGAAGATCCTGAAGAGATGCAGAGAGGCAATTCCAAGCAAGGAGAAGGGTGGGAAGGTGATAATTATAGACATGAACATGATGATACAGGAGAAAAACAAGAAAGAAGATAATGAATCGATTGAAACCCAGCTGTTCTGGGATATGTTAATGATGGTTACAGTATCTGGTAAAGAGAGAAATGAGGAGGAATGGAAGAAGCTCTTCCTGGATGCTGGCTTCAGTGACTATAACATAACGCCCGTACTGGGTTTAAGGTCTCTCATTCAGCTTTATCCTTAATTATTACTCCTCACAATTAGGGTTGTGTCATAAGTGCTTGCTTTGAAATTAAGCACGTAAGCTTTCAGTAGTATTGCTTACAAGTTTAGAATAATAAATGTTGTTTGGTTTTTTCAAGTGTTCTTAACGCGAGCATGTAAAAATTTTATATGGCAACGACTGGTCTGGAATAATAAATGCAAAGAAATGCTATTTCCTTTAGTGGGTTTTACTTTTTGGTTTTATATTCAAATGCAAAATTGATATTTTGGTACCACAATAACTATATTCAGATGCATTGAATTAAAATTTTAAAATTATAAAAAATAAATAAAAAAATTAAATCAAATTTTCTTTAACTCTACTAATTCTAATTTTACAACGTGAAACACAACTTATATGCAATACTACTATTTACATGTAAAATGCCCTGAGATATTATATAAGTTTTTGGTATGAATAGAAAGACTTCAACCTAACACTTAATACTTTTGGTCGAGGACGAAGACTTCGGCTGAAGTCTTCAGCCAGCATGTTTCAAGACAGGGCATATAGATCCAAAAGACTTACAGTTATTCACATGTTTTCGATTTCAACTTTAGTACTGAGAGTGATATGATTTGATCCGAGCTAAATGGCATCATCATTTGAGGACTTGCATTAATGTTGCAATTTCTTCTCTACTACTAGGTACTTCTATAGAGAAGCGGTGAAGTCGTCTCATGTCCATTTTTTTTTTTATTCTATTTTTTTAAAACTGTGAAGGTTAGATTACAAATTTATTCATTTACCTATCACTTAAGTTTCTTACATATCAAATTATCATATATGATTATATCTATCATATTACTCCTTAGGTTTCATAAAAAATGTTCATCTTTCCTTTTAATTTGTTTATCCCTTTGTCCTGTTTTAAATTTAATGAACTATATTTTTAATATTCTTACTTTACCCTCTTGTCTTGAAATAAGTGTCCTAGTCAAATAATGTCAAGACAAAATTTTAGAAGGGCATATTAAAAAATTCATTTCATACTAATATAATAATAATAATAATTAAATTAAATTCTTCAAAAGAGACCATTTTTTTTTTTTTTTTTAACAGATAAAGTACCATCTATAGAGTACTTGTTTATCACTTACCTACTCCCAAACCTTCTCTTATATATAGGATCTTTATTTAATTTTCATTAATTCAATACAATATAATATTTTTTCATTCCTTTATTTCTAACACTGAAGATCCATTAAATTGCCAATAAATCAATATTACAAAGTTCAAGAAACCACAAGGACCAAAGTGCCAACACTAAAAGTCTTATTGGGATTGTTTTTCAATGCCGTTTTTATTTCTTTAAAATTGCGTTTAGATGTGTTTGATAATCATTAAAAACACTTTTAATAATACCAATTTTAGTTCAGTAACACTTCACGATGGTAGAATTTGACACATTTCAAACTGTAATATGAGTAGAGGTCGAATATTTTAGGTAATTCTTTTTTTATTAGACAATTTTGTCTTTTTTATTTTTTATTTTTATTTTTATAAAGACAATTACACTCATTTTTTTTATAAAGTTGCTATTATCAAATTAATATGCTAACATCCTGTTAGAGGATATAATTGTAAAATTAGCAACAGAAGTGTTTTAAAAGATATTGTTAGTAAATAAATTAAAAAATAATCTAATTAAAAAAATACTTATTATAATTATAATATGTCACTAAACACCACATTTTTTTACCAATAATAAATTTTTGACAGCCCTACCAACAAGAGTTTATTATTATTATTATTATTAATCCTAATGGAATGGGCTCTTACTCTCCACCATTGCACCTCAAACTCAAAGCTAATTTTCTTAGCTCATGCGCTGCAGCCTGCAGCATTACAATAAGGGGGCATCCACATCAACTAAGGCCCCTCACTTTTCTGTAATAGAACTTTGACATCTTCTAAAATAACTGATAAAAGAGGATCAACATCTTGAGGAAGCACGACGGTTTTATAATCCCCTTTCATGGTGCCCAAATCAAGCACCCAAATTGTCTCTCCTTTATGGTGCCACACATATTCTTCATATTGGTATTGTTCAAAGAATGAAGACCTATATACATCTCACTAAAGAACTCATATTTTCTATCTTTGGAAAATACCAGAAACAAGAACACCGTTTTGGATTTCATAATGCTAAGAAGCCAAATTTGAAATCTGGAAACACCTTGTCAAGAGGCTTTTTCCTGTCCTCAAGTTTTTGCCAGAAAGTCCTCGGACATTGCATCTTAAGCTTTCGAGCAAAGTTTTGTCAAAATTCCAGGGCGCAATTGTTATTATCGACGATAAAATGAAAATGAAATCGATCACTCCTACGTCTAAAAATAGTAAACCCTCCTTCACCACTAAAGTCACATCCACTTCTGACCCTACCAACACCTTGGCAAGAGGCATGGCAAGTGCTTGATTATTCCTCTGTTTTGAATCAACCCAAAAAAAGGAGTCACGCTTGAGCCATTTACCTCTGTTTGTTAAAGCAGCATAATTTTATCAACATTTGGAGCAGATTCTGTTTGTTCCGGTGATGGCCGCCAGCTCGGAGTCTCCACTGTTGGGATTTGTACGTCCTTGTATAATAAATTCTTACTTGATTTTATAGACATTATTTTTTAATTTACGTATTATACAATTGGTGAATATAAAAGTAAGGGTAAAATGCAAAACACATCTTTGAACTATGTTTGAATTTGCAAATAACCCCCTTAACTATATTTTGTACATAAAATTCCCTAAACGGTCTCATTTTGTTGCAGCATACCCCAAAGACTAAACTATATTTCATTAAATGACCATAATGCCCATTCTTATTGAATTACATTTAATATATTTTTTATTTATGTAAATTATGAAAAAATTCATACTAATTTGAAGATATATTTTCTATTAAATTTGCATAAATTTACCTTTAATTTTTTTAACAAATTATTTTTTTAATTTTTAATGAATATATTACATGAAAATAAGGTATTTTTTTCAAAAGTATTTTATTATTTTTTCATCAATATATTGCATGAAAAAGATGATATATTTTTTTTTATGATAAAAATGTTTAAATTGGTTATGATGCGTTTTATTATAAATAATAAAGTTTTAATAATAAGTTAACCAATTTAGAAAATGGTAGTTACAAAACCATTTATCTATTTTTTTTTTTCATTTTTATGATAAATTGATACTAAAAATAAAATTAAGATAAATAGTATAATTAATATTTACATAAGAAAAAATATAATAAAATAATTTAATAAGAAGTGAAAATTTTAATGAGAAGGGTAAAATAGTCTTGTGTGATGGATTTGTCCTTAATTGCAACAAATCAATAGTTCAGGTGGGTTATTTACAAAAGGGTAATAGTTTAGGTGGTTTTTTTGCACTTAACCCTAAAAGTAATATGTTTTCGATTCATGATGGAATTGAATTTGTCCAATTATAGTTGCAAGACATATTTATATGAATATGATGGTGATCAATACAATAATATAAATAGTGATCATAAATAGTTCGTAATCGGTAATTAAGAATGAACTCTTAATTAACTAAGACTTGAACCAAATTCGCGACAGATTGACTTATATTGCGAGAGCCGTCGTATGCAATTACTCCCTATCATCGTCATGACATTTGACTTTTAAGAATGAGAAGAGTATAAACTATTTTAATAATTAATAATTACTTTAATTTGTTCGACAGAACCTCCGGGATCCCATCACAGACACTTTAGGTAATTATGTGATTAATAATTAGAATATTATATTTTCAATATTTGTATCATTGCTAGTTGTTTTTATTTTGTATTGATTATGGTTTATCACAAAATAAATTCGAATGTCTTCATGTGCTTTAGACAAAAATAAATAAATAAATTATATCTTTATTTACTAAATTATTATTATTGTAAAACAAATGTTTTACTGTGATCAAGGTGGGAAATAATCAAGGAACCAAAATAAATATATTAATTGTGCGGGCGGATTGATGGCTACAATTATCCGATAGCTATATTTATGCATAGAGGGGTCAAAGTGCAACATTGAGTTAGTGGTTATTTACTATTTGATTAGAGGTCAATTAATTTTTTTTAGTGGAGTAAAAATTAATTGAATTGGGTCCATGGTATACTGGACCGGGTTAACAATTGTTAATTCATTTGAGCTAAGAAAATATATAATAAGCCCAAATGATTCTTACCCATAGCCCAATTTGATATTGGAGGCCCATTAGATTGAAGATAGCACTTTAATTGTTGAGATTGAGAATTACTTTTGACATACTATATGAGTATAAATACATATATGATGTGTACTATTAGTAAGCTTTTAGGCATCATTAGTTTGTAAAGATGAATATTTCTATCTCTAGAAATTTTAGGTTTGTGTTCGCATCTAAATGGAGGCTCCCACAAGCTATGCATCTAAGGACTTTCATGAAAGCATATAGGTGATTCCAAAAGGCAAGACTACCATGGTGATGGTGGTGACCTAACGAGGAAGAAGGAGCTAAAGTGATCTTTGTAAGGAAGAACATTCAATTTGTAGATGGTTTTGTAGCTTACTCGATTAAGCTTCTAAGTAAGTTTACTAAATCTAATGAATGTATGAGTTACACGCAACGGAATGATTGTGGAATATAATATGGATAAATAACCTAGAGGAAGTGAATAGATTCAACTTAGTTTTTTATATATCCAATTTTTGCTTAAATTAAATTTACCAAAATAAAAGTAAATTAATCAAATCACAAAACAAAATAATTGCAAGTAAAGTTATAGTGACACCGGATTTTAGCAAGGAAATTAATTGGAAAACCTCAAGGTTTTGTGCGCTATCCCAAGCGTAAAAAAATCCACTATGTATAAAACAAAGTACAGCGAACTTTGACTCACACTCATACCCCTTCACTCTACCAATACCCAACTTGTTGAACACCCCTGGCTTTACAACTCCCCAGTCCAACAACTCTTGACTTCAGACTTACTCCTTGAACTTTGTAGAAGGATTGCTGGTAGATCAACAACACTTCGCAAAGCTCCTTGACCCCTTCAAAGTGTGATATGAAATTCTTCTTATTTAAATCTGAATTTGATGTAAAAGTAGATATATTTTTCGGAATTTCTGAATCTTCAATTATGTTT